AATAAATAATGGTAAACAAACAAACAAACGACTCTCGGGGCTGTGGATTTGCATGAGAAACCACAGTTAACAACGGCGGAACTCAAGTGAAATGTGTGTGTGCAAGTGTAAGATTTTCGGTAGCTTGTCGTGTCAAATAAAAGAAAAAGGTCCGAAAAAAAATGTAATAAAAAAGATACATGCTCCTACATCCGTGAGCGGTAGGCTGGCAAACTACTTGAAACTTCACGCTTTATAAATAACAATAAAAACAAACCTTGGGGCGCAGAACGAAAGTACTTGAACTCAAGGTAAAAATTTCGTTTTCACTTCGAGCATAAAATTAAATAACAAACAAATAACACAAACAGCAAACTGAGAAAAGTAAAACTTAAATAATGGCAACTAATTTTCTGTTCTTTCCCACTCAAAGTGGTAGGTGTGTTGTGAGACACTCACTCACTCCGAGTGTGAGACTTTCTCGTAATTAAATCAAATTTCGAAATGAAAATGAAATGAAAATTATTTATTAATTGCACAAAGAGTACGGGGGTGGTGGGAGGAAGGTTGAATCTCATGCAAATTTCCATTGAATCGAGCGAAAAGAGAGACAAGCTTTTGAGACTTGCCAAGTAGCCAAGCTAAGCTAAAGGCGGTGAAATTTTATGTCTCTGTAGTATTTTTATTTTATTTTTTTTCTTCGCTCTCTTGAATCTCTTTAAGCTGATTTGAATAACAAGTGGCCGGGCTTTCGCATCTGCGAGATATATAGATACAAGCTGCCGCCGCTGTCAGTTACATGCGTTTAGCTCTGGCTCCGCTGCCGTCGTCTCTCATTAAAAGTAAATTTCGAGATGCTGGCATAAATCAAGCCTCTAAACGGCAACTCACAGATACAAATATATATGCACCTAGCTATATGTATATATACAAATTCGCGGAGGATAAGCTCTCGCATGCCCCGAGGACTTGAAATCCGAGAAGTGCTGATGACTGCAGGACTTGTTTGCTAAGCTTGTTAGCCGGAAAAACAAAGTCAGGAAGCCAAAGCAGCAGGTTTGCTGTGAAGTGGCTGGGAAGAAAAATGTTGCAATTTGTTATTTACAAAATTGTTCAACACTAAATAGAGGCTAGTTTGGGTGATATTTTTTTTTTAAGCTTTGCCTTACCTATTCTTCTATTTGATTTATGGCAAGTATTTATTTTTAGTGGTTAAAACACTGGGAAAAGTTTTAGAAAGACAAGAATTTGAAGAATTCGATAGCATTTTCTTTTAATATATAAATCAGTTTTAAACAATCTAAATTTAGTCTTTGAGTATTTTATGTCAAACTTTATCAAAAGCTAACATTGGTTATCTTAATCTTCTTTGAATTTTTAATATTCATAAAACTATGAAAGCGATTTGTTAGGTTTTACATAATTAGCTATTTTAAATTGGCAAAAGATGGTTATCGCATCAATTAAGAAGCTAGCCAGTAGTTTTTTGGTGTGTTTTTAAGCTTTGATATTTATTTAAAATTAAAGGGAATATTTATTTATGGCTGAACGTAGGTAGATAGCTTAAAATAGGGTTTTAAATAGTTTTTTCATTAATTATTTGACTTTCTTTTTAGAAAAGACTAGTAAAAACTAACCATAAACCAAATGTAAAATGTTTATTACTTCTTACGATGTAAATTCCATTTCCATTTACTTTAAAATAGCTTGCATTTTTCCCCAAATACTTTCCCAATGATAATATAATCTTAATTACCCTCTTGGCAGATTTTCTCCCAACCTAAACCCTCGCAAATTTCACAACCATTTGAATATGCATGTGAATATATATTTGCCATCATAGTCATCTACCGAATTTCCCCCCCATCAATAGCTCATCAAGTGTCGGCTAATCAAGTGGCAATCATGGCCACCATCGAAACAAGTCAATAAGCCAGGCGCATTCATCAGTACACAAATCACGCATACGTCATGTTGCACAGGGTGCAAGTAAAGTTAGCTTTGCTGCCACTGCAATTTACTGTTTGTTGTTTGCCATTTGCCATTTATTGTTTGCCATTTTGATGTTGTTAGAGGCCAAAGAAACACACACACACCGAAATTTCAACATCACTTACCTTGGGCCAAGTCAAAAAGGTATTAGGCACCGAAAGAAAGAGTTGCATAAAAGGAAAACTTTAAGGATGGCTCTCTGCTAAAGCGCACCATTCTGCTAAAGGAAAATCAACGGAAATGTCACTTTCTTTTCAATCAAAACGCAATTCATGGCACTCCAAAAAGGCATAAAAAAAACTAAAAAAAAAAAAATGGAAAAAGAAAAACACCAAACACGAAGTGCAGAAAAAGAAACACAACCCGTGAAAGGTCGCGTCGAGATTCCGCCGACTCCGAACTGCAGTCCAAATTGCAGGAAGCTGGCAGTGGAGAACACGATTTTCAAGTGGCACTCGGAGTGGGTTCGGGAGGGGGGAGCAGGGAAAGTCCGGGAGGGAAGTATGCATCTCCTGCTAACTGCCACCGGCTGAACTTTAACCTGTGTGAAAAGCGGACAGCGTACGAGTACGAGTACGAGCAACAGTAACAGCAACAAAACGCTTTAATTTGCAATTCGTGGAAAATTCTTTTCGGCTTAGGGCCTAGTTAGGGCAGCGCTAACCTTCTTCATTCCCTTCCCATCTTCCCCTCTATAAGGGGAACATGGTAAATATTTAAAAATGTACTTAACCAAAGTGAAAGAGACAGGCCGCCGGCTGTGAGGAGGAGTGGAAACAAAAGCATTGGCGGCGACAGTTTGGACACTTGGACGGAAGCGACAACCAGCTGACGCCAAATAGGGTCTGCAGTTCGCTTTGGAGTTGAAGTCCAACGAAAAGCCAAAGTACAAGCGATAAAAAATTCAATAATAATGGTCAGGGTCAGTGTAAATCACTCTCAAAATAAGACAAAAAAAAAAGGAGCTGCCAGGCCAGGGGACCTCCTACCTGACAGTAGGTGGCTCTGACTCCGGCTGACTCCGACTTTGGCCCAACTCCAAGCTGAATGGCAAATGACTGACATGGGAAGTACCGTTTCTTTGGATCATGGCCCAGCAATTTGGCCTAAACCAAAGATGCTTTCAGTTCAATTATGTGCTAAGTAGGAAAGGGAATTGTTTGAGTTGGAGTTGCGATAGGAAAAGGAAAAGGGGTTCTCCAATGGAGGCGTGGAGGATGCAACAAAGTCGATCGATAAATTGACAGCCGAAAGGAAAGCTGCTGCAGGCTGCAGTTACAAGAGATATTGCAGATTCTAAAAAGGGAATAATGGGAAAGTGCTTGACCTTTAATAAAAAGCAAAACCAGAAAAATGTAGATAAATATAAATGCTAGGCTTATTATTCATACCTTCCTTCTTTATACTCCAATAAAATCATTCCCTTTACTTCCTAGTTGCTCCTGTGATTTCTAAGTATTTTTACGCCTTGATACACATGAATATAAAGTAGATTCTTATAAAATAATTAAATAAATAGCTTCCAAACTAGGTAAAAGTTGAAAGCTACCTTCCAATTGTTCCTAGTTCTCAAGCAAAATGTGCTAAAAAATGCAAACTATAAAACTTTTTCATAGCCAAATAAAAGGTGCCAGAAAGGGAGACTGAAAGTTGCAGGGACAGAGTATCCTGAGTTCCCCCCTTCAATGGATAAAAGTTTCCCGAATGAAAAACAACTTCAAGAGAAAACACTGGGAAATGGTCGCAGGAAGGAAGTGGCTGATGGGTTGAGTTGAGAAAATATAAAAAAAAATAAAAGGGAGATGGCTGGAAATTACAAGAACTAAGCTACCAACAAGTAAAAGTGCGTTTGGCAGTTTACCCGGTTACCCAGGGTTACCAGACACAAACACATATTATAAAAATACACTGGGAGAATGGGAGAATAGCATATGAAAAAAAAGTAAGGATTTTCTAATTTCACATTAGACTCAAACACTTAAGAAAATCCAGAAACTTAATTCATTCAAATTATTTTTAGGGTATAAATAAATCTATTAAATATTTTATTATTATATAATTATATTGTATTTTTTGCTGCGTAGATACTCGCACTCGTTCTGCACTCGGATCCCCTCCAAGTTGCATCAATTTCTTAATAACTTTGTTCCCCCTTTTCGTTCGACGGAAAAGGCGCGTTGCAACTCGCGGCGAGCCAAGCAATTTTGTGTGGCATTATGTGAGGGTCTCGTTTGCCATTAACCTGCTTTGGCCAAGGCAACACAACTCGACTCAACTCATCGCAACTTATTGCAACTCAACTGGACTCGAATCAACTCAAGTCGAGTCTACTTTGAATCCATAAAAGAAGTTCTCCCGCGACTCCTCATCTTTTGCTTCTGCTTTATTACACTTTAACCGTTTTCGCTTCTGCTTTGTTATTAAAAAATAAATTTAAAAAAAATTGAGAAGAATAGGGTTTAAAAAGTGGACATATTGAATACCCTTTTACCCATTTTAAAAGAAAGAGCGGGGAAAGGTTTGTTTAATAAAATTAAAAACGGATTGTTGGATCTGTAAAATCTTTTAGGATAAATATGTTAACTCCTGCTAGTTTTAATACTGCTTAAATCTCCTGTACTTAAGAAGATAATACTTTTTTTTATATATATTTCGCAAAGTTCTGCGAAATATTCAGAGTACCCTACAAGGAGAAAAGAAAACTTTTGGTAGGAGGCAATAAGTTGGAATGGGTTTGGTCTGGGCCAAGGATGGAACTAACAATCCCAGGGGGAACGGCGTCAATTTCGCACTTCATCCGTGCCAGAGCTGGCAGTAGACAAACAGCACTCTGCAACGCCTCGACAAGACAACGCTCCTCTGCGGAGCAAACATTTGCCCAGTGGTCAGGCTACGTCCGAGTATCCAGCAACTTTAATTGCTGGCCAAATAGTAGATGGCAGCGGGAAAAAGAAACCCTTTTGGCCACATCAATCAACAGAAGCTGGAACTCATCTCCCATCTATTCTTGTTACTTTTTTTTCTTGCAGAAAACGGCGACAGCGAAACCGACGAAATATCATTATTATCCACACAATCAGCACATATATCTGCTGCCCGAGTGCGCCATTCAGCAGGTCTGCAATGCCGTCTACGTAAGGCTCAACTACACCCAGCCATTGTGCGCCTGTCCGTCCAGGTGAGTTGCTAGATTGGAACGACCTACCCACTTGTCACTCCCCAGTGAGTTCTAATTAATCCTGCAAATCTAATCTCTGTCTCCTCTCTTCACAGATATCGTGATCCCTGCTCAGCCAGTCTCAACGAAGATGATCAGCATACCACAAAATTGGTTGGCGATAATAAGAAGAAGGTAAGTGAGCCTAGCCTAGACATAATGTTGTTCTTCCCAACCGAATTACTTAGATAATTGCTTTGGCCATGATTTGATTCTGGGCCACGACTTGAAGAGATCACTTGGGAACCGAAAGTGGAACTGCCGGAGTGCAGTTTGTAGATCATTTGTTAGATCACTCTCTCGGTATAATCATTAGTTCAATGGATAGTTGCAGGTTCCGCGGCGGCACGACTTTGGGTTTAGTCTGGGAAAACGAAACCACAAATATGATTTGATCTCTTTTTAAATGAATCAATGGATGATGGTATTTCAGAGGCATTGGTAATTTAATAAAGAAGATCCACGAACTTCATTTTCTGTATTTGTAATCAATTTCAAACAGCGGAAGAGAACTATTTTTTTGAGGAAGTAAATACCAGTTACATTTTTCGTATTAAATAATTAAAAGAGAAAATATTCCCATAGATTTATTGAAAGAAAGAAGAAAAGTGAAATTGTTTTGTGGGAAAATAATTTTAGAGCTAAACTTTAAAAGATAGTTTCCAAAAGATCCTTTAGGAAGTACCTTTGTTACTCAATTTCTGCATCATTTTTTAAGAAATACAAAATTATAAACCTCTAAATAAATAAATAAAATATTCCTTAGCATAATTTTATTAAAAAAATTTCGACTTTAAAATATTTAAAAATAATTATACTAAACTTGTTCTTATAAATCCTAAACCAGCAAACAATTAAAACTGAAGATACTACATCTTACCTACTCTATTCAAGAGAATCTCTATATAAACAAGGCAAAAATAAATACCTCTTAAATTCAACTCCCCAAATGGTCTGTAATTCAAATCAGTTAGTAAGAAAGATCAGTGGCATTTACAAAAAAAAAAAAAAAAAACACAACAGTTACTCCCCTTTAACCATGGCGAATTTCCCAAGGCGGTGTTGGGTTAATGAAAAACACGATGTCTGGAAGCCAGCAATATATCATTTGATCAGTTAAAGATCAGCCCCCTAGATGGAGGCATCGAAATTGAGACTCATTTGCCGGATGACTGACTTGTGAAATTGATTCCTTGGTCTACGCCACAGACTCTCACTTGAGGATTCGTTTTCCCAGCATTGCCGAAGGCACGACCATGATGATGGCCAGGTCATTAGGGAGATCACCTTGTGTGCGGTTTCCAATATTATTTGCTTTATTGCCTGGCCATGATCTGCTCCTTCGGCCCCTGTTTTCCACCGATATGCGTTCAGTACATTTAATTGAGTTATAAATGCCAACAGCCAAGCTGCTCTCTCGGACTTGAGGTCTTGAAATAAATTAAATAATAATAAAAAATCATTTCTAATGGCTTAATGGCCGGGCCAAGTGCTCTGCATGGCGTGTGAGTGTGTATAGAGTGTGGGCAGTGTCAGACATTGTCATAATTACACTTCACTTTACCGTTAAATGCAACACTTGCTGCTGCTGCTGCCACTGACGCTGCTGTCGTGGCTTCCGAGGCTTTTCTGCTATTTCTACTTTGCCGGAACTGTACAGCAAATTATTAAAATGCGTTTAGCTGGAAAACAAGAGCGGAGCAGTAGGAAAAACTGGAACAGCCGGGCGGACCACATTAACCTGAATGCCACTCAATGAAGCGAGCAAGTTAAAATAGAGGAGAGAAAAACAAAGTCAGAGCCCAAAGAGTAGCTGAGATTTCTTACCAATCGACTTGACATGCAAACGAGCGCCGCAAGAGTCAATCAAATTACGTTCGGCGAACAACAGTAGCCCGAGCTGTAAATCAGTTAAAGGACAATCAAGTTGGCCAATTGAAAGCGTAGCAAAAAGGCCAAACACCAGCTCAAGCCCAGGCCAGCTAAGTGTTCGGGTTTAGCCCTCGGTTATAAAAGTCTGGCAGATCTCCAAATCTCTCCCCTGGGCGGTGACTGCTCCTGTTTTTTTTTTTTACCTTTTTTTTTTAGCTCGTGCTAAGTGACAGCTACGTGTCCAGGCTCTGTCCATAGCGTTTAGCATGCCAGCTTTCAATTTAGAGTCATGATCGGAGTCATGAGACGGTGTCGGTGTCGGTGTCTAGTATCGGGATTTCGGGGTAACTTTCTTTCCTGCCCTGCGGGCCAAAGTGAATGTCTAATCGCTGGCAGAGAGAGACTAACTATTAAATATTAGACCACGTCTACCATGTCTAGACAGACTCTGCACTACAACAAAAAGTATTTACAGACTTTTTTAAGCAATTCATAAATCAGTTTTACTTTTCGGGCTTAATGGAAGCTTAAGGAAGACGCATAAAAGTTAAAAACCCCATAGAAAATGGGGTAATGGGGTAGTTGCAATATATTTTAAGGTTTATCAAAGAGAATATAATGGTTTATTATTTAAAAACCCTTGAAAAAGAAACCTTAAATTGATGAGCGATAATTACAAGTATGTAGTGTCCGTTTAAAGAAGTTTATCGGTGATGATCTTTCATCTTCGTTTTAAGATGGTTTAGAACATTTTCCTAAAGAAATCCTTCCATAAATATAGGTAGTTCTTTTCTAAACTATTTTCTTTTTTAAAACTTATTACTTGTAGACCGTAAAAACTCCTCTTACTTTTACTCTCTTTCCTACTTTTTCAACTTTAATTTTTCAATCCTATTTTTCCCATTCTCTTCCTAGGCCATCACGCTGGCCAAGACCTGTGAGGCCACCACGGAAATGCGAGAGTGCCGCTCACCCAAGGATTGGTCTCTGCTGGCGCTCCAGAATACACGAACTGGCAAGTCGCATTATCTGGTTATCTGCCGCTGTCCCGATCACTTCAAGATGGGTAAGTTTAAGTATAGAAAACAAGGAAAAATAGCAGTGAGCTTAAAATAACAATTGAAAAAGTGACCCAGAGAATGCTATAAAATATTAAACAATAAGGGTCCTTTACTATTTTATTTCAAACTTTTAAGCGCAAGTTTAATTGATTTTAAATCTGTGTCACTTCCAAACCCTTAACCCATTTCAAATCACAACATTTTCATTAAATTTTTACCATTTTCCAGAGGGACCCATGGCTCATGACCAACCCACCTATGCCAGTGTGCCCGGCATTCGAGTCTTTGGCATGATGTGCGTGAAGCCAGGCTACTCTGTGCGCAAACCCAGCACCCAGCCACCCAAGAGATACCAGCTGCAGAAGCCCTTCTATCGTCCCTCCATTGGAGGCGGTGGCGGAAGTGGCTCCCTGGGTGGCCAGAAGGATAGCTACGGTCGACCCATCTACGGCGGAAGTGGCTCTGTGGGCAGTTCAGCCATCAGTGCCAACTATCAGCCGCAGGATCAGAGCTTCCAAAATGGCGGCAGCAGTTCGTATCAATACCTAAACCGACCGGAGAGCAGCCCCAGCAGCCACAGCTCCGCCAACTTCCGGCCGGATCAGTTCTCGATCAACAATTTCCCGGGCAGCAATTATGGACGCAACAACGAGAGACGCGGCGACCTGCCGCCAATCGAGGCAATTTCAAGTGGATCGGGAACCGGTACTGAGGAGCAACCGGGCAGCAGTACTCCCGCGGGCGAGGAGGAGGCCAGGACCACACTGCAGGTGGAACAGGTAGAGACAGAACCAGCGGCTGCAGCGCTTCCTGTGGCGGCGGAACACACCAATGCGGCGGAGGAGGCACCGCTCGAGAGCCGAGCCAAGAGATCGCTCTCCGAAACGGAAGACTACGAGCCGGAGTTTCCCTGGGATCGCGTCATCGAGTTCCAGCAGAGCATCATATGGGACTAAGAGGGTTCCGGGAATAAACCAAGCAACCAATCCTAGTAGATACAATTTCAATAGCACAAGGCGATTTCCGGCGACCGACTAGAAACTGTGCAAACAAACATAAAAAAACAACTGTGACTGAAGTGAGGACGAGAAGATGAAACGGATGAAAATGGCTTCGAAAAAGCATAACGTTCACGTCACGTAACGTCTAGCGTAGCGTAACGTAATTAGCGGCTAAGCTTTTCTTAATTTAAAACAATTTTTAGGCATTTCCCTTGGCATTTCTCCACCCGAACCCTCTCTCTTAATTTATATATTTATACATACATGTATTTATTTACAAAACATTTACGAATTAATTAAACAATTACACGTGCCCGGGCACAGTCACACTAATTGTTTAATTAATTTGTTTTGCATTTAAGCGTAAACAAGGCCTCAACTTTTCTTTAAAATAATGTTTAACGAATTAAACGAATAGTTTAGGTGCAAAACTGGAAACTATTTTAGAAAAAACAAAGGAAACAAGTAAACGAAAAGAGAAAAAATAATTTAAAAACAAAAAACCAACACCGAAATTATTTAAACTAAATTTAGTTGCTTATTTATGTTTAGACCTAAGCTGCATTTACTAGTAGTTAAATAAAATACTATTTTAAAAATAATTTTTAATCAAGAGCAATATTTTTTGCGGATTAAGAAGGTAAAGTATAATAAAACTAAATTAAAAACTTAGTTTTTTAGAAAATTCCAAGCTGAATTAAGAACGGAATAAATTCAGATTTTTCGTCTCGATGAAAATTACTTGGAAAAGATTTATACCGAAAAATATATCAGCTTTCAATATAATATTTATATATTTTATATCATTTTTGTTCCAACTCACCCAACATTTCCGCATTAACCACAATATTACAGCTGTACATGGGAGTAACCAATCTCTGCGGTTGATTCTGAAAAGCCTGACGACACACTTCTTTGGCAGCAGTCAAGACTTGTCCTAAAAATAAATTCAAATTACTTTTAAAAAATATTTAAAACTCGAATATATTAATACCCACCCGAAAAGGGACCCCTGGCATTCAAATCCTCTCCCTCCGACTGAATGGACCACTCGAGAACGGCAAAGCACACGCCCTGCATGGGCTCCTCGCATAGTGGACCTGCTCCCGAAGTCAATTGAAAGCCATTCACCAAGGAACTATTAAAATCCTTGCGAGGATCACTAGCAGAACGAATTTCCGTATCCGAAGCCTTGGCATGGCTTGACCAAAAGTCCGGTTGCTCATAGTCACTCAGGTTGAGCAGAATATTGGTGCCACAATTTCGAGGACCCAGAGCCCAGACTCGATCCACAAGCTCTGCAGGGGAGAGAGAACTCAAGCCGAACAGCTGGAGATCCTGGAGAGCATCAATCAGCTTCAGCTTAATGGAGGCCAGCAGTGTTGTCCACTTCTCCGAGAGCAGTTGGTTCCGGGGAATTGCAGATAGTTCCTATCAGAAAATATATATTATTAAAATAACTATAAAGATATCTTAAAAGCTAACCTTGAAAAAATCTGAATGCTTTTCCAGAAGCTCCACTGCCTCCACCGGCAGGGGCACCGCTATCACCTTGAGCGTGCCCAGTTTGTTTAATGTCTGCTGGACAGCTATTTTCTTGCTCACATCCTTGTCCTCCGCGGTCTTAACAATGGCCTCATTTACCATATCCACGGTGGCAGCTGGAACAATTGTTTCCCTGAAGGACACTATCGGCTTGGACACATTTACCTTGATCTTGGCATAGCTCTGTTCCAGATCATGGACACACTTTTCCACATGCACCTCACCGAGAGTGGTAATCACGTGTTCACCCGTCGTGGCCACAGACACCTGGACACAGGCATCAGCTTGGTTTAGAAGCTTTAAGCCTTTGACCAGCTTGGGCATATCCTGCGGCTGAACGGGTTCAATGGCCACTCGGAGGATGGGCGTGGCCATGATGCTGAGTTCACTGAAGGAAGTACAATCCAAGCTGCTGCTCAAGGTGGCTGTCTTAACAATGTGGGATTCCAAACCACCGATTCCAACGATATTTCCCGCGGGTACTTCATCCAGAAGCTGCAGTTCCCCACCCATGAACATGTAAAGATCGCCTATGGTCACACGACTGGCATAGGGAGCCTCATCCTCTTTGCGATGCGTGGGCTGGCGAGGATCGTGTTTAGGCGAGAGATTGAACAGCTGCATGCCGCGCTTCAAGGTGCCACTGAAGACTCTGGCAAAGGCTATGAACACGTACTCGTTGGGTTCTGCCTCCGGTTCGGATGCCTCCTTCTTGGCAACCTCCGTCTGAGAGCTCAGCTGCTCCACACCCTGGGTAATCTTCTCCAGCTCAGTTTGTTCAGTTTGCTGCTTTCGCTCTTCAATCCGGCGACGTACTTCGTCCCTGCGCTGCTGCAGCTCTTGGTCGGTCAGTCTCTTGGGTCTATTTTGAGGCAGTTGGGTTACATGCACGGGAGTCATCTTGGACACGAAGGCAATGACATTGGAGCTACCGGCATCGCAGCTGGTAAAGCTCTCCTTAAGCTTCAGGGTTTCTAGAGGCAGCGAATTTAGTTCCACATTTGCGGGGTAGAGTAATCTCTGGGCTCTCTCCTCGCTGATTTTGTGCGGCGGCGGAACGTGGGCCACGACCATGTGCAGGACACTCCTATCAATGGGGAGCCACTGTCCAAGCACTGCCTTGATTTGTAATTTGGGATCATTCAAGCGCAAATCTCTAACAGCCAGCTTGAGTCCCAACTTCTCAGCTATGCCAGGCAGCTTGTCCTTATCCTTTCTGATGGCTATGATGTCGTACAGGCTCCAGATGTTCTCCAGCACAAACTGCACAAACATGGGCTTTTTGGCCTTCTCCTGGGCACCCGGCATAGCTTCCTTTTTCTTGGAGTTGTAATAAAAGTCACCCCACAGCACCTGCTCCAGGTCTTCTCTTTTCATTTCCAAACGCTTGGCATACATGGCGGCAAAGTCTCGGACGGAGAAGGCCCAGCCATCGTAGGCGGAGCAGAAGATGACGTTACCAGAGCTGGGCGAAAAGTACAGATCCGAGTCGTCCACTTCCTCCAGGGCAGATTCATAGTTGTCCTTTTTGGTAATATCCTCCCTGGCCAAAATATCCGAAGCGAAAATGCTGCCCAAAACCGCATTGACTTGCTCCAGAACTTGAGTTAAATGAAAATAGGCATCCAGGGGATCCAGTTGCTTCTCTAGGATCAGACGATCCAGCTTGTTCAGCACCAGGACCGGCTTCAATTGCTCCTCGTAGATTTGCTTTAAGCAGGCGCGAGTTTGCGGGCCCACACCTTCCACCACATCAACCACAACGATGGCGCCATCGCATAGCCTCACAGCGGTGGACACCTCGCTGGAGAAGTCCACATGTCCGGGGGAATCAATGAGATTGATGAGGAAATCCTGATTTCCATCAGTATTCTCCGCTTCCTGGTAATACAGAGAAATGCTGCTGCTCTTCATGGTGATTCCACGCTCCTGCTCATCCGCCCGATTGTCCAGGTAGCGCAGCTTACCCGCCATCCGTTGGGAAATGATGCCGTTGCTGGCCACCAGTGAGTCGGCCAGTGTTGTCTTGCCATGATCCACATGGGCCAAGATGCAGATGTTGCGCACCTGTTGCTGGCGGCGCTGCAGCTGCACAAGATCCTTGCCCTCGATCACGGGCATCCTTGTTGTTTATAATGATTAACTTGTGGCCAATTGTCAGTTTGATATTAACTGGGAATTTCGTCAGTTGGTCCAATTGTATTTATAAACAAAAACCGCACGCGGCAATTTCGCAATGTATGTGACCAGCTGCAGGAACTTCAAAAATAACTGACCACTTGTTAAGTTGCAAAGTTTATGCGCATAAGTTCATATATCTACAAATATTTTATATTTAAATAATAATGAGTAAATGAAATGTTAAATAAATTTAATAAATAAGCAAAATATACTTTTACAAACCAAAATATTCATACTCAAAATCCCGAATTCCACGCATAAACGGAGTACATGTCTTCCCAATATCAAGTTGGCAGTTCTCGTCGCCAAAACAGCTGTTCACCACGCATGCAGTTGCTCTCTTCCTCTTCCCAGCAACAATTTCGTGATTTCGCACGAAACTTGAAATAAAAGTCCGAAAAAATGGTGGAATTAACGCCCGCGGAGAAAAAAGCGCTGATTACACGCAACCTGCAGGAGACGCTCGGCGATGACAAGCTGACAAAGATCCTGGGCGAGCGTGATCTTAAGATCTACTGGGGCACGGCAACGACGGGCAAGCCACATGTTGCCTACTTCGTGCCCATGTCAAAGATTGCGGATTTCCTGAAGGCAGGCTGCGAGGTCACCATCCTCTTCGCCGATCTGCATGCCTACCTGGATAACATGAAGGCCCCCTGGTCACTCCTGGAGCTGCGCACGCAATACTACGAACAGGTCATCAAGGCCATGCTTAGCTCCATTGGCGTTCCCCTGGAGAAGCTGAAGTTCGTCAAGGGCAGTGACTATCAGCTCTCCAAGGAGTACACTCTGGATGTCTACAAACTAAGTTCGGTGGTCACACAGCACGATGCGAAGAAGGCCGGTGCCGAGGTGGTCAAGCAGGTGGAGTACCCGCTGCTCTCTGGTTTGCTTTACCCCGGCCTTCAGGCCCTGGACGAGGAGTACCTCAAGGTGGACGCTCAGTTCGGTGGCGTGGATCAGCGCAAGATTTTCACCTTCTCGGAGAAGTACCTGCCGCAGTTGGGTTACGAGAAGCGTATCCATTTCATGAACCCCATGGGTGAGTCATCGCTGCCTGCCCTACTAGAACCTAAGCCTTAATAGCTGGTTCTTCTTTTTTCAGTGCCCGGTCTGGCTGGCGGCAAGATGTCTTCTTCCGAGGAAGACTCTAAGATCGATTTGCTCGACTCCCCAGCCAATGTGAAGAAGAAGCTGAAGAAGGCCTTCTGCGAGCCGGGAAACATTGCCGACAATGGACTCCTATCCTTTGTGAAGCATGTTCTCTTCTCGCTCTTCAAGGAGGGCGAAGGATTTGAGGTGATCCGGGAGGAGGAGCACGGCGGTAATATCACTTTCCTGAAGTACGACGAGCTGGAAAAGTACTATGCGGAGGATAAGCTGCATCCTGGTGACCTGAAGGCAACCGTGGAGAAGTACATCAACCGATTGCTGGATCCCATTCGAAAGGCCTTTGAAAAGCCAGAGCTGCAGTAAGTTATATTTGGAGTACAATTTGTTTAGGCAGAAACTTAAGGATTTATTCCATTTACTCCCTTAGAAAACTCAGTGCCGCTGCTTATCCGCCACCGGCCAAGGTCAAGGCAGGAGCAGCTGCCCCAGCTGCTGGTGCTGATGAAGATGCGCCCCATCGCCTGGATATTCGTGTGGGCAAGGTCGTAGAGGTGGCTCGTCATCCAGACGCTGACACCTTGTATGTGCTGAAAATAGACTTGGCTGAGGAGCAGCCCAGGACGATCATCAGTGGCCTGGTGAAGTTTGTCACCCAAGAGGAGCTGGAGCAGCGTCTGGTGGCGGTTCTGTGCAACCTGAAGCCCTCCAAAATGCGTGGCATCCTGTCCGAGGGCATGGTCTTGTGCACATCCAAGTAAGTGGCATCCAATAACATAATCTTTGTGATTTTATTAATATTTTAACCCTTGATCTACTCCAGCGCTGATCACACTGTTGTGGAGCCCATTGTGCTGCCAGCAAATGCTGCTCCTGGCAGTCGCCTGGCCTTCGAGGGCTACAGCGGCACGCCCGACGAACAGCTTAACCCCAAGAAGAAGGTGTGGGAGAAGCTGTCCGCGGACTTTAAGACCAACGGCGACGGCCTGGCCGTGTGGAAGGACAACTTCCTTTTGACGCCCGAGGGCGAGAAGCTGTCCAGCAAGCTGGCCAACTGCGCTATCAAGTAGGCTTTCGAATGCGCCAGTCAACCTGAGCCCGTGTAATACTTACCACTAAGCCGAATGTTCACAAACGGAAACTGATGCTAATTTATTGATTCCTTGTAAAGAAAATATATGCATTTTTTAAATAAAGCTCAAAAAAAAAAAGGCCCATTTAATTTAAATGTATTTGAGTGTAATTAAATATAAATAGAAGCTCAAGAAAGTTGATAACTTTAGTAATTCATTTAAATAAACTATAAGAATAAATTAATTCAAATTCCCCGCCTAGTTCCCTAAACGAGTTGGCAGCTCTGCTTTCCATCAGCTGTTTTCAGTAAACAAAACCCGGCGAAGGAAGTTTCTTTAGTTTTTTAAAGAAATGTTAAAGATTAACCAGCGTTTCCTGCTGCGGCACTTCCTGCGCCACGCCCACAACAAGGTGCGCGTCCGCTTTGCTCCCAGTCCCACAGGACACCTGCATTTGGGAGGACTTCGCACTGCTCTCTACAACTTCCTGTATGCCCGCCACTTGGGTGGAAAATTCCTGCTCCGGATCGAGGATACTGACCAAACGCGACTTGTGCCAGGCGCCAGTGAACGCCTAGTAGAGGATCTGCGCTGGGCGGGCATTGAGATCGACGAGGGACCAGGATTTGAAGGCGAAGTCGGACCCTATGTACAGAGCCACAGAAGGGAAATTTACAGGTGAGTTCCAGGGATAAAATTCACCAATTCCATTAAAGAAACTAAAACCTTCCTAACCAGTAAAGCCATTGGAGAGCTCCTGCAGAATGGCAGGGCCTATCGGTGTTTCTGTACAGAGCGCCGCCTGGATTTGTTGCGTAAGGAGGCGCTGAGAACCCGCCAAGTTCCACGCTACGATAACAAGTGTCGGCATCTCACGGCAACGGAAACCGAAGCACTGCTGGCCAAGGGAACACCCCACTGCATCCGGTTCAAGCTGACAGATCACGAAGAACCACTAGAGGACCTTATCTATGGGAGTGTCCATCACAATGTAAGCGACACAGAAGGCGATCCGGTGGTCATGAAGAGCGATCAGTTTCCCACATATCACTTTGCCAACGTGGTGGACGATCACCTGATGGGCATCACGCATGTCCTGCGCGGAGTCGAGTGGCAAATATCCACCACCAAGCATTTGCTGCTCTACAAGTGGGTTTAATTTTGCAATCATTTTTCTTGCATTAAAATGTGGTTTATTTTTCCAGAGCCTTTGGCTGGCAGCCACCTAAGTTTGGTCACCTGCCGCTTCTAGTGAATGCCGATGGCACAAAGTTGAGTAAGCGTCAGGGCGACATAGGTATCCAGCATTTCCGGCAACGAGGCTACTTTCCCTTGGCCCTGATTAATTATGTGGTGTCTGCGGGTGGAGGGTTCGAGCATAGAACCAATGCCAAGCAACAGTTGCTTAGCATGCAGGAGCTAGGCGAGCAGTTTCAGATTGAGAGGGTTAACTCTCATCCTAGTAGGTTAAATCCGGAACTTCTGGATGATCTGAATCGCCTGGAAATTGGAAAGCGCTTGAGTGGAAAAGAAAGCCGCGGGGAGTTGGTCAAGCAAGTTCAGGATTTGGTAAAGGAAGCCTATCCCAAACAGTAAGCTATTATTAAATATTAAACCCAACTAATAATAAAAGGAAACCATATTTTATGGCAGCTCCAACTTGGATCTGGCGGAGGATCACATACTGGATGTTTTAAATTGGTCTTCCCAGCGATTGACTCTACTCCAGGATCTCACCAGCAGCAAGTTGAGTTTCCTTTGGGTGAAACCTTTAGATTTTCAACTAAAAGAACTCACGCCACAGCAATTAAATAATCTGTTAAAAGAACTCCACTCCCATCAGGACTTTGCCAAGGATCCGCTTAATGTTAGGCTAAAAAACTTTGCCCAAACGGAGCACCTAAAGTTCCCCCTCATGATGAAGGCCTTAAGGGCAGCCTTGAGTGGCTTAAAAGAAGGCCCCGGCGTGGCAGAAATGATGGAAATCCTGGGAAAAGCGGTAACCCTCGAAAGACTCAAAGAGGCCATGCCCCAGGAAAGTCTTAACATAGAACAAAAAATATAATTTCGATTAAGTTTTGTTATATATTCTGTTGTATATCGATTACATATATATTTTATATTGATAACTGTTGCAAATTTGAGAATAAGATCAATGAGTAGACACACCACACTAAGAATCAAAATTATGTATGATTAATTCTCCGTCAGTTTCAGAAACTAATTTCTTGTCGCTCCATTTTTTGGCATTTTTCTCGCTTAAGCACCACTCCTAGATTAATTATTTAAACGCTAATAAGGTCGCTTAACTAAAGTCGCGATTGGTGAGTATAATGGGCGCAACCAGACTCCAGCCATAGATGAAGACACCCAGCCAGCTGGAGATGATCTTGACCCACATGGAAGCCTCGTTGCCGTTGAACAGCTCAATGTCAGAGTTGGGTCTGTCAAGAGAGATAAAGGGGAAACCCTTGTAAAAACTGGGCTTTAAACTATCTTATGATACTCACTTGTACCAATTGGTCAGTGTCATCATAACGTAGAGCGAGGCACACACAAAGACCACATGGAACAGGGACCAGGAGTAGGTGACGCCTTCGGTTTCAGTGTCGGTGCTGGGCTTTCCACTGGCCTCCTTGCCACCCGCCTCTGTGTCTGATAGAGCTTCTGTTAAAACTACATTAATTGGAGTGCAAAAGAGGAGCCGCCACATGGTGTTTCACACAGTTTCAAGTTTTCAAATTACCAAAAGGATTAGTTGGGTTAATCGGAAAATAAAATCAAGAGAGAAAACAAAGCGGCGAAGGCAAAACAAGTGTTAATAATCAGTATTAGCTTGGGTTTGTTTTTTTACAGCGAGCGGAAAATGAAAAGTGAGAGGCGGTTGAATGCGAATGCGTGAATGGCAAAAACTGTGGAAATGTGTGGGGGTAATGGCATGGAAATGCGGACGGGAAATGGGCAGAAACTTACCACGCTTCTCGCTGTTGTCATGGGTGATCTTCGACACCTCCACCGCCGAGCTGATGCAGTTGTAGAGGATGCACAGGAGCCAGACCACCAGGCCAATGATGTTGGTGGTGTCAAAGGTAACCTTGGAGTTGTGTGAGGGTGGAGCCACAGTTGTGGTGGCATTGCCAACGCCATCCATCAAGCCGAACATGCCAGGATTGCATTCCTTCTCTGGAAGTTTATAGATTTAATTTCAACGACGTTTTAACCAGGATTCCTCCAAGGATTGCCTACCCGGATTATTGGCCACAGCGGACCAGGTCAAATAGATCGTGTACAGGGTGACCAGGGAGCTCTGCAGCAGGCCGGAGTGTGGCAAACGCTCCTGAACAGCGGGCAAGATCGAGATCACGCTAATTACCAGGCAGAGTATGAGGTTGATAGAGATGAAGAACTTGTTGATGCCGCATCCAGTGCTCTACAAATATAAAAATCTTGAGTAAATAACAAATAAGCCTTATAAACTCCCACTCACAGTGGTAAAGTAGATGTACAGCAGCGTAATCCCGGTCAGCGATAAGATATAGCCCAACAGTGTGACCCCGGCCAGGGCATAATAATAACCACGACTGTTTTCAGCGCTCTCTGTAAGAAATTTAATTAGCCAAGATGAATCATCTTAAAAAATCTCCAAAGACCCATGACTCACCTATCCAATTCTCCGCCAGCGAATGAGCAAAATCCACAATAATGACCAACTGGACAAGAATAAAGGCCAGACCGCCTATTAGGCCCACCCACATCATAGCCGGCCCAAAGGATCCATCGGGAATGAAGATGGCACCAATGGCTGCCCCGAAGCAGATCAGGAACTTCAGAGGCCAAAAGTTGTTTTGAATATGCGCGCGCGGATCCCGGGAGCTCTTTACGCCCAGCATGATCACCGACATCAGGGCGAAGAAACAGGCCATTCCGAAGCAGATCCTATACACGGCCATGTAGCCAAGCGCATACTCGCAGTCCACCTGAAGAGATCCTCCCGAGAAAGTATCGATGGCCTTGGAGCTGTACGAGGAAGTCGAATTGATGCAGAAGGGCAGCTTCTTTAGCGTGTCCTGTAGTCCAGGAGAAAGGGCAATGGCGCCCAGGACAGTGCCCACCAGCAGGATGAAGGCGTACATAAAACGCGACGAGGAGGCATTGGTGCAGCTGGGACAGGCCGAGCAGCACATACTAGCCGCAGTGCCGCCGCAGCACATGGCGCACTGGACGAGAAAAATTGATGAAATTAACAAAGATATGATAAATGTAATAACAAATAAGAAAGGGTTTAAGAAAATCACTCGAAACATATGTTATTGATTTGTTGCAAATGACCAGAAATTACGCTGGTAGATTTGTAGACCTAGTTAGCAGCTAATTAGAAACTAATGTACTCACCTGAGCGGCTGAGCAGAGGCCCAAAACAGCTCCCATCTTGCGGTAAAGTTATTTATTTGGGTGAATTGGAAAATTGCGTTTTTGTAAAACTAAACAAAAACCTTTTTGTTGTGAAAAATGTGACTGCAGTATGGCATAAATCCCGAAAGAGTGTGACCAACTGGATGGATATCGATATATGAGAGTTTATCGCACTGCTTACTTCAACTGCTTACGAACTGCTTACGTCAACTGGACAAGCAGTGAATAGAGAGAGAGATGAGGAATAGGAATTATGCACCACTCTCTCGCAACAAAATTTCACAATATAAATATCGATAGTATCGTTTTTTGTACGATTCTTTATTACAATTATCGAATAGAATTAAATGTAATACCCTTCAAAGGTTTACAAATTAAGCCATAAGTTTTGACTAAGTAATTAACAAAAATATTATTCCATCCAAGCAAGGCACACCCTTTTGAGATTCAGTTAATATTTTTCTGTACCACCTTCAATTTAATCTAGAATACATTTTTATTAAAAAGGATATATAATATATTCGTATGCATTTTTCTTACTAAATTTCTGCAACCAAGCAGTGACCATCGATAGTGACAAAAACTATCGATGGTGGCTCAGAAAGGGGAAGCATTCGATACCTCGATAGTACCATCGAACACTCTACATTCTACACGAGAATTCGACCCCAAGCATGTAAAACTTTGTTTTGACATTTTACTTTGAAGTTCAGAGTGACCAAGGGGAAAATATCAAACAAAAATATGGCGATTTCGATATTTGGGCAAAAAGTATCGTTATATTTAGGTTTTGAAACACGCCAGATATAGTGGGAAAATAGCTAAATTGGCAACACTGTCACTAGCCAGAGAGCCGCTCTCAATTTGGGAATTCCATAAGCAAATTCTGTTAAACTCTCAATTTGGGAATTCCATAAGCAAATTCTGTTAAACTCTCATTTTAACAGAAAATTCTGTTAAACGCGCGCTCAATTTGGGAAGCAAAGTCTGTTAACGAGCCAAATTCTGTAATCGAGAGCATTTCTATGTTAAGTAACAGTTTGCTTTGAAATTCAGAGTGACCAAGGAGAAAATACCGAAAAATATCAAACAAAATATCGTTATATTTAGGTTTTGAAACACGCCAGATATAGTGGGAAAATGGCTAAATTGGCAACACTGTTCCCACCTATCCTATAAATACGGGTCGCAAGCGCCATTTTAAAAAATATTTTTGTGCGGAGCGGAATTCGATTTAAAATTTTCAAATTTTCCGGTGTTGGCGGCTCTTAACCGACAAGATCCTGCATGTGTGCATTTTAGCTGAAACCGAAAACCGAAACCAGCGCATTGGTGGTTGCTACCCGTCTCACTCTCTCTCTCCGCGTGTGCATGTGTGTGCGTGTGCCAGGAAAAGTGTGAAGCAGAAGAAAGCAAAGCGCAGCTCTAATTAAGAAAAACCCAAGATCGAGATAAAAGCGAGAATCAAATCATAAAAATGGCAAGCGAAGTGGCCCAAATACCCGCCGAGGAAACGCCCGCAGTGGCGGCGGCAACAGAGAGCTCCGCCGAGCAGGCGGAAAAGCCAGCCGCTCCCGCTGGCGATGCTGCCGCTGCAGCCGCCCCCGCAGCAGCCCCGGCTGAAAAGAAGGAGGGCGGAGAGGCGGAGGACAAGAAGGAGGACGGAAAGCCGGAAAATGCAGCTGCCGACGGCGAGGCAAAGAAGGATGAGGCGGCCGCTGCACCGGTGGCGGCGGCCAAAACGGATGCCCCGCCCGCCCAGAAGTTCAATGTGCACAAGACCAACTTCGAGAAGGACATCATCTATCTGTACCAGTTCTCGCGCACCCCGCTGCTGCCCTCGCTCTCGCCCTACTGCCTTAAGGTGGAGACCTGGCTGCGTCTCGTGGGCCTGAAATACGAGGTGGGTGCTAGATTAAAGCCACTAATTAACGAAAAACCCCTAGGAAACCCTAAGAACCCGAAAAGTATCCCAGATTTTTCTCGCATTTTTGCGGTACAGATTTTTTCCCAGCTCCTGCGGGAGAGTAAGAGAGAGCGATAGAGAGAGCGCCGCCATCATGGTGTGCGCTAAGCCTGCCTGTACGTATACTGCGTGTGCATGTGGTGACCTGCCCTGCCCGTAACTGAAAAAGGGATACATTTAGCGCTCTCTCTTTCTCTCAGCCCGTCCCGCCGCCGCCACCGCCTTTGTGTTTGTGTGAACCTGTAGCCTGGTCCTGTATGTGTAAAACAGCGTATACATAAAATTTGTGTGTGCGCCGACGCCGACGTCGCGTCGCTGCTTTATGCTCCACTCTCTGTTTCCCCAAACCACATCCCCTCCCCTTGCGAAAACGAAGTCGTGCTTCAAATTTTGCACTTGCCGACTCTCTCCCCTTCTGTCTCGCTCTTGCCTGGCACTGGCTCCGGCTCTGGCTCCCTCTCTCGCTCGCTCCGCCAGAGTCTTGCCTGCTCTTTGTCTTTTGTTGCTGCACTGTTTTTTATTTCACTTTTCCTTCGACTTCTTGCTGCTGCAGCCTGCCTGCTGCTTGTAATTGCTTTTAATAGAAATTGATGCAGTTTAAGACGGACTCAGAAATAGCTGTCCCCGTCCCTCCCTCCTCCTGATTCTCCTTGTCCTCTCTGCTTATCTGCCAGTCCGTTAAGTAGCTGTAATAGAGTGTGGTAGTAGTAGGGGGCGGGGGAGGAGGAAAACAACTGTCAACGACTTCCATTGGGTGCCTTCCATTTTAGCTTTTCGCTTTTTATTTCTTCTTGAGTTGTGTTTTTTTCTTTCTGTTTAAAGCGCGCGATGCGGTTTGCATATTTTTCATATTTTTATAGGCGCGCACACAAACGGAGGCGTCGAGGAAAACTTGAATAGTCGAAGGGGCGGGGGAGAAATGGGTGCGGTCACCCGCACAAAACGTAGAGACGCAATTGTTGTTTAATCTTATTAATTACATTGGTTAATGAAAAACGAGCCCCCGGAGGAATGTTAATTGATGCCTTTCCAGATGCCGGAGAACTGATAAGTGAGCGCAGCGCCCTCTCCCGCTCTTTCTCCCCCATCTTTTGCCATATGTTGCATTCCAGGCAAGAAAGAAGTCGAAAAGAAGTGAAGCAATTATGATTGACAGTCCATCAAATGGCCCGCAGCTGGAAATTACTTTCCATTTTCATTTCACATTCATTTCCACTGATAACGAGGCACCCTGAAATAGGAGTAATAACAGAGGAAAAACATAAAAAAGAGTTCAACAAACTTGCGGACCTTTGACATTTCTGGTTATCATTGTTGTTGTTGCTGCTGCTTGGCATTAATCATTGAAAAGGGAGGGTGACTGTGAATATTGTATGCAACTGACTAAGCCAGTTTGCTCCGACCGACCCCCTTGCATTTTTTCTGTGCCTGCCCCCCGCTGCTGCATTTTTCTCCTTCGCTTTTGTGTACACATTCATCAGTGTAAACAAGAGCAGAAGTTGTTTCTTTATTGATGATAAACCAATGCATATTTTGTTCACACCCATTAAGAAATACAACAGCAGCTACAACTGAAGCAGGCACAACAACAACTGCAGTAGCAGCAGCTATGCATCAGTTTCGCTTTTGAGGCGGTGGCCCGCATTGCTGGAATTCCTGGGTGTCGCGACGCATATTGTAGATTGTGCAATTAATACAACGTTTTTTCCTGCCATATGCACATTACTTACTTACACATACGCCACTCAAAAATCTTATTAATATTCAAATGGGAAATGCTGGCGCGCCATTTCATTTGACAATATTGCCAGCTTTAAAATATTAAGTACCGCCTAAGATCTGGCAACACTGCTTCCTTTAGCTGCAACTGTACGTGTGCGAATGTGTGAGAGTCCGTACGCGCGCGTATGTGTGCGTGCATGGGAGGAAGTGGAGTTCTTTTTGTTGTTGCTTTTGTTTTAATTAATAAACCGCATATTTGCATTAAAACAACACAGTGACCGGCCTTTGTTGTTGCTCACTCGACTGCAATTCTTTAGTTCCAGCTCTCTCTACATCTCTCGCTTGCTCATTTACTCTCTTTGGGATTTCGGTACAGGGGTGTGGATACACACACAAACACACGCATGCATGCAAATGTATGAGCTGCATAATTGCATTGCCTCTTCTTCTTGCCTGACTTTTTACACTGAACGAAAATTGAGGGGGTCCATTAAGTAAAGGTCCATTATGTGCGCCGCCTTAATTGGCATAATGATTTAATAAAAAAATAAATATTTGCATTGTATGGCGGCGCGGCTTCTGCTTCTTCTTCTTCTTCTTTGCCGACAGCAACCGTTATGCGTTGGCGTAGGCAGCAGAAGAAGAAGACGAAGCGGAGGAGTGGAAAGAAGAAGAGGAGCAGACAGGCTGCCTTTTTTGTGGATCATTGGAATTGAAAAATGCGAGACACAAAAACGGACTCCACCCTTTTCGCAGAGCGATGCTGCTGGAAGGCAAAAATCTCTCTATACCGCTCTTTCTCGCTCCCTGTTCTCGCTCTCTCTGTGCACTACACTCCTCCACTCTGCTCCTCTCTCTCACTGTGCGAGCAACCACACCCTGCCTCTCCCTTTTCGGCGGAGGGCGCGAAAGCATAAAATATGCCAACGGCTCGCTTTTTTGTTATGGCAGCAATTTCTAATTAGAAATTATTATGTAGATTTGTGCAGCCAAGCTGAAAACGAAAATGTTAAAACCGGACACCCGCCGCCTATAACTGTCACACGAGTCCATAACGGTAACGGTTCAAATGCCCCGTGCGGACGTGTGTACACACTGGAAGGCATTGGAATATGTCAAAATGTTCAAATAGCGGGCAATTGGAACACAGTTTCCCTCCCGCTGCGTCCGCGTGTATGTGTTTGTGTGAGTTTTAGGGGTGCTGGTTTTTTGGGTGGGTTTTCTGTTTTTGGTTTTCGAGTCCGGGTTTTGGGTTTTTGGGTTCCTGGGAGGTACAGCTAGCTTTTCGGGTAGTGAGTGGTTGGTTTTCAGCATCTGCTTGGCATACATAGGAAATACCCAAATACGCGCACACAGATACACACGTTCGCAATATGCCGGCTATATGTATGTCATGAGCGCCATCTAGCGTCCGGAATTCTTGCCGGGAAGAGATGAACTACATTTTCTCATTAGTCACAGGGAGAAAAAGGAAATTAAAAGAATTTACAACGGTTTCCATATGGACATTGCAATTTACATGCTTCTTCCAAGGACTTTCCATTATATGTGTTAAAAATGTTACAATTTTATACTGGATTTTTTGTTTTGTTTATTATATTATTTGTGGATTTGTTTATTTTAGTCCTTTCATCTTAAGTTTTAAGTTTTCTTGTAAATAAGAATTAACATTTACGGTCAGTATTTCTGGGATGCCCCACATTTAATTAAAATTTCGATATTTGTATAAAACAAAAGCACAACTAAACGATAATGGGGAGCAGGAAGTGCCGCCGTGATGACCAGTTGTCTTAATCATTTTTCTCACTGCATGACTCGGCCTGCTGCCCCCAGATAAAAAGAAAAGGTTGGGGTAAACAACCCCCACTCCCACTTCACATTCCACATGCCACATTCCAAGCACAATTACTCATCCTCAGCGCTACAGAAAATAATGTATACTCTTGTTTTCTGGCCCCGTTTCTTGCAGAATGTCGATCATAAGATGCGTTTCCGCTCCAAGAAGGGTCAGCTGCCGTTCATTGAGCTAAATGGCGAGGAAATCGCCGACTCTGCCATCATTATCAAGGAGCTGTCGTCCAAGTACGAGAAGAATCTGGATTCGGGACTCACCGCCGAGCAGAGGAATGTGTCGTACGCCACGATTGCCATGCTGGAGAATCATCTCATCTGGATTATCTTCTACTGGCGCGCCAAGTATCCGGACAATGTGCTCAAGGGATACAAGGTCAACTTGCAGCATGCCCTCGGCCTGCGGCTGCCCAACTCCATTCTGAACTTCTTCTTCAAGATTACGTTCGGTCGCAAGGTAACTGATAAGTTGGAGGATTCATTCATTCATGATCTCCCTGGGTTTCACTTTCTCTGAATTTGTTGTATGATTTTATATTACAATTTAGAAATTACATTGCATACTTTTGGTCATTTTTGTAAATAACCTTTAGAATGGTTTTAAGTATCTGTAATTTACCACAACCATTCTTAGAGACTTGATGCTAACTATTTGATGTAATTTTTATTGTTATCCTTAAAATCTTTGCTTTAAGGAACTCTCCCTTTGATTACTTATCGGTGTACATTTTTATTTTGGTAATGCCATAAATATTAACTATCAATCTATATTAATATTAGAAATAACACAATGTTAAACAAATGGAAATGGTCATAAATAATTCTAGCTTAAATGGAAATAGTTTTGTGTGGGGAACCCAGTGGAAATGAAATCAAAATAGATGTGAAAGTGAAAACCGGAAGACAAATGGAAACAATATTTAGTTTGAAACCCTAAACGTAGCTCAAGTAGTGTTGATCTAGTTACATTTCGCCGTGCCAGCAGCTCGCACAACCTCTCCAGTCAGTTCCTAAAACTGAAGATATCCGCACTTTGTTTAGATTTCAAGTGTAATCCAAAACTGGAGAGGTTTGCGAGATGGCTGACTGATAAGGCGGGGATGGATGGGTAGTGTAAATAAACAGTACTTGAGAAGCAAGCGGTGGCATATTATATTGCACCTACCTAGCAGTAACGGAACTAAAAACTCCAAACACCAACCCAGCCATACCCCCGCACATAGTTTACTCCGAATCGTCGTGCCATAAACAATCAATGGATCCCTTTTGTGGGTTGCATTTGTTTATGTCGCTATATTGGTTCTCACATAACAAAAAAATTAATGAAAAAAAACCCAAGCATCCGAAAAACGAAACAAAAATAATGAGAACCCAACGGGAAACAAGAAAAAAAACAATAGTTATTTTATCACTAACTCTTGCATGGTTTTTCTCTTTTTTCTTTTTCGTTCTTTTTTTGCATACCCCTTTGGTTTTGAACATCTAACTGTGTAATGCGTATTGCCCCCCTCGAATCCCCCAAAATAACTCGCACTCCAAAAAACAAACAACCCGTAACGTATGCTTGTGCATCCCCCGTAACCCCCATCATCATCATCCGTAACTCTGCTGTACGGCAAACGAACAACTATTGAACACAAAAAGTGGTTCCAGGGCACAAAGAAGCTGAAGGCGCACGGTATTGGCGTCCACAGCGCCGAGGAGATCGAAGAGTTCGGCAAGAATGATCTGAAGGTGCTCAGCGAGATGCTCGACTGCAAGCCGTTCTTCTTTGGCGATGAACCCACCACCCTGGATGTGGTGGCCTTTGCAGTGCTGTCGCAGCTCCACTATCTGTCCAAGGACATTACGTATCCGCTGCGCGACTACATGACCGAGAAGTGCCCCAACTTGATTGGCCATGTTTCTCGCATGAAGGACAAGTGCTTCCCCGACTGGGATGAGATCTGCACGAAGCTGGACCTTAACGCGCACATTCCCAAGCCAGAGTGAGTACTCGACTCGCAGTATATCTTATAGATTGTTTTCTAATTTTATGTAAATAAACTTTTTAGGCCCGAGACCAAGGAGGGCAAGGAGGGCGGCGAGCAGGAGAAATCAAACGAACAGGAAGGCACCGAAGGCGACAAGATCGAGAAGGAGTTGGAGAAGGACAAGGTAAGTCGTTGGTCTTAGATTTTAGATGGTCTTTCTTGATATAATGTCTTGTTTATATAAAATTAAAATCAGTTACAAAACTCAAATAAGAATGATGTACAACTATTCACACTTAATTCATAAAACAAAGACCCTCTAGAATCTATTACAATTTCAATGAACTGAAATTGTAACCAATTTTTCTTTCATTTTTCAGTCGAACGAGAAGGAGTCGACCGAGGAGAACAAAGAGAAGGAGGAAACAAAGTAAATTCGCCGTTAGTTATATGCGTACATATATCTAGTATATATGTGTATGGATCGAGAAAACACAAGAAAGCAACACCCCACATACACACACATTATATATATATACATATGTAGTACTATACTATATAGTAAGGCCCTATATAGCTAGGCGCTGCGCTCTCATATATAAGCATTCAGACATCAGAAAACCACTCGAAAAAAAGAACACCCATTTACAAAAACCTAGGACAACTGTGTAAAGCAAAAGCAGGCAAAAAACAAAAACCATCAGCAAAGAGAACGATCCACTAAGTAATGAAAAACAAAAAGAAACAAAAACAAAAAAGTATATACAATAACGTAACGTAAAACTTTGGACATCTTTTTTTATATATATACACGACGACGTTTGTATTACAAGAACAAGAAACAAAAAACAAACAACAAGAAAAAATTCAACAAAAAAACGAAAAAAAAACCGTAAAAACCATTTAGTATAAAATTATAAAAGTTTATACGTATAAATATTAAGAAGAAAGAGATGAATGCGAAGAGCAAGGGGGAGAAATTATAAAAAATTAGTTAAAGAACTCGAATAAAGAAAGAAAAAACAAAGAAAAGTGAGAAAATGTGAGTAAAAAAAAAGAAGAGTGAAGCCAGCGATATAGGAGGGATGGCAAGGACAGGAAAGGAAGGTGTAGAGAACAGCATACAATACGCATTAATCATTAGTTTTCATTCAAAACGCGATCTATATAATACACACTCATCCACACTCACAACACACACTCACTCACACACATATAGCATATGCAGCAACAATTGCAAACTCGATGGTATTGTTTACTCTTCCAAAATTGATTAAGCTTAAAGTAACGAAAAAGGATCCGCAGCCAGTACGCTATATATAGGAGGATACGATATGATATGATATGATATATACAGTGATGTCGCTGTAGTAGGGATGACATGCAATGGGAATGGTATAGGAATGATATATAACGGAATGACGGCAATTAAGTTTATTTTTTATATATATATGATTGCAAATAGTAATTTTTGATTCTCGTGTGCAAATAATTAAACAAAAAACGGATAAAATTTATTACTTATAATTATAAACATAAATCTTATATACGCGCCCCCATTATGCATAAAGATGTGTATAAAATAACAAACGAAACGAAACAAAACATAAGAAATATGTATGTTGGCTCTTTTATTATATTATATATATTATTTCTATATAAATATTATTGTAATTGTGTACTGTGTATTATGATTTTTTTGCTACTAAAAATCACGTTTTCGTATGAGATGCTCAGAGCTTTATCGATGTTTCAACACACACACATAATAAACAATCAAACGCATTCGAACCAAAAATGAATCTTTAAAAATACTCGGCAACACATACGAAAGATACAAGATACGAACAAAATTATTTGTAATTTTTTTTATACGAATTTGTAACTATTTTTTGTATATTCCCCTTTTTTTGGTACGTCCACCGAACAAAATTATATTATGTACGCCTCATTTATTTTTGTCTACTGTCTTCTGTGTTTTATACGATTTATTTTTAATGATATTGATTATGCAAATATATATATAAATATAAACATAATTTCTACTGTAATTAAAAAAATAACAACAAAACGCTGCAGACAACAAAAACAAACGCAAAAACCATCAACAAACTCATAGAAAACACAACAAGAGCATCCATGGGGAAAAAGCAGAAACGGAAGAACTGAAAGAAGAATTCACTGCGGGGAGGTCACCTTTCGCTCTTTCTCCCACTCACTTTCGCCCTTTTATATCCAGTCGGCCTCCTCCCTTTTCACACACGGATTCCTCGGTGTTTATTGTTTTCCTCCTCCTTTTTTTTTGTTTGTTATCGCGCTGCACTCGCGTTAACTTCTCATAAAAAATAAAAAAAAAGAAGGAATCATCAGCAGCCACAGATGGAGAATGAATGAAATCTTTTAATAGGGTAAAACTCACACAACTAAGAAATAAAAAGAGGGAAAAAAACGAAAACAAATACAGAACCCATTGAGGCGCGACAGAAGCAGTGAAAACAAATTTAGGAGAAGGTCAAGAGAAGAACAAGAAGAAAAGAAGAGAAGCAGGAGAAGACGAGAGCGGGCGACCGATCGATCGATCCACGGAAGGGAAAAGCAGATGAAAATCTCTATAACGATACGATTTGTAGACTACGCAAGTATTTTTATGTATTAAAGGTTATGTTGTAAGTTTTTATCACAATATTTGTATTGTAGCTCAGTGTTTTATATGATTATATAAAATGGATAAAGCAAAGAAAACAAAAAAACGAAAACGATAAACCGAAAGAAAACCGAAACCCATAAAAAAAAGCGTAAAAAAGCAGAAAAGTGCGCAACCCCGACAGAAAGAAAAATTATTGTATTACATACATCTTATATATAATAAATATGCTTCTTAATAAAAAAAAAACAAAACAAAAAACAAAAACAAAACAAAGCCCCCAATGTGAGACCAACTGATTTACGACGGCGGCTTCCTCGCACTGTCCCGATAAAGACAGTCGCATCGGTCGACTTTAAGCCGGGGTGCTTACGCCGTGAATGCAAAGGCTACAGGGCTATGGAAGACCACGGGAAAAATTTAATTATGACACCCGAGTTATCTTTGGACGTACACCCCTGATAGCTCTAATTCAAGTTTGCTTATTCATATCTAAACAGTCATAGTAGCCCTCGGCAATATATTTCCCCGATAGCAACCGCCCCAAGAAGGAGGAGGAGGTGGAGCAGGAGGCGGCACCGAAATTATTATTTGTGTGGTCACTGTTTTCGTGGTCAACAATCAGTCGTTGATGAATCAGTTTTGGGCCACTTTTAATTGATATGATTTTTTCCAATTATAATTGATCTCAGTTAAGGAGTTAACCAAAGCTGGGCAATTCAATTAGAGGCTCCGGCGTTCGCCGGCAAAATGAAGTAAACACAGCACTGAACTCTCTCTCTATACAACAGCTCAAGGTCACAAAGGAGACCAGAAAAGGAGGCCTTCCTCTATATATTTATTTGCACCCAGATATGCCAATCAAATTGACATTCAATCCAATCTGACCCAATATATTATATACACGGTAGAGTGACGGGGCGATAATCGATATTTGACCTAGGCCAATAAATTTACCGCCCTCGCTCATTTCCCTGGAGTTTGGCGGGAAGTTTGTCTAATCAACATTTAATTTGATGTTCGATTCGAACGCTTCGAAGCCATCAAACATCAAACAACATGGCAGGGGGCTTCGGAGCTTCTAAGCCCCTCGAACTAATCAAGGCAAACACATCGGGAGAATATATACATTGGAATTATTAGGCCCATTCAGTGGTCCCCCTTAAGCCCCACTCGGTGTGTGTGTGTGTCTCTGTCAGCGACATTTCTGGCAATTTATTGAAGACGAATTCCAATCAGAGCAAATCATGCGAATATGGCAAACGGAATTTATTACGCCAAGCGTGCAGGGGTCGTAAAAAATAAAAGGTAAGTGTGATATCGTTTCGATCCATCTAAAATCCGTCATAAGTTACAGCTGCAGTCAAGGTAATAGCATGCAGGTAGATTTTTATATATTTTTCAGAGTTTTTTCTAGGGAGAACTAAGCTCGAAATTAAAGTTTGACTTGGATACTTACTAGATTACAAACGCGATTACTATTACTATTAACATTAATATTAACCAATTAAGCTTGCATCTCTTACGTTCTTACTTAAAAAATATTTAAAATCTAAGAGATATAGAGCTATAGATACTTATATTTGGTACTCATTGTATTATTTTGGTTTCAGGGATTATAAAAATTAATCTCTAGATCTAAAAGGTCTTCAAATCGTTTTACATTTCATTTAATAACATGAAATATTTACTTATATAACTTATTAAAAACATATGACAAAATATATAGAAAATATTTTAAAATCTAGTTTTTACTTATTCTTTTAGTTTATATTGTATATTATAGTAGTTTTGTTCTTTAAAAACCTAATGATCCTAATTTTCTGATCACTTTTGTATCTCACCTCTCCCAAAACACCGTTACCTATTCGCTGTAACGGTAACATTTCGTTTGTCCTTTGTGGCAAATATTTTTTTCCAGCTGCCAGAAGCAATGCCAGTATTGGCGTGCACGTTGCACGCGGCGACAGGTGGGTGGCAGGGAGAGGGCCTTAGGGGGACTGTTTGTGTGTGTGCAAGAGATAGATAAGTAATTCCATGGAGCATGCAGCCCGGTTTGATGTCGATTTGGAATTCAAAGGCTCCCAGCATTGAATTGGTGTTAAGCACGAACCGAACGAAATGGAAATGGAAATGAGAGAACGAGACTGAGAATGAAAATCAGCAGTTGTCATTGTCATTGGAATTGGTTTGTGGACGTGCCAAGTGGGGGGGCGGGAGTGGCGTTTGCAGGAAAGAAAAGGGAGATGAAAGACACGCCATCGCAAGGAGGCTCCTCTGTTCATCCAGTTGCCGTTGTTCACTGCAACAGCTCGGTTCGGATTAGCTCCTCGTCCTTAACTGCTCTTTTTTACCGTTATTTCGCGTAGTTTATCTCACTGGTTAACCGTTATTTCGAGTTCATCCTGACTGAATTTCGTTCATTTGAGAGGATTGAGTGTTGATAACCTGTGATTCTGTGCGTTAAAACTTCCTGTAAGATATTTAAACAATAAAATGGACTTTAGTTTACCGAAGGATATATAGTATCTGAATTACTTGTGAAAGCCTTAAATAAACAGAGTGATATGAATAAATTGCCTTGAGCTACAATTTATCTAAAATAATATTGACACAACCACACGAGATTCATTAAAGTGGTAAAATATTGTTTATGAAATATATTTTTTTACACGTTTATATTGTGTTTATCAGACATTTAATCTTTAACTTTACATTTTATTTCCACTGGCTTGTTTATAATCCAGTTGTTTTAATTGTCCGATCGTGCTGAAACGCTGTAAACGGTTGTAAGATATTTATCTTCGGCCTAGTATTAAATTAAATCGTTGTAGTTCGAAATTACAACCCATAAGCCTATTTTTTGTGGTTTTTGCTGTTTGATTTAATGGATAATAAAAACCTTTATACATGGAATTAACAAATAAAACCCTCTCTTACATTAACTAATGGAATCTTTATTAGATTTTCTGAAACAAAAAGTGTAGAACTCCGTCATGTCCAATCAACTGTTCTTTCTGAGTTTGGCCGACATATTCTCTGTGTATCCTGCCATATTCAAGGAGCAAAGCAAGAAACTAAAAAAGACCAAGCAGATCTACCTACCCAGCGATGAGGAGTGGCAAGACAAGATGTATTATATGCTTCTGGAGATCCAGCGTCATGTAAACGACTCCTCCGACGAATCGCTCTCGCTTCAGGATATCAACAAAAAGGAAAAGCCTCTCTTTGATCCTCTGAGGATAACCAAGATTCTGACTCCGGGTATTAGTCCTAATGGACGACGTAGCAGAACTCTAAAGTACTGTCATTCCACCACGGTGAAGGTCAAGCTGAAGACGGGAGCCCGCTGGACTTTGCCCACTATCGCCAGTGCCGCCAAGCTGCTCCGCAAGCCACCGATAATGGTGGATTTTAAAAACGAGCACGAGATGAGATTAGCTTACTCCTTGATCTACGATGTCTTCCGATGTGGGTAGATCCTTTTGGATTGTAGTTTCTATTGCCATATTGAGTTTTGATGTTTCTAGATAAGATTGTGATGTCGAATGCCTTGAGCGATGTCTGCTTTTTTGAGCAACACAAAGAGGTGAGTTAAGGATATAGGGATGCATATAAAATATTGCATACTTCTCGGCAAATTATCTGCTTTAAAAAACACAAGGAAACCTAGTTTTTCTCAAATTTTAAACTAGTTTTATTCTAAATCCTTTCTGTTTAGTATATAAATGACGAGCAAAGAATTTGGTTAATGCTTTTCGAACTCTACGATCGCCAGTTTAAAGGCCGTAACTCCGAGGAAAAGGGTCTCCAGGCAAGTCTCTATAAGGAGGCAGAGGTTACAGGTGGGTGTTTACGTCCTATTATATATCCTATATAATCAGAAATTCTCAACAGAGCTGGCGGACGTTCTCTGGCAGCATCGCATCCGTCTGGCTGCCTCAATTTCTAGGATGCGGATACGGGTGGGAGCTCTTCGGCTCTCTCAGTTGCTGCCCATTCACCTGCAGAATGAGAAAGTTGCCATTGCTGCTGCCAATCCGGTGGTCACGGGATGGATTAATCCGTTCTTAGTGCGGTGAGTCAACGGATGCTAAAAGTTTCTCCTTAAAAAAGTATATAAATCTGATTTTATAGAAATAAAGAAGAGGCGGATAAGATACTCACCGAAATGGGCTTCACTGTCCATGGTCCGGATGATGAACAGCCGCTTCTGGAGCAGCACTGCAAGTGGGATAATATTTGCCCTTTGGTCATATCCTGTATACCCAAGGACCGCAGCGAGTTTACCAAATCCAAACTAATGACCAAACACTATTTTATAATGCAGGTGAGATATTGGAGCTATTAAAAAGTTGAAATCAAGTTTATAATAAATAAAGACCAGAAATAATTCTCTGTTCCTTGGTTAGTTAGTTAATGAAAAGCATAATATGATTGATCTATATTTAATCTTTTTTTTTATTAATAGGATACATAGTTTCTAGAGATAAATAATAAACTTATAAGTTTAGGTGGTGATTATTAAATCACATTTGCACAGTGACAACCTTAACCTAAGGATTAATACTAACGGAAATGTGGTCAATATTTTTATTTTAAGTATTAAAATTACGTAATCTTTGAATGTTCAATAAATTAATATTTTATTTTATTTTCCTTCTTTGAAAAAAGTTACTTCTAAATGATTACGAAAATAAGAACGACCTTTAAGTATTCATAAAAATTACTGGAACGATACGTACATACCTACTTAAGGCATTTTCTCGCTAAAAACTGGTTTACATTGTTTAAAAATACAATTTTCTTAAAAAAAGTGGTTAACGAAACTGCAAACGAGCAACAAGCAATAACATTAATTAAACATTAATTAAACTGCAAGGGTTGCAAACTTCGGCTTTTCGAATTTATCTTCCTTTCTGGCTTTAGCTTAAAACACATATTGTTTTCCAGGACAAAAACTTTACCTTTGGACCTGCCATAATGTCCAAGTTGATGGATTACTTTGAGTTGGATGGGGATATTCTGCAGACCCACATTGGATCCCCGCGATCCACTGCCTATTTGGCAGCCCTTTTCTACTCCATCAATCGTGTTAACAACTTCTATGTCTATGGAGCTGGTGCAAATCTAAAGGATTATCGCCGCTATATGGAAATGATTGGAGTAAACAATATCAGATTGTTTGGCGATGCCTTCACCTCGTTTCCCATGGAGTCCAATCGATTTAGAACTGTAGTTGGCATATTTGCCACGCCACCGAACTCCTTTAGCGCCATTTCCGATCCCATAGACTTGATATGTTCCCGCGGCGGTGATCTTAGTATGCTGGAGGTTCTTACCGAATCGGAGGTCAGTGACGAGGGTCGCCAGCGAGTGGCCATGATCCTGGAGGAACAGCTGCTGACCTTGACCATGTCAATGTCGCGTCCCCAGGTGCAGTTTGTCCTCTACCAAACGCACTCGATTGTGGGCACCGAAAACGAGGATATGGTGAAGCATGTCCTGGAACTGATCAATAAGCTGGCTTTGGAGAAGCATCGCAATGCCTACAAGGAGCTGAAGCGTTTGGAGGCAATAGCCGAAGCGGAGGCAGCCAACATTCCCGCAGCTGCGATGAGCAAGGATTCACCCAGGAAAAAGGATAAGCCATCGAATCAGCCCGAGGTGCCAGCCCCAGGATCTGGACCAGGTTCAACTGCCCCACCGTTGCCCAGAGTGGATAGCATTGATCTGATAGTCACACCCGATATCGATGAGTTTGTCCAGGATATAGTGCCGGACATATGCATCAATCAGGACGATTGCATCAAGCAGCAGGCCACAGGAAGCTACCTATCCCTTGTGCGGCGGAAAACCCTGACCCATCTGAACGAGAAATACCTAATCCGAAGGGCGGAACAGAGAGGACTCTTTGGCAAGCCCGAAAAGGATACCAAGGAAAAGGCCAAGCCCAAGGCAGTCAAGCTGCAGGAGCAGCAGGCAGAAACCACGCCCCAGGACATGGGCTATGATCAAAGGAACTCGGGCCGATCCAGTGCCCAACAAATAGTAAGTAGCATATATCTACATTATTGTACACTGGCCGAAAAAACCCTGACCGATGGAACAATATACACAAAAAGGCTGTTAGACTTTACACTTTATTGTTAACAAAAACAAATTTGAAAGGTGGGCGATTGTTGTTAAAAAAAAAAAAAATCTGAAAATACACAAAAATGAGGGATTTGTGGGAGATATAGGCGGTAATGTGACTGGAGGTTGAGGTTGAGGCGTGGGGCTATGTACACTCGAGTCTTATGAGCTAATAATTAACATGTCCATACTGTCTGCGGATCGATCATCGTCGATAGACACGCGATCGATGTCATCATTATGGGCCATCATCCGTTGAATCATTTTGATCTGCATCATTATCTTGTACCGATATCGACAGGCGCGTTTCCTATTATCTCAGGCTCGTGTTTATATAGAATACTTTTATGTCACTGGGATTTCGAAGGGTTATTAGTGTAAATTACATCAAGTTATCAGCATTTCTGTGGGTTTTTATCAACTTTATTACGACCTCCCATGAATTTTAAGTGTTTTAATTATATTTGATAAAATTGTAAATAATTATTCCGTTATTTGTTTTAATTACTGTGCTATGTATTATTCTTTATCAGTATGAACACTTATTTTTATTATTATTTGTATGCCTTCACTTTCTATTATTTTGTATTATCTTTATCTATATTCACATGATTTGTATTATTTGCATGTAGTGCTGGCGTAATTACATTTATTTGTATCATTTATATATTAGATTATTCATTTATTTGTATTCACATCATTATCATCTTCTGAGGATGCAAATCCACATCGTCTCTCAGTTCATCGTTATAATTATTCACATTACTTTAATCTATATTCACATCCTATAATCTGCAGCCACATCACGCCGTACAATCATCGAACCATTAGAGAGGGTGAGGTTTGGGTAATTAGCGTGAGGTGGCAAGCACTTTGCCTTGGCTTAGTCACAGGCTCCAAGGGATTAGGTCACGCTGCATCTCGGTCTGCTTATCTCATGGAGATTGATCGGGTCACTGGGAGATCGTCGTGTTCCTTACTTTTTCCAACCACTCATCGATGAGGTCTTGGCATAGTTCTGGCTCTTCTGCTGCTGATAGTTCTGCTTGACATCCGCCTTCTTGCTGGAGTAACCCATTCCGGAGCCCATGCTGGAGCTGCTGCTGCCATTGTAGCTGAAGCTGGACTTGAAGGTGGGATTGCCGATGCTCTTGAACATGGGATGGTTTTTGCCGGCGCCGACTGGTGGAGCTGCTTGGTTGTAGTAGCTCTTGTTGTTGGACAAGTTGTTCTGCTGCTGACCCTTGTCGGACATTTGGCGGGCGTAGGACGAGAGACCCAGACCCACGGCGCCCATTCCAACACCCAAGCCTACTGTGCTCACTCCCACTCCGCCCATGCCCACGCCGTAGGCCTGTTGCTTGTGGCTGGTGCTAAAGGTGGCCGCCTGTTGGTCACTGGCCAGGGATCCGCTCTGCGTGTAGAACTGCTGCTGCACTTCGACTATGTAGCGGTAGGCCTCCTCCATGCTCTTTGGGTTCCTTCGCAGGATCATCGAGTGCGTGGGCTCGGGCAGGTGATCGCGGAACACTTGAAGTGTGATCCTTTCGATGTCCTCCAACGCGTACAGCGTGTCGTTGTGGGTCAACTTTCTGTTGATCAGTCTGTGCTTTAACTTGGCCATTTTCTGGTAGTAAAGCTCGATATTAGAGTCCAAAACAGCACTGCGTATTTTGTGTATTAGGGAATAGCTAGACTCCCTTTCCGCGTAGTTGTACAACAGTTGATCCTTTAGCTTCAGCCAGGACTCGGCCTTCAGTAGGTGACCGTTGCCGGCTCCATTTCCGTTTCCCACGGGAGCGCTCATCTGCCGGGTGAAGACAGCCTCCCGCGCCCGATCCGTGCACTTATTCTTGATGTGTCCTATCAGCTGCGCTTTGTAATAATCATCGAAACTATTTATGGCCGGCATTAGGGCCTCGATTTTGTGAAGGAACTGCGGCAGCTTGCCGGGATCACTGCCATCGAAATTCTCAATAAGCTTCAGGCGACTGAGGACCTGATTGTATTTATTCACAAACTCGGGATCCATTTTGCATATGGGATTCGTGACCCTTTTCGTTATGCTACCGTTATTATATAGCTAAAGATATGGCTTCACCGTTCGTTGCGTTCGCGACGACGTTTCGGGAGCGACTGTTTCCAAATTTGAAATCACCGCCACAACGACTGCGACGCGCCAATAATTGTTGTGTATGGAAAAACAGATTTTAGATTCTTACAAATGTATAAATTAACATTCATTAACATGAATTTTACTTGCAAGACCCCAACGACAACGGATCGGAACGGAACGGCCCGGCCAGCTAGCTCCCGAACAGTGGCGGGTTCTGGGTTTTCGCTTTCGGTTTTGATTTGGGTTTGCGAATTCGAAATCGACACGAACCGTGGTCGAACCGACACTGAACTGAGCAGATCCGAACCCGAACAGAAATGAACTGACAGAATAAAAACAGAACGGAACTCAACAGCGCCCGCCATTCATTCGGGTGGGAGTTGGAGATTACCTCCTACCAGTGGAGTATGCAGGGTATAATGAGCATTTTCAGGTGGTATGGAGCGGGAAAACTTATGAAGGATTACTTGTAGGCTTCTTTGGGTTCTAAATTAATTAAAAAAAGGTGTCTTAATCTTAGAGGTTTCAAATCAATCGAATTTGCTTTGAAAAATATGCAATAAGATGGTTTCAGGTTTATAGTAAATTGTAGCATACTTATAGACGCAAATTAAATTATAAAACTATTTTTGCGGCTGCTTCCTAGAAACTTGTTCCTTTTTGGAATATTAATTAATAAAATCCTTTAATAATAAACGTAAATATACAAAATTAAAAAAGTTCTATTCTATTTTAAAATTTCATATATCAGAAATTACGTAGCCGACTAGTTGAACAGTCCTAGGAGCTAGGATACCTAAGGCTTAAATATTTTTCAAATACCATCAGTATTCTTGTATATGGTTATTAAAAATCACACTTCTAGGTTTAAAATAATTAAAATTTCATCTACCGGAAATTACGTAGCCGACTAGTTGAACTGCTTAACAAGAGTTTCGATATTATAAATACCATTAGTGTTTTTATGGTTTCAACATTAATATACAAATATTTTATTGATCGAAATTATTCTATTTACATTTTATAAAATATATTTCAATGCACTAAAAAATATAACCAGTTAATAAAGTTCAATAGAGGAATTTCTGCTTTCAAAAAAATATATATTTTAATTAGTTTTATGTTCAAAAATAACGGGTAACCAGAATGTCGTGACTTTCCCCTTAATGTTGCTATTTGCTTACTGTTGTTGTTGTTAAGCACGCTGAATCATAGGCGCACACTCACACGAATGCAAACATAGCGACACCCTGCGCACTCGATCGCGCTTAGATATTGTCGGTCAGATAGAGATAGAGATAGTGCCAACCCAACGGACACGGGCACACACACACACACACACACACACACACACAGTGGCTGCCCGACGAAAACCCCAAAGCACGCACATACCCCCTAATACACAACATCGAAGACAACAACGAATTTCATGAAAAAGTGCGCACAAATCGCTTTAAACGAAGCGTTAGATTTGTTTTTATTTGTTTTATTTTGCAATTCGCCATTGTTGTTGTTTTAATTGTCAACGGCGATAGACGGATAGAGATAGCTAGACTCAGTGAGAGCGAGAGAAAGCACACAGACACGCGAGGATAACGGCAAATGATCGACAAGCAGCCGATGCTGCTTGACGAGGAGTTCACCCTGTTCGCTTGCACTGCTTCGAAATATAACGTATACGCACACTAAATTCCGACTCTATTCACATGCAAATTATTACAAAGAGCAATTGCATTCAAGGTCCTTTCATAATTTCAGATTTTTCCGAAGAATCTAATTGTGTGGCTCACGCTGCACCCTGCGCACTCGATTGCTCATCGCTTGATCTGCACTCAATCGACCCCAGCAGCATCTAATTCAGCTCGATTGCCTCCAATCTTGACACGTACACTAGGAGAAAAAAAAGTATTAGCCAAATGAGTCATATACATAATTAAGCCATTAACCTGGGGGGAAACCTTACATAGACGAAACGTTTTACATTAAATTTAACAATTAACATTTTAGGGCAATTATCAAAAGTATTATTTAAAAATTTAATTAATTTATTTCTATAATATTTTACACCAAGAGAAATGCAAAGTTTGATTTATTTTATTTATTTATTAGAAATAACCATTCATTTTTTTTATGTGAATTGAACTTATCATTTTATTTAGATAATGTCTTTCACGGCAGTGGGTTTTTTCTTTGACAGCTTTATTGAAAGTATGATGAAGCTTTTCTTTGAGTGCCCTGGGCTACACATACCAGCGCGCACCTTTATTAGAGCTAGCACTGCTTGGCGGTTGCCCCGCTTAACCCCGCCTTTCCCACCCAATGGGTCGCTTTTAAGGTCTGCTGCGCCGGCGTGCGCGGTTCAACTAATTAGCAACAATTTCTGAGCGTTAGCGGCTTGTAAAACTGTTTAATAATAGCAAAAACTTGTCGGCGTGTAGTCATCGACGAGGACAAATAACAAAGAAACCGAGGCAGACAGCGAGAGAGAGAGGGTCGGGGCAGAGATTAAGGGGAAAGGCGGGAGTGGGTTCCATTGGGGTGCTAATTTAAATCCCGTCTCTAAACTGATAAGCGGATTTAATTGCTATCAACTTCGAGTTGGATGACTCGGCCTGTCGCTCTTGCTCTTGCTCACCGCACTTTGAGTACTTTGCCTGCAACTGTAATTTTTATAGTTATTATTTTCAAGTAGACAACAACAGCGACTTCGAGTTGCCGCTTTGATAAGCAGGTTCAGGGACATCCCCACACCCATCCGATCCAACCCAGCCACGGCCCAACCGATCCGCACGCCCACAAGCGAATAATAATAAATACCTCTGCCAACCTTAAGATACCAATTTCCAGTTAAAAAAAGATAATAAATCATTTAGATAATGACGATATATTATTATTTCATTCACAAGTGTTATTATCAAGTGAGATACTTTTTACAAACGGAAGTTTTAGGCTTTAAACTTAAGGAATCATGTGGTTTTGTAAATATATATATGGATTTCCTATTTGTTTTTTGCAAAACAATAAGACAGGCTAACGTTTATGATTGTTATAAAAAACCGATCGTGATAATTTGATAAAAGATATTTATAAGGGTAGTAATTAAGATATGAAGGTAGAAAGTTTCCAAAACGTACATTTATTTTTCATTTTAAATGGATACATAGAAGGAAATCTTGGGGAAGTAATTTCCAATTATATAATCTAAAGGATTTTTTAGGAAAATCAGAACTTAAGCCAAAAACTTTAAGAAAAATAAATCTTAAATAAGCAAACTTCTGAAAAAGTGATTTTGTTATAAAGAAAATTCCAAGTAATCAACCGATTTTATGAGATCCAACCGTTAAAAACAAAATACAAAATTTAAATAATAAAATACGCTATTAATAGGCCCGCCCCGCATTTCGGTTTGCATTGTTGTCGAATGCCAGGTGTTAAAATTATATACAAAATAGCCCTAGCCCTGTGCCCAACAGCGAATTGTTTATTATTATTTATTTGTTTCGCCATAACTCATCTGCACTCAAGTGGAAGCCCCGCTCGATTCGTATCATTTGCAAGCCAAATTTGGCGCGAATTCTTTGCAAACATTTTGCGCATATTAATTGTGTTCTCAAAAAAATATTCAAAAAAAATTCTGTTCAATTGTTTGGGAAACTAATTACGTGCGCGCGCGCTCGCGCCAAATCTCTTTGCAGCTCCAGCGTTTGCAGCGTTCGACGAGCGCCAGTGCGATCCGTTCGCACCTGACCAAGGTATCCTCCATTTATCGGCGGCCCATCGCCTTCAATTTCATCAGGCGCGAGTGCAAGCGTTTTTACGTCTTGCCCGTCTACATGGTGAGTGTTTCATATTTCTGTTTTTCCCCCCAGACAACGTTTAGGGCCAGCAATAATATTTACAGCCCCCACCCCTCTTATACACACCCACTAAAACCCACCCACTCGCAATCCGAATCCCGATTTCAGCACAGCACCAAGCAGAGCATTCGATTATGGTGGCAATACGCGTACAAGTGCGTCACGCCCGCCGCCTCGGCTGATGCGGTGTGGAATCCAAATCTGAAATTCCGGCTACACTGTAGCCGGCAGCTGCGGATACGGAAATTGCGACGTGGTCCCTGGTCTAGAAGGCAGCCCCTCCGGCTGCATATCAACGACATCAAGCTTTTGTGCCAGGTGCGTCAGCGGAGTAAATAAATTAACGAAATGAAAGTCCAACTAAAAATCTGGTTTGAAATTCAAACGTTGAATGTTAGCCGCCTTTTCAGGGCAATATCTATCGATTCCAATCAATCGTTTCAAGTGTTGGTTAATATTTATATTTTTTAAATTATTTGAAAAACTTAAAATATAATAAATTATTTGTAATTAAAATTAAATGAAACCTTCCCTCTACAGAAAGAACCAAGAAACCCAACAATTATGTTTAAATTTTAAAGTATTTCAATTAAATGTAAACATTTTATTTAATTTACGAATAGTACAGGATATCGAGTGAATTAATTATTTAATAAAGGAACGAAAAATAGATTTAATAAGCAAATTATGAATACAATTTTGTGAAAGAATAAGGAACATTTTATGAATGCATTTCACAAAAGTTTATAATAAAAAACCCAGGAAAATATTTAATTACACTAATGGATCTTAAATAGTAATTGAATTAAACAAATGACTGGGAAAATGGAACAAAGGATTCTCTATCCACAATGTTAAGTATTCTATATGGTATTTGATTTATTTATGCTTGAGCGGTGATTGAGTACAAGTAAAAAATATATATTGTGAATGCGCTTCAATTTGAAATTGTCGGTCAATGTCCTGGGGGTAAACACCTTTTCAATGACTTACGAGGCTGAGTAAATGGAGTAGTACGCTAGGGGTTATAGTTATAGTTGTAGAGACGTAGTAATGCTGATCCAATTATTTGCCACAATATATTCTATGAGAGTCCCATGCGCTATGCTGCAAAGAGCAGATAAATTAATGTATATTTTTGGGAATTCTCTCTATATGTAAACCCACCTGGCATTTACTGCTGCAGTACCATTGATTCAGGCAGCTCGTACACTCGTATATTGCTTCATTAATCTGGCAGTGTTGGCAAATTTTCTCCTCCTTTCCGTTTGTGGTGGAGGCATCTCTGTGCTGCTGCTTCTTTTTTAGGCCCTTACCCGTGTTCGAGGCTCCCAAAAATGTGGGTTCCTCTTCTTCGTAGCGGTAGCTCGTGGAATGTAATTCATTGTCCTGCAGAAAGAAAGCAGAATTTGTTAATAATTAATTTTATTATTATCCAAAAGGATGGCTAACCTGTCTTTTGGCTTGATTACGCTGGAAAACCAAGGGACTGCTGTTGGACAGCGGCTTGAGTTGCGACTCATTCTCCAAAAAGATTTCCCGGGCCGACATTTGACTGTAGTATGGATGCTTTCCTGGAACCTGCAACTTATTGAGGGAGGAGGAAGCGGCCAGATTGGGCGTCGAGTTGCTCATCTCATGAGCGTATCTATAAATATTTTAGAAAAAGTGGATAAATATAAATATAAGTACATTTCGATATAAAATTATTATATACCTTTCTTGCGCTCGGTGTAGCCTGGGTCGCTTGCTAGCTGGCGGAAAGTCAGAGTTACGTTCTAACTGCTGTAGCTCTTCTTCTACATCCTGGATCCCGCGCATCAATGCCGGCCCCAAGGGCAGAGAATTTCTTCTATAGTTTTGTTGATGCTGTTTCTCCTCGAAATTTCGAAAAGATGCAGCTAGACCTTTTTCCTTCAGACCCAAAGCTCTGCAAAAGAGATGTAAGTATTTTTTTACCAAATAATTTCCCATTACTCACCCGCGCAGCCTTTGTATATCGCCCTGTGCGACCTCCACGTTGTTCAGGCATTGCTCAAGGGATGTTGAGGCCAACCTGGAGGGCAACTTGTGAATATGCTCCCCGAACAGTAACTCCTGTAACTCGTATAGCTCTGCCGTGCCGCACCCCTTGTTAATCACCGAGGGCAGCAACTTCTTGATGATGGACACTCGTTCCATACGCTCCATTCGTCCTCGAAGCTCCACCTTCATGCAACGCAGATGTAACAGCCGATTCCACTCATCTTCCTTTTGGGCCAAGAGTTTGTCCAGCGTTTTTATATCTAAGTCGATTTCCTCCATGAAAGACTTGGGATCTGGACTCATTGAATCCAGTTTTTCCTTAAAGATCGCGTCCAGGTCTGGGAACAGCTCCTTCAAGCGATGATGGAAGTTGGCATTGGGGTTTTTGAGATCAGGAGCTGAAGGCTTTTGGCGTGGAGACTCCGGCTGACCAGCCTGCGTCTGGGTGGACACAGTCTCCGACCTACGTGGCTGCGGCTGTTGCGGCACAGCAAAGTTGGTGGCATTAACCGGAACTTGGGGTTGTTCTTGCTGCATTTGAGCTTGTGGCTGATGTTGTGGTGGAGCCTGCTGTGGAACAGTGGGCCGTGAGGAGTTAACCTGCAGTGAAATTCGTGTGGGGCCAGCCGGTGTTCGTGGTGTGCCAACTTGAGCTGGAAGGACTCGTTGCGTACCGAATGGAGCTTGAAGAGCTCCTGATGGGGCAGCCTGCAGGGGGACGGCGGCCCGTGAAGGATCATTCTGAGCTGGAATGTCCCGCTGATGACCGACCTGAGCAGGCTGAGACCACTGTAATGGAGATGCATACGGAGAACAACCATAAACTGGAACTGTTACAGATGAAGCCGGCTGCTCTGGTGGAGCTACCACAATGTTACTCTTTGTGGTATGCGGTAAATTATCCGTAGGATAGGAGATCTCCATGGGCACTGCCGGCGGTGTGGGAGTGTTCAAGCTGTGCGAAAGTGCAGCCAGATTGATAGGCTGCTTGGCGTTGGGTGACGGTTGAACCAGTGTATATGGTGAGCTTAGTTTGAAGGCGGGCTGGCTCTGGAGAGAATTAACTGCTGGGCTGGCGACATTGGACGCTCTTGGTGGCTGCATTTTGAGCACTGGAGTTGACTCGACCGAGTTCTGTGCAACAACCGGATGAAATTCAATAGTATCATCTTCATCGTCTACAACACGACGCTTTTCGTTGCTCAATGGAGGCGTCACCGAACGACGCCGCTTCAGTGTGACATCCACCGCCATGGGTTCCTCAGCTTCCTCCACATCATCCTGCTGTACCAGAGTCGTATCTGCAGTTGCCTGCTCCAGTTCCAAGCCGGCGGTGAGCGTATCCAACTCAATTCCAGCTTGACTTGGTTGCCTGGGCTCTTTTATCATAAGGAACTCCTCCAGCACGGAGGAGGTACCGTTTTCGTTGGACTTGTCGTTCTCCTGCTGCTCCAATTGTGGCTGTACTGGTGGCGGAGGCTTTATTATCTTAGCTTTGTTCTCTTTAATGGGAGTTACATTTGCCGCCTTGGCTTCCTCTGGTTTCTCGGGGGAATCCTCATTTTCGGTATCGTCCAGACAAATAAGTTCTGGCGACTGGCTGAGACTGCGACTGTGACTGCGTTCAGAGCTGCCACTGCGGTCCAAGGAGCGGCTGCGGCTCGGACTCCGACTAAGGCTACGACTATTGCTGCGACTGTAGCTCAAACTTCTGCTGGAGGAGGAGTAGCGTCTTCGCCGTCCGCCCGACTTCTTGTCCTTCATGTGCAACTGATATTTCCCATCACACTGGTTAATGTGTTTGCCCCTGGAAATGAAGAGGATTGTTAACCAATTTTGGTTAGACGAGGTGCGGGAATAAAACACTTACCACAGGAGACTGCGTCGCTTGAGAAAAATGTAAGGGTTACGGTAGGGTGCGGAATCCAATTGCCTGATCTGGCGAATGGTTTCGGCGGGAGTTGGAAGCGGCTCTTGCTCAACCACAGAAGCGTCCTCCGCTACCTTGTCCTTTCCTGCGGCATCCGCCGCAGTCGGACTCCCATCGTCATCGGGTTTCTCGGAGGGCTGTGACATAGGTTTGGCGTCCGGTCCCGCTTTTATTGTCGCCGTACCGGGGCTGGCTTGCTTGCTAACCGCTGCCTCCATTAGAGCGTCGTCGTCCTCCTCCTGGCTGTATTCGTCGCTGCTTAGCTCGGAGTTGGATGTGTCGTAGATCTCCACGTTGGTCATCGCGACAGCTGCAACTGCACGGACAGCATCAGGTATGTACATAATGGACACACAAACCCCCCGAACTCACGCGCTCACGTCTGCAAAAAGGCGACACCAAAAGCGTCTGCCGGTTAAATTTTCGGCCTCCTGCAATCGCTGACCTCAGGCGATCACAGAAAGTACCGGAAACCTTGGCCCCACACACCTCAGAACGTGCAAAGCGCTTTTATAATCTGTTTTTTTGCTTACCTGCAGGCGAATGTCGCGAAATTCTTTAATAAAAAGAATTTGGCATTTGGCGAAATAAGAAGTCGGCAAAAATCGATGACACTATCGATAGTGCGGCAGTCGATATTGTAGTGTGACCGCAATCTGTTCTTTCGAACGCCATCTGGCAACACTTCGTTGCATCGCTGGCGAACGGTCACACCGCTGGCTGCTCACAAAAAAACAAATCAAGTTCGCACAAAAACATTGCCAAAAAGGTAAATGGCGGTTTCTAAAATCCAGTGAATTCATCAAATAAAGTCTTTGGCAATTAACCCCTTTTGGCGGCGTCATACACGTAAACAGTGGTTCAAGTGCGGTTTATATTGGGTTCGTTTGTGTTATGTGTATGTGTATGTACTTCAGGGAATAACCGATAAGAGCAGCTGCGGGATTGATAGCCCTGTGGGTGGACTTTGTTTTTGATAATAGTGGGTGGTGATGCGATCGCGGCTCAGATCAGCAGCGCAAGAGAGTGATAACCGTAAACCACACCACGTCACACCACCTCACGCCTTTCCTATGCGGACACAAATACACGTACACGTGTACGTCAGCTGCCCCCGTGGATGTGTTCGTGTGACCAAAGAACTCTTTTGTTGTTGTTCTCTATATAGCATATATGTAGTAAATGATCGAAAAAATGAATTAATTAAATACAAGCAAGTTGACCAATTGCATGCAACAATAAAGCGTTGATTTGGTTGACTTTTGGCGTATATATCTTCAATTAAATCAGCGCAGGAACACTGAACTCATATGCATATGAAGCGAATAGATAAGACTTTGGCCGAGTTAAGCAATTTACATATAGTTCCCTTGGAAGTTTGTTCAGTTTCTTGGGGAATATGTGAACAGAAATTATATTATGTTCATGATAACCCTAAAGTTGACGTTTCTCTATCTCTGTGTTATATCATAATCCCGGAATCATCAACACTTTTTGAACTTTGCTTAAAGTTTAATTTTAAACCTTATATAAATAACGTTCTAAAAGACTTAATTATATGGTTTCAATTACATTTAAACTTTAAATTCCTACGAGCATAGTTATTTAAATTAAAGTAAACTTGGCTTAGTAATACGTAATTTATGTGCATTTCACACTTTGTTCCCTCTTTTTAAAGAGCAAATAAAGCTGCTCGGGAGCTTCTACTGTAAAGATATCTTCGCTTTGCCCCATAACGACTACCTGTCGCACCTTCCGAACGGACTTTGTCCACAGCGGCTACTTTTCCACGGGAGAAGTCATCGATTGCCGCTGATTAGATTCCCTCAGCTGCTTCGACTTAATATATAGCCATAGCCAGTCCCGATATCTGGCGAATATCTCTCGGGTGCTGCTGAGGTAGCCGCGAAAGTGTTGCCCCAGTCCGTTGCCAGCCGGTGTGGGGTGCAGGTGCGTTGCCTTTCCCGCTTTTGACGCTCTCTTTCAACTTAGCCGCGTGTGTGAATCCGAACAGAAACCCCCAGAAATTTGCGAGTGAGTGCGCCGAACGCTGTTTAACGGCCATAAAACGCGTGGTTTACAGTGGCCTTAGTGGGTTTACGAGCTCCGTTAGGGTCGGGGCGTTTGAAACCTGCAATTAAAGTTTCGATTACGTAAAGATTACTGCAGTTTTTTTTATTGGTTAAGCATTTCCTACTTGCAGATCAAAATGGTGTCACTGGAGAAGCTGAAACAATTGAGACTGATCCACCTATGCATCGCGCTCACCTTCTTCACCAGTGGGCTGTGCATCAACTTCATCCAGCTGTTGATGCACGTCCTTATAAAGCCCATTGACAAGCGACTCTTCCGGAAGCTGATGTACTACCTGTGCTACTCGCTCTACTCCCGTGAGTATATACAGCTGCGAATATCCTCCAGAAATCCTTGTTACAGACTTTGTACTCCCACTCACAGAAATTGTCTTTGTGGCCGATTGGTATGCGGGCAGCAAGCTGACCGTCTATATGGACAAGGATGACTACGAGAAGTATGCTGGCAACGAGCATGTCCTGCTGGTCATGAACCACAAGTACGAGATCGATTGGCTCAACGGCTGGATGATCTGCGACAAGCTGGGAGTCCTGGGCAACTGCAAGGCCTATGCCAAAAAGCCCATTCGCTATGTGCCCATTATTGGCTGGTGCTGGTGGCTGGCCGAGTTTGTCTTCCTCAACCGCAACTTTGACAAGGACAAGACCATCATCACGGAGCAACTTAAGGTGGTCTATTCCTATCCCGATCCCACCTGGCTGCTCTTGAATCCGGAAGGTACTCGCTTCACTGCCGGCAAGCACGAGGCATCCGTTAAGTTCGCCCAGGAGCGGGGCATGACGGTGCTGAAGCATCATTTGATTCCGCGCACCAAGGGCTTCACCGCCAGCTTGGCTCCCATCCGTGGTCTCTGTCCCGTCATCTACGACATCAATCTGGCGTACAGGCCTACAGACAAGGTGAATATTTAATAGTTTAACATTATAATTAATTATTTAAGACCAATATTATAAGGCAGCTAAGTTTGACAATAATCGAAATTTTAATTTTGCATATATACTTGTTAGATTAGCTTGATCACCGTTCCTAAACATGACCGTCTACCTATTGCACTGCAATCTAATCTCACCTAGTTTTCAAGGTTTCCGTCCAATTATCTTGTTCAACAAAATGGCAATAATCCACCTTGACGAAATCAGTTTATAACCACTTTAAATAATCCTGTCAAATGCGTTCTCGATTTGGATTTGAATTTGATCAGCGAGGAAGAATTTTAGCTTATGTTTAGTGCATAAAACTCAACTAATTGCAGGTTATTAGGGCCTTAAATAATGAGAGTTTGCTTATATTTAGTGAGAGTGTGAAAGCCATAAAGTTAGTCATAAAAGCGAGTCATACTAAAATTTAAGCTACCATTTTTCCCACTGGTTTCTAATTATACTTTTATCGCCTTTATAGACCCCATCCACCATGCTTAGCCTGCTGCACGGCAAGTCTGTGGAGCCGCACATGCTGATGCGCCGCATTCCCCTTGAGCAGGTGCCCGAGGATGAGACAGAGGCCGCCACCTGGCTGCAGAATCTGTTTGTGGAAAAGGACAAGATCATCGATAGCTTCCTGGAGACCGGAAGCTTCTTCAAGACCTCCGGCGTGAAGGAGGTGGCAACATACCACATCAAGCCTCGGCTATCTTCGCTGGTTAATTTCGCCTGCTGGGCGGCATTCTCCCTGTTATGCATTTTCTATTACCTGGTCACGTCGCTGCTGGCGGCCAATTGGACGGCCTTCATTACGTCCCTCTCCATTCTGGGACTCTGTAAGTATTTGAATATGCGAATCCCTTGACCCTTAACTTATTCAATTGAACTACATTGCAGTCTATTGGATGATGGGCCAGGCCATCAACAAGACCCAGATTAGCAAAGGCTCGAGCTATGGAGCCGGATCTGGCGCCACGAAGGCGAGCACAAAATAACTTGCAATTTTCCGGCATTTAGTTTTGATTGTTGACGAACTCTCAATTATCTACAAGTGACTTTGTAAAAAGGCAGCCAGCCAGTCCCTCTCACAAATCTCTCTGCTATAAAAAGGATCAATTCGCGACTCCTGGACTGGGCTGGACTGAATCTAAAGTGTTTTTGAACAGAAATTAGTGCATGTTTTGTCTAAGTTTATGGTTACGAGGTAACTCCCGCACACTGGAGCCATCAATTTGCGTACATATGTAGTTGGTAGTTGTATACCTAAGTGGAAGTTTAATTGTTTGATCGATATTGTATTTTGGCGAGCATTGCAATAATTAAATTAAACAATAGTATGTGACGAGGTTTGTTTGTTTCTCGCTGATAATGCAAGCAGTTCACTGATAACGGCCAACAGCTGGTGAGCTGAGCAAGCAAGCAGTGCTGCGGTATGTATTACTGGCAAAAAAATACTAAAAGTGTCAGCGGGTAATCAGTTTCACTGTCGCTTATTACCATATATAATAATTAAAACATAAATATCATGCTTACCATAGTTTCCTGGTTATCTTTATCACACCCATACCGCTGAAAGGTCCAAAAGTCCTGTGCCAACAAGCGATAGTACGTATAACTGAAGGCGGAGACGGAGAGCCACTAACTATCAATTATCTTTACTCCACTTGTTGCGCAGACATAAATTTAGTTATCAGCATGTAAAACAGTTTCGGTTCCTTATCCTTCGGTTCCTTATCGATCGGAAGCATTACACGTTCCGTTAGTTCAACTGCTTGCCCTTGGCGACACAAATACATAAACGAAAACAGCAGTCGTCGGTGTTCCGAGATAAGCATTGCTGCTGGTCCCCCCATTAACTGATAACAAGTGATTAAAAGCCGGTGGTTTATAGGTTTCTGGGTGTACTATCGACGGGATCTATATCACTGGCAAGCTGCCTAGAAGAATTCACTTCATTCAGTTGAAATCTGCCGCCTGGTAGAACAAGTTGTCACTTCCTGGCCTGGTCTCTAGTTTTTTAAGATTCCAAAGAGCAAGAAGAGTGTGATAGTGTGAGTGTTACGATACAGTGTGTTATGGCAAAGAGAATACATTTCTATTTATGTTTATTTAAGCTTGTTTACCTAAAAATAGTTCACTTAAAAAATATTGGTTTGTTCTTGTTGTTTTCCAAATTTAGTTTAGTGACTTCATTTAAAGACTCTCCTAATAATTCACTCAAAAGAGGCTTCACTGTAGATGTGTATGTTTATAGCCGGCGTGTTTGTCATAATTTAAGCAGTTCATGACACATTGGGAGCAAAGTTTGAGTGGGCCATAACTCGATATCGCTCGCTGGACATATTTATTAACTATGTACAGAGTCTGTAGTACAGACATTCCAGAACATAAAATTCAAGGTGTATTACGTAAAGTTTGCCTAAATTTATATTGGTATTTATAGCTGAGGATGGCGCAACTGAAGGGATTGGGGCGACTGCTGATCGCTGTGACCTTTTTCACGGCCGGCTTCTTTATAAACATTGCCCAGCTCTTTCTGATCTTGGTGGTGAGGCCTTTCGACAAGCGTCTCTCCCGAAGTATTATGTACTATCTCACCTACTCCTTCTATTGTAGTAAGTATCCAATAGTTAATAATAAGTTAAAAATTCATTGACTCACGATATCTCCCTTTCAGTTCTGGTTTGTGTGGCTGAATGGTATGCCGGTGGCAAGCTGAGGGTCTACATCGATCCCGAGGACGAGAAGAGGTTCTTCGGCAAGGAGCATGGCCTGCTTCTGATGAACCACACGTACGAGATCGACTGGCTCACCGCCTGGATGATCACGGACAAGCTGGGAATTCTGGGCGGCACCAAAGCCTACGCTAAGAAGATGCTCCGCTATGTTCCAATTGTGGGATGGGTCTGGTGGATGGCCGAGTTCATCTTCCTGGACCGTAACTTCGAGAAGGACAAGATTGTGATCAAGAACCAGCTAAAGGAGGTCTTCTCGTATCCGGATCCGGTGTGGCTGCTTTTGAATGCAGAGGGAACTCGCTTTACTCCGGCCAAGCACGAGCTGTCCGTGAAGTTCGCCCAGGAACGGGGTCTTCCCGTGCTCAAGCATCACTTGATTCCGCGAACCAAGGGATTCACCACCAGCCTGCCCACAATGCGAGGCATCTGTCCAGCCATCTACGACATCAATCTCGCCTTCAAGCGGGATGCCGAGGTAAGGACTTCAAGAGGTTCTTTAACTATTAAACAAATGTTAATTAATATTATTTTATAGCCAAAGCCCACCTTGCTGTCGCAGTTAAATGGAGAGCCCGTGGAGCCGTACATGTACATTCGACGAGTGCCGCTGGAGCAGGTCCCCGATGGTGAAAAGGAGGCCGCTGCCTGGATGCAGGACTTCTACGTGGAGAAGGACAAGATCATCGACAGCTTCCATGAGACCGGAAGCTTCTTCAAGACTTCGGGCGTGAAAGCGGTCCCCGAAAAGATCTACAAGCCTCGTCTTAGCACGCTTCTCAACTTTATTGGCTGGGCCAGCTTCGCTTCTCTAGGAATTCTCTACTATTTGGTCACCTCATTGATTGCGGGCAACTGGTTTGGATTCATTACCGTTGTACTAATCCTCGGAGGCTGTAAGTCTTGAAAGCTTAGCCGAAAATATCTCATTAATGACTTTTACTCTTATTTTCAGTTTATGGTCTTATGGCGCACGCCGTTAATGCCTCGAAGATCAGCAAAGCGTCTGCCTATGGGGCCGCTGGCAAGAAGTAGGTTCGAAGAGTTTTGGGAACTCGGCAACATCTTTTTTAATGAGATGGATTATATTTAATCATTACTCAACTACATGACAATAGAAGTAAAGTACATTTTGTTGAATGTACAAGTGAATGAAGTTAAACTGAATAAAAAGTACTGAAATTAAATTGATTTTATGGCTAAGAGAAGTATATATAATATGTATTACTTGGCAGAACTTGTTTAACGGTTTTTTAATGCCTTTTTTGAAATACATTTTCTCGATAGCCTGCCTATCGTCACCAGCTGAGCGCAAGCAGTTCAAGACAGCTGTCTTGGTGGTATATTTACGGTATTTTTTACCACCACTGATATACGTACGTTGAAAATACAAGTATTCCACCGCTCGCCAACTTCGGTCATACCGATTACTTCCCAATTTTTTACAAAAAGTTCCAATGAAAATTAAAAAACATCTTTTCGTACCTTTAATGCAATAATATGTATATATTTATATATATATATAATATATAATATGAAGGTGAGTCGGTGCATCATTAGTGCAGGTAGCGGTTCGCGACGAATCATCCGACGAAAGTGAAAAGTGAAACGTAACGAAAAGTATTGGGAGAGAGAGTTCTGTGGAGTCCAGTGTTTTTCCTGGGGGCTCAATTGGCGTTCAAGGACTGCCCGCAGGATTAGCGACCGCTGGGGTCGGGCGGGGGTGGTGCAGGGACCACAAACCGCTCAGGTTTCTGGCCACAAATCCCTTTGTTCGCGTCCCAAAAGAAAGCGGATGGCTGATGACGTTGAAAGCGAGTTACGTTTATGTGCCCCATTGTAAAGGTTGGATTACCTGCCACCGTCCAACTACGAGTGTGCTTGAGGAGCTCGGACTCCTTGGGCGAACCTGATCCTCCGGCTGCGGCGCCCCCGAAAAGTTATCCAGGAAGTGCAGCCTCGGCATATATGTATGCGCTCCCCCCCATATACATACAGAGATATACTTGCATGCGTGTACAAATGTCGCCACACACCAACGCGTATGGCCAGCACCTGTGTATGGGTGTGTGAGTGTGCAAGCGAGAGTGTGTGCGTGAGAGCGACAGCTGACGTTGGGGGTATTGCAAGAAGAAGAGAAAGACGAAAGCGAAACTTTTTTTTTTCTGTGCCACTTTATGTGTCCAACGAACGATCATCGGTGTAAATGGGGAAGAAATAACTCTTTTATTTGTATAATCTTGACTCGGACCAATTTTGGTAATAACTTACATATGGGTATATTGTAAAGATATCTCTTAGAAACCATAATTTATTTTTAGAAATTTAATTATCATGATAACTTTAATAACTTCCTTGGTATTATATTTCTTTATTGGTTAACGGAGATACAATGAAACTTGACTTCTTGTTTTCTATAGTTGGTTAGTTTTATTAAATGTAATAAAAATAAATACAGAGTATTCAAAGTTACCCAAAACTTGACTTCCGTATGCTTCCCATCCGCAGCATGCCGATTCAGGCTCCCTCATGGACAGATTTTCTGAACTGTCCCATCTGCTGCAATGAATTCGCGGCCAGCCAGCGCTGCCCGGTCAGCCTGGGCTGCGGACACACCATCTGCAAGCTATGCCTGACGACCCTCTACAACCGGCAATGTCCCTTCGACCAGGTGAGTCCTCCCAGCACTCTCCTAATTCCACATGCTCCTACAAGCTTCCTATTTTTTACAGACCGTGATTGTCAGCGACATCGACAATCTGCCGGTTAACCATGCCCTACTCCAGTTGGTCAAGGATTCGGAGCTGCTGGAGCTGGGACCTCCACCGCCCAGTGTCCAGAAGCTTGAGCCGGATCAGCTCAAGTGCTACCAGTTGGGCCAGCGATGCATTGAGGAGCTGGCCCTGCACTTGAAGTCCTTCCTTAACCTGAACGGCAATGGCAATCTCCTGACGCGACCCATGCAACGCAAACTGGTTACCCTGGTCAACTGTCAGCTGATGGAGGAGGAGGGAAGGGTGCGGGCCCTGCGAGCGGCAAGATCCTTGGGAGAGCGTACAGTCACCGAGCTGATACTCCAGCACCAGAATCCCCAGCAACTTAGCTCCAATCTGTGGGCAGCGGTGAGGACTAGAGGATGTCAGTTTCTCGGACCCGCCATGCAGGAGGAGGTGCTAAAGCTGGTACTCTTGGCCTTGGAGGAGGGATCTGCGCTCTCGCGAAAAGTGCTGGTCATGTTCGTGGTGCAGCGCCTGGAACCGCAGTTCCCCCAGGCCTCCAAGACGAGTATCGGACATGTGGTGCAGCTGCTCTACCGCGCCAGTTGCTTCAAGGTGTCCAAGCGGGAGGCGGACTCGTCACTGATGCAGCTCAAGGAGGAGTTCCGCACCTACGACGCCTTGCGTCGGGAGCACGATGCCCAAATCGTCCAGATAGCCACTGAGGCGGGCCTCCGAATTGCTCCGGAGCAATGGTCTTCCCTGCTGTATGGCGACGTGATGCACAAGAGCCACATGCAGAGCATCATCGACAAGCTGCAGACGCCCAGCTCCTTTGCTCAATCGGTGCAGGAGTTGGTCATCGCATTGCAACGCACCAGTGACCCGGCCAAGCTGGCAAGTCTCCATCATCACTTGAAGTACCTGGCCAACATCGATCCCTGTGCGGAGGTGGCTCCCTGGCCGGATTTGGCTGAAGCCTTGGACGCGGTACGCCACTCGGTGGTGGGGCTGGTCAACTTTCTTCAGCACCATGGCGTGCGCAAGGCCCAGGATGGAATCAGTGGAAGTGGCAGTGGCGGAGCAGCTACCAGCAATCCCAAGTACAAGATCAGCCTGTGCAGGGACCTCAACGTACGCAGGGTTTGTCCCAGAGGTGCCAGCTGTACCTTTGCCCACTCCCAGGAGGAGGTGGAACGCTATCGGGCTCGTAATCGTGGTAAGCACATGAAAACACCACTGGGCCTGCAGGGGCCGCCGGGCATTAGTGGCGGAGCCATCAAGAAACCGCTAGGCGAACAGGATGGAGGACAACCAATGGGCATGCCGCCGATGCTGCCTGTGTCGCCGATGCACTACATGAGCTCACCGAGGGGCGGATATCTAGAGCCCAGTTTGGGTCTCTCCCCCGGAGGTGGAGGATTGCCAACACAACAACCGCCACCACCGCCGCTGCTTCATCCATCGCACCACAGTCCCATTGCACGACTGATAGTGCCCGGTCGCTATGATCCCCGCTTCACCGGCTACGGCGTGCCACCGCCAAGGAATCCTTCGCCGAGGGACTATCAAGGCAATCCGGGTCCAGGAGCACCTCCGCCTTCGCAACGCAATCCAAACCCACCGAGCTTCAGTGTCAATAACAACATGCACAAGGGCTACATAATGCCCGGAGGCGGTGATGTCTTCCACATGGGCCATCCCTGGGAGCATGCCTACCTGGGACAGCAGCAGCAGCATCCTCAGCATCCCCAACAGCAGCAGCCACCGTCCAGCAAGCCGAATCCCAGCCGACCGTTGTCGATTTTAGCCGCAACAGCTGATACCTCATTTTATGAAAAGAAACCGCCGAATAGTGTAAACATAGATCTGGACAGATCCTCGGAGTCCGATGTGGATGTTCTGCCTCTATTTCGTCGCTCCAACAACAACAACATCAACAGCAGCAACAACAACAACAACAACAGCTCCCACACTAACAATAATAACAACAATCACAGCTCTTCGCTGCTATTCTGGAACAATTCGAGCAAGGAGTCAGCGAATTTTGTACGCTCCGATTCCATATTGGATGACGATGCGTCTACGTTTGATGTGCCCACCGGCTCCTCCATGCACAGTCGTTACGGTCCGATTTGTCCCAAGAGCAGCACAGGCTCTGGTTCCACCAACTGGAACAACTGGCTGCTCGAGAACGACATGAAGAACGCCGAGTTCCTGAATGACAAGAGCAGCGATCTGGGATATGGGGGTGGCTACAAGAGCGATAGGAACGATAACTTCAATGCCAGCAAGGTGAGTGGGTGTGGCGCCATGAGGGAGGGGTTGTGTTTGCCTTTCTAATCTCTTCCGCCTTTGATAATTAAATTCACTCGATGAGTAGTAGAGGTGGAAATAAATCAATGTTCTTTACCTTTATTTCGATTTATTTCGAGCTCTTGTAGTGATGAAGAATTTATGCTTCAAGGGTGGGAAGGTTGTGTGCCAACTCTTGTATAATTTGTTTCTGTATCAGATTACAAATCTTCAATCCCTAATCATTTATATTTCTATTCCAAGCAGCAGCAGCAACCGATGTGGGGCAGAAAGCCGCAACTGATGTCGGAGGACAGCTTCGAGGGCGGCATTGATAGTGGCATGATGCTGCAGCTGGAGAAGAACCTGGTCGATATTGTCGATCCCGATGACAGCGGCATCAAGGTGGACTAGGCCACGGTCCTGGGGCACTCTCTCACCCAGAGGATATTTCTATATAGGGTTTATATATAGAAGGAAGGAGAGTGGGAGAATATGTATAATGCAATCATTTTACACATCGTTAGAAGGTTTGTACCGCACAGTTCAAACTCTTTGGTAGAATTTCAATTGTAACCGTAACTGTAGTTAAAAAAACTGATCCGACCGATCCGTTATTGGATCGGAGCCAAAACAAAAAGAAACATCAACTGGGTTGGGTACCGTCTATTAGAATATATTAAATAATTGTCTAATTAGTTCATTGTTCAAATTTTGTGTGGAAAGAAAATATGTGTTTATGAAATCACGTTAAATGTGTTAAGTTTTCACATTGCGGGGAATATGTGTTGTCGTCGTCGTAGCAAATGAATAACAAAAAAGCAAACCGAAACAAAAACTCAAAACTTAGATTGTAAATGTTTATGTCTAGCCAAGAGTTCAGATTCAGATGGTAGAAATCCCCGCAGAAGCAGGAGGAAAAGAAGAATGATACAGAGTAGTGAGAACGTCAGGCATTATCCGAAGACTTTAAAAACAATTCTACCCCAGAAATAGAAAGAGATGCACTAAATTATTGTATCGTGATCACAAGACTAAATAACCAAAATCCAACAATAGTGAGTTTTTCCGTCATCCCCCAGATTATTTGTGATCAAAAGATGTTTGATTGAATGTATAATGTGCATAGGTATAAACATATATATTTTTTTTAATTATTAACTATATTTCAAAACGCTATTTTTATATACAAAACTAAAAAAAAAAAAACTAAAAATATTATAAAACACATACACAAAACACACATGCACACACTGAGCCACACTCTAAGGACACGAACGATCGATCATTTGTATGTGTGCGAAATGAATGTTTATATTTCTTAAAGAAATTTTAATACCGCTATTGTGCGATGTTGTTAACTATTGTACTATATTATATTAAATTTATTGAAAATAAATTAAAATCACGTCCCCAAGCGAGAACAAGACGAGAAAGGAGGAGCAAGTGGAATGTCTGACAGGGCTTTGAGAACATTTACACACACACCACCTACTTACTCTCTCTCTCTCTCTATGTCGCCTATATAAATGTATATTTATATAATAGAAACTAACCAATTTGTGCGCTCTATTATTAATATTATATATTAATGTCAGTTGAGCCCGCGTTTTGCTTTCAAGACTTTGTACATCATTTTTATTTTTCGTATGCGAGGAGAACGAAACAAAAGTGACAAAGAGATGATGAAGCGATGATTTTTTGTAACTTGTATTTGTTAAGCGATGAAATCAGGAACCTTTATATATATATAATTGCTGCGCTTGATCATAGAAGAATACACAACATATACTATATCTTTACAAATATATATATATTTATTGTTAACGATGATGTTTCGATGCCGTGTGTGTAGTAGAATCCGTGTAAGACTATATTCCCCTGCCGCGGCGGGGAGTATGTGTTCAGTTGTGACAGCTATAGTTGAAATTGATCGAAGCAATTTAAGAGAAAACTAAATGCGTACATTTAAATGTATATTTTCCTATTACTACTCAGAAACTAAAGCATTCAATGTGAAAATGTATAGAAGAAGAGGGCCAGGCGGAGGCGTACTTAATTCCGGATGGATACAGGTCGGGATCCATGGCAACGCCGCCTGTCGTCAAGCTCTCCGCCTGGCCTGGGCTGTGGTGAAGTTTTTAAGCTTAAACCCAATGGGTTCAGTTCATAATAATAATATTGATAATGATAATGATAATGTATTTGTTGCGTTGAGTTTTGTAACTTTATAATTTACAATCAGTCCAGCAACCCGCCAATGCCAATACCCCGAAAACTCTGACCGGAGGCTCTTTTTGATACAGGTCGTGCCGAGCAATTCACACATACTTACACACAGACATTTTCTATTTACACACACACAATGACACACACACACACATACACACAACACTTATTTAAATGCATATATATTTATATAAATATGTTAATTAAATGTATTTTTGGTATTATCACTCAATGTTTCTACCCTAAGCAAATTTTCGAGTTCTGTTAATCAAAGTGGAAGAGAAAAGAAAATCTATACAAAAAAAAAAGAAACAATTATTTATTTTATTTACCAATAAATTTTCACAAAAACCTTTAGTTCTTTGAGTTGTGTTCTCTTTTTCCTGTTTTCCCTCTTTTTATATTCTTAAGTTTGCGATGAGATAATGTATGAGACATATCAGAAGATGGGTAGAAAGGAGGGTTAAGAAAGAAGGTAACCAAGAAGCTTAACAAAATAACCACCCGCAGAATAAGACACACCCACAGCAACCACCACCACCAGATAGGAAATTGAACAGATACAATACTTCAAGAAAGAAAATACCTATAGTTAACGAAACTATCTAGTTACAGACAATCCGCATTACTGTATGTTCTCGATATAAGATATAAGGGTAACGTAAAACACAATATATGATATATATGTATATGTATGATAATAGGCGCTTCTGTTCCTCAACCTAGGGTTAGTGATGTTTAAATATAAAAGGGACATCGATCCAATAAGTCTATTAAGGAACCTGCCAGGAGACGACCGACCGCTTTTCGAACCACCCAATAATATAATAGAACTGCACTGCAATCGAATATACAGAAGATATACTAGATAGTTAGCCAGAGGACTCTCTTCCAGCGCATCAAATGTGTTTTGGTGAGGACAATACAAAATACTCTCAATTTTAAACCAGGATATACTACGCGTAAGAATCTACAGAAGAATAAAGAAGCTCAAGCTCCCGGCAAGGTTACCAAAGTCCCGCCACGCGACTCTCTCTGCGAATAAAGTGTTGCTGTTTTTTGGTGTAATTTATAAGTTGAAGATCCTTGAATTGTGATGATGTGAAATTTACAGTTAACATGCGAAACTAACTCCCAGTTCAATGGGAACGAACAAATGTCTTTATATTAAATGCTAAATGATGAAACTAACTATATACGAGTATGATAAATGTATCTAACTAACACACTACACACGACCTATAGCCGAAGGAAGTTGAATATTGTATCATAGAACCATGTATGTGTGTGTGTAAGCAGAGATTGTATTTTACATGCATTCTTCAAGAAGGCTAAAGCTAAACCCTTCCCCACAAGTGGGAGAAGGGTGCTTTTATCCCCAAACTCCCGAATACCTAGGGTCTGTGTCCATGTTTAAGATACCCTAGAAAGGGATTTAGTTGCGGGCTTAAATATATATTTATTTTATATCTGTGCTGGTCCGTCTATATACCATTACCATGTATAATTATCATTTTTATTGGCTCTTCTTTGAACCATCTTACTTGCTGCCGGCAGCTTTGATCGAGGAACTGGAAGATAAGCCAAGTTTTTCGCTTCTTTCTTTGTTTATTTCTATCCCGAATACCTAATTTCCTTTTCTAGGGTATCTCAGTTTCGGCTGTGTCGAAGCCAGACATCTCTTCTAGTTTTGTGGAATGTTAATCGATAATGTATGTTCTTGGATGTGCTGAAAATAAATATATATTTATCTTCAAAATTCATTGTAAATGTTAGATATGGGAAAAAAACTAAAAACTAAACTTATAGAAAACTAAAAACCAAACTCAATTTGTGTGTGTATGCCTGAAAATTAAATAAATGAAACTTAATCGAATTCTATTTATCTTTGGGACTATTTCTAGCTAAGCAATCCGATCGGTTCTTGCGGTTAATGTGGTTTTGCTTTGATTTCTTTTTATATATTTTATTATATTTATAAATCACCAACCACTTGAAGATATTATATAATAAAGGGGATATATACTATATATGTAAAAATCAACGAATTAAACATTCAACTGGGGCTTCCACAGGTCTGGCATCTCCACATCCTGGGTCTCGCCCAGCTCCAGCATCAGGACTGCTCCATTTTTGGCTGTCTCTATGGCCTGCACCAAGTTCCGGGCACAGTCTTCGGCCTTTTGACGCTTCACTTTGCTGAACATGGCCAGCATGGGGGTCTCGTAATCAAAGGTTGTCTTATTGCCTATATCATCCAGCAGACCAGTGTCTGTGAATCCCGGACAGATGGTAATAAATCCCACGCCAGAATGAGCATAGTAAATGGGGTTCTAGAAGATGATTTAAGATTGAATTTTGGGAAATTAAAATAAAATCCAAAAAACTTACAGCCAAGGCCCTGGTAAAAGTGGTAACCCCTGTCTTGGCCGCCGAGTAAATGGCCATTAAGGCCGTGGGCTGAAGACCAGCCACCGAGGATATATTCACAATGACTCCACCCCGGCCACCCTTGGCCTTGTCCATGTACTCCAGGGCTGTCAAGGTGCTGTGGATCACGCCCAGCTTAACATGTTTAAAATTAGTAAATAATAATTAGCAAATAATTAGAATTTCAAGCCACAAACATCCTCACCAGATTGATTTGTATGGTCAGATCGATAAGGCGATCGTTCATCAGTCCACTGCCATTGACCACCACATCGAAGTGACCCAATCTCTCGGCGGTGGCCTTGTAGGCCGCCTCAATGTCCGCCTTCTGGGTGATGTCCACTTTTTGGTAGAATATATCCGTGTTGGGATTATTGCTCTTCCACTCAGCCAGCACTTGGCTGTTTTCAGTTAAATCAAATATGGCCAGCGACTGTAATGATGCAGGTAATTAATGCCTTACTCCAGTTTGGTGCGATCGGTACCTTTATTCGCCGCTGGAGCAGCTCTTGCACACATTTCTGGCCTATGCCGCCGAATCCGCCAAGGTAAACCACATTCTTGCCGGCCAAATTCATGTCTCGCTGTTTTGAAACTTATTTGCTTGTTTCGGTTTCGGATTCCGTGCAATTCTGTCGGCGGCAATTGCTAAACTAAAGATCGCCACAGCTAGCACCCTTGTCCATTGGTTCAGAGAAGTGCTAACGACCCCATCGCTATCGCTCTCCGTTCTCGAATCTCCGCTCTAACAGAGCTTTTTGGACGATTTTACTCTCGGAGGGAGAGCATTATCGTAGTTATTATAACTGAATAACTGCATTAAGCTTGTAATAAAGAAGAGCTTGGAAAAATAATGTTAAATACTTTTGGGGAATATAAAAAACATTCAATGTATAATTATGTTTTGTGTTACTTTTAAGATATATTTTAAAATATATAATTGTGATATATATATTAGTATACTTATATTTAAGATATATTTATGTGTTTGTGGGGCTTTTACTGCAAGTTTTCAAAGAGAGAGTTTATAGGAGAATTTTTATAATCTTGTTTTGATAGACTATAGTCTTTTTTATCTTTCCTTTTACTGCAAGTTGGTAAACAGAGAGAACAGGTTAACTATTTTTATTATACAGAATTTTTAAAGCCTAGTACTTTGTTTGAGAACTTAATTAAAAGGTAAATTTATTCAACCTAGGTGAGTAAGCACCCATATTCAGATATCATAAGGGGTAAACACATTGTAAAACTAATACTTGATGGTTACATATAAAGTTATATATACTTTCTTAAATATATATTATAATTATTGCTTACTAACGTATGTTTATATAATTTAAAAAAAATATTTACTTACTTATTTCTTATTTTAAAGACTTACTTCCACCACATTCCATCGCAGCTTCAACTATTTTTCCACTCCACAGAGTTATTTGTGTCAGCTCCCGAACTGAATGTGTTACTGACACCGACATCTGGTAATGGGATATTTCTGTTTATTGGTTAAATGCGAACAAATCGATTTCCCCCATTTGTGTTCCGCCCCGAATCCAGGTTGCGGTTGGGCACATCCGTGGAGAAGCCTCTTCCACCTACAAGCCGGCAATGTATCTTTGGAAGTGGAAGTGTCGCTCAATTACGCAACCAATGGATCCGTGTCTCAATATTAAGTTCACTATTGCAGCATCCGTGCGGTAGCGTACCGGAGGCCCCAAAAGGCAATCGACACCAATCGGATCGCGGGGGATCGACTTGCGGATTTCGAGGTCATTGTGCAGACCGGGTGGCAGAGTGGGTGGCGCGCCTCGGGTTACCCGCAGGTGGTGGTATAAAACACCCACCGAAGACTGGCTGCGGCATCAGTTCAAGCATTGAGATCTGAAGAAGAGGATGATGCACTGTTTCACGTGGACGATTCTTGTGGGCCTTCTGGCCATCGCCTCAGCTGCCGGTGGAGTGCCTCAGCGGCAGAGTAGTGGCTACCAGGAGCAGGACACGGCCAGAGCTTTCTACTCGTACGGTTACAGGGATGACAGTGCCGCCAGGGCAGAGTACTCCTCACGGGACGGCACTTCCAGGGGCTTCTATTCCTACGTCGATGCCAATGGTAAGCTTCAGACTGTCCGGTACGAGGCCAATGGCATCGATGGCTTTAAGGCGGAGGCCAGCAATCAACCCCAGGCTCCTGTGGATGAGGGAAAAGCCCCACAGCCCGTTACCGACACGGAGGAGGTGCAGCAGGCTCGCCTGGCCCATCTGAATGCCCTAAGGGATGCGAGGGATGAGGCTTTGGCCGCGAGTTTGCGCGAGGAAGCTGCTCGCAGGCAACAGGAACAGGCGAGGAACAACAATGAGGATCAGCAGTCCGGGGAGCAGAGTCTCAGCGACGAAGATGCAGCCATCTTGGAGAGAGTTAGAGCTGAGCTGGAGGCCATGTTGGCTGAACGTCAGCGAGCGAGCAGTCTCCCCCGGAGCAGGGAAGAGGAGGAGCAACGACAGGATCAAGATCAAAAGCAGGAGCTCAGACAGGACCTGAGAGAGGAGCAGAGGCGTGATCAGCGACTGGAGGAAAGGCAGCGACAGGATCAACGGCAAAGTTTGCGGCAGGATCAGCGTCAAAGTCAACGACAAGATGAGAGGCAGGATGAACGACGGGAACAAAGGCAGAGGCAGGATCAGCGACAAGATCAACGCCAGGATCAGCGACAGGAACAACGCCAGGATCAACGTCAAGATCAACGCCAAGATCAACGCCAAGATCAGTCCCGTAACGAGGAATCCCTGCGAGACTCTACCAACAGCCGGGAGAACGATCGCCAGATCGATCGTCCAAGCTTGCAGATTTCCTCCGATCGCGACAGCGATGATCTCCGCCTGCGCACCATTTACTCCCTGTCCGATCTCAGCTCCAGCAGCTACCTGAAGCTCGGGGATCTGGCCAGTGCCGAGAAACTGCTCGAGGATCGCCTGGACAACACTGATCTCCGTGTGCCAATTGGCGCTTATTACACCCTGGTCTCTCCCAACACCAAATACAGCGTGACCACGCCCACCGAGCTGAGAACCCTGCGTCCTGTGGCCCTCAGTCGCAGCTTGTTGGTGAGCAAGCGCAACTGAAGGATCCAAGGATTGGGGGAATTAAATTGAGGAAATGAATCTAGGCCGGCTTATGATTGCGGGATGATTAAAGTATAACCATGATGTGTTTATATTCATGAATAAATGCAAGACAGAGCACCATTGTGCCAAATTTAAGGGGTGTTTTCATTCAAGTATGGGCTTCCATATTCTAAGAAATGTTTCTAAGAAATATTTATCATAGCTTTCTTAAAAATCTTTCAACATTTTCTCCTTTTTATAAAATTAAAATAAAATTCATAGAAAACTCCCTTAATTTTTTCCATATTAATTTCGAATTTGCATCATTTATTGCTCAACAATTAACAGAGATATGTATTTCAGAGAAGATTCGATCTGGAAATCAAGCTACTGGCAGGTAGTTCCTGGCAGGCGTCTGGGCCTGGCTCTTGGTGTGATAGTTGTAGACGAATCCCGTCGTGGGCTGATAGATATAAACCGGCTGGGAACGAACGGCGATGGGAGATGGCGGCGATATCACTTTGATCTTTTTCTCGCCGAGCAATTGATTGCGCAGCTTCTCGGCCTCGAAGCGCTTGAAGAATGCCACCTTGGCGGCAGCCACCTCGGGAGTATCCTGCACCGGCTGCGGACCAAAGGAAGTGTCTCCGGCCAGCCTCAACTTGGCCTGCTGATGGGCCTCCAGATGCTGGGCTCTTAGGGCGGCCACCTCAGGAGTTTCCTGATTTGCCTGCTGGTTGGGAAGGTTGGAGGTGACGTGGAAACCTTCGGAATCAGCCACATAGTCCACCGTTTGGGTGGCACCATCGGCACTCAGATAAGAGTAGGTTCCACGGATCACTCCGTCCAGAGTTCGGGTCTCGTGCTTGGAGTAAAGTGGTGCCATGTATCCATACGAGTACTGACCATGCTCGTCCTGGGTGTGGTACTGACTTATGGTATCCCCACTGGGCGGTGGTGCTCCGTACTCCAAAAGCGGTGATGCCATAGCCCAGGTAAAGATGGTGAAGATCAGGCAGATATTGAGGAAGTGCATCTTAAGCTCGCTTCGGTTGTGTAATTTTGTTTGGGGGAATTACTTTTAAGGCGCTGCTAGTGTGGTGGACTAGTACTCGCTCTAGAGAACTCTGTGCTGGGATCGGCTGGGGATTCTGCCTTTTATAATGCGGCGGCACCTCCTGCCGAAAAAATTTACAATTTCGTGCGTTCTCAGGAAGGTCGTCCGGTCGGGTTTTACTTTCATATTCCACCAGCCCAGGCCTGGCTGGATTATTGTTCCTTTTTCCTTTTCCTCTTCCTCAGCTTCCTCTTCGGTTTCCTCTGCCGTTGCTCTGCCCCCCTTTTGCCCTCTTATTGTACATAAATATTTTGTCGATTTCGATTTCAACAAGTTCAGCATAAATTTGAGCACAAAAGCCGCAATTTGTTTTCATCTGCGGCAGGGGCAGCAACGCGTATCTCATTGCATCCGATGGGATCGTTGTACGTGGACATGTTCGGAGACAACCAACAACGTTCCGCAATGCCACAAAGCAAGAACTTAATCAGGCTGCTTTTCACAGAGTTTGGAGTTTACACTGAGACCAAAATTGTACAGAAAAATAAGCAAACATTGGTGGTTAAATATAAAATAAGTAAGAACAAATCAAGGTAAATCTTACTGCGTTTTTTGCCTAAAGATTGAAATTTATTTACAAATAAATATTTTAAAACGTGTGTGTTTTAAATTATTATCATATGTTTCTCCTATAATTATTTATTTTATTTATTATAATTATATAACACCCTTTTTATCCTCAGTGTAAGCCTGGGATCGTCGTGGAGGGGTCAAGGAACCGGGTTGGGCTACGGGACATGCCGGCTACCTTTTCCAGTTTCACTTATTTCGGTTGCTGCCTCTTCACTGGTTTATGCTGCTATTAAATTTAATTGAAATCAAAACTTGCCTTACATTTATAAAGAGTGAATGCTGCGGTATGCCATGTTGATGGCTGGGCCAAAAGGTTGAGGTAGGACAGGGTCCATAGTCCCATCCAGGGGATACGGTCTAGGGGTTAAGCTGCTCAGGAAGGGTTAAGTTCAGCCCGGATGCTCTTGTTCAGGTAAAACCAAATACATAAATAAAATTCTTAATCGAAACAGATATAAACTATAAATTCTCCTGTTTAAGTTTAGGAAAAAAATGAAAATGCAACTCAGACTGATTGAAATTTTTTTTATTTAAATTCGAAACTCTGGAATAATGAACCGAAATTCAGGCAATGGAAACTGTTCCTGTCCATTCAGTAGTAGAAACGCGGAGAGTAGTACCTGGGGACGGTGTATCCATAAACCGGGGTTGCTGGCACCACCACATGACTGCGAGCCACTGGGATCTTGGCCAGAACTTGGTTGCGCACCGCCTCATCTTCGACGCGTTTCAAATGCAGAGATTTGGCCGCAGCCACTTCCACGGTGTCGGTAACGGGATGTGGCAATGGAGCATGGCCACCATGGGATCCACCTACGGGTGAGCCGTACTGTTCCACGGGATGATGTACCTCCGGTTGAGCACTGCGACCAGTCTCCACGACAGTTGGATGATGATGGGACTCTACAGAATGCTGAACGGGAACTTGATGTGAGACAACGGGATTTGGCACCACTCCTGGATGCTCCACAGGATGGACTCCACCTGGGCTAGCGCTTCTTCCGGAGATTCCCAGTGATTCCAGTGGGACTATAGCCTTGGGCAGATTGGTGGCAGCGACATGGAAACCCTCGTTGTCAGCCACATAGTCAACGGTTTGGAGTTTGCCCGCCGCATCCCTGTAACTGTAGCTGCCCCGGGTGATGCCATCTAGAGTGCGGGTCTCTTGCTTGCTGGACAGCGGTTCCGCATAACCGTAGGAATACTGACCCAACTGATCCTGGGTGATATACTGCCGCTGTGTGGGTGTGAACACGGCAGAACCCTCGGCGGAGTACACAAACGGATATGTGGTGGCGTACAAGGCCAGGCCGTGGGCCAAGCTCATGCTGGCCAATAACAGAAGAGGATACTTCATGGCTTTAAGAAGTGAGAATCCTGCTAGTTAGTCGAGTGTGTGTGTGTGTAGAGTGCTAGTTCAGTGGTAACTGTTGGTTCTGATCCTAAGACAGCATCCTTTTATACCCAGCAGGTTCTCGATCGAGTTCTAGTTCTGGTTTAAGCTGAGGTTCTTGCCTCCTCCTTCTCCTGCTGCTTCCACTTCTTATGGGGTTCTTTGGCACTTGGAGAATCATTTAGGAGATTTAATAATACATTTATTTAAAATATTATAAAAGAAATAATGTCCTTAGAAATATATAATATTATTTTTTTTAAAGGTGACTCAAGAACAAAGAAAAGAATTGAAGAATTTTTAAAATAATTCATATAAATGATCTCAGGTATTTATTTCCTTTACAACCTAAAAATTTATTTGTTTAAAAAGTTTTAGATCCCGAAAGTATCTAGATATATATCCATTTGTATATTTTATTTTATTTTTCCAAATGTATCCATCAGATGCACTTGAATGCAAACGAGCTGATCGCGTTGTCTTGTCCACTTGTGTCGTTAACGGGCATTTCAGTTCCACCTACCCCGCTTTAATCTCCTCCTGAAACTACTGCTCCTCCTGCTTCACCTCCTCCTGAGGGCGGTGTCAATTTGGTTTAATTGTGGCCAAGGCTGGAGTGGGCTCAAATGAGGGAGGCAACAACCGAAGCAGCACCATCAGCAGGCTCCTTCGCTGACAATCGCTGCCTGGCATCGGCATCCGTGATATTGGCGCTCAAGAGCCTTGGATGGGCTTGTGGTGCTTGCTCCATCAAGGCCAAAGACCGCATCCAGCCCAGCGTGTAATTGATATGCAATTGTTGTTGCTGCTGTCGCCGCATTGTGCATCTCAACCTCAGCCTCCTTTTCGTTGTCCCTCCAAAACCGAATCCGAATGCGAACGCGTTGCAACGGGGCCACGACAATGCCTCTGTGGCAACAACTGCAACGGCATCTCAAGGTGAGTGAAGGCCAAGGGCCACATTTGGCCCCAACCTGGACACTGGACTCTTTGGTGTGCCAGTGGCGCAACCAAAGGGGTGCCTTTAGTTACTCGCTTTTCCCTTTTAAAGTGATTTTATGTATAAGCCTCTGATGCATCTGCAGCTGCAGTGTCTTGTATCTTTTGCTGCTGCTGCCTCCCTTGGGTTTTATTTTTAGCTGAGGCTTTATCGGCTGTCCAAGATCTGCGGTGCTTAAACTTCGCTCCCGATTAGGAGGAGGAGCACAGCTGCAAGAATCACATTGGCCTTGAGTGGCACCCGGCTGATAAGTGCGTTTTAATGTTAGCCCCGTTGGCACTTAGTTTCAATCAGAGCCCAATTCTCGCCATTCCTGCCAGCCTTAATGATCTCGTTAGTTCTTGGCTGGAATTGAAATTGCAATTGGACTGGTTTGGTTTACTTTACCTGCTTGGATTCCTTGGACACTGGGCGTGGGCCACTACTCCACTGATTTGCGAACCATCATCGTCTGCCTCTCACTCGCGGCTAATTAGAGTTGTACCTGAGATAGGGCCAGGTGGCAAGACTCTTGTCTGTATTTATTGGCCCTTGATGGGGTCTGTTTTTATGCCCTTGAAAGAGTGTATAATGTGTGACAGAAGGTGATGGGGTTTAACACTGATAGGAGTGTTTTAAATAGATTTGCATTAAGAGAAACATGTTCTACTCTTTATAAGGGGTACTTAGAGGGTAGATAAGCACTATTACTTCAATATTTTATTTATTAAATACCTGTTTTTATGAATAATTTCTTAAAGGGTAGACAAACTTTTGTCTGTTAATGATGGATTTCCTTTCAAAATTTATAATAATTCTTTAAAGGGTACCCAAACTTTCGTCTCTCTAATAAGTCTTCCTTTTATTTTGTTGTTTTCCTTTTGGCCAGGCCTATGACTTCATCATTTGGCCTGTTGGCCACGAAACTAACCAAATAATTCTGACAGTCAGTTTCCATAAATCACTGTCAATGTTTTTTTTCTTTTTTTGTACGCTTAAGGTTTGTTTTGGGTTTTGGGCTGGAGTTTCTGTTGTGCCACTGATTGTGTTAATCATTTTATTGTGTGTTGAAGCAATTTCCTTATGATTTCCTTCTGACTTTTACTTTTTTTTTATTCCTGATTACCTTTTCCCCGCCCGAAATAGAGGCCGAGTTCAAAGAACCCATTTACCTTTTGAGGAGGCCTACAAATCTTAAGCGCTTGGACTATTAGAAACAAAAAGTGATTTGCATACTTGAGCATGAGCTCATGCCCAAAGTGGTTAGTAGGGCCGCCTCCTCGCTAGTCACACCCCAAAGTCCCCCCTCATTATACCAATTGTCTGTCACTTGTTGTGCGGCGGACACATAAAAATTGGCTGTTTTACTAGCTCAGTCTATATGGTCAGCCCCCTACCTCCCACCGCCTCTAAATGCCCAAAGCTTTAAGCTTTATTTTCATTTATTTTCACTCACAACAAACCCAAGTTCGAGTGGAACTTGTTGGTCTGATAAGACCGCGGGGCCTAGCCTTACTTTTGTTATTTTGAGTTCTTTTTAGCTTTAGGTTTTTTTTTTTCGTTCTGTTTGATAAATGGCTTCGTCGTGTGGCTTTCGTTGTTAGTTTCGGTTTATAAAATTCTGTGGCGAAATGAAGTCATCGCTGGAAACAAATTATAGGGGTCAGTATACATATATACACGGAATGCCCAATCTCTTTCTTTCTTTATCTCATTCAGAAAATCGGCGAATTGTTTTTTATTTATGTTTAGTAGCTATCTGATTTGCTGTCGTCTGTTTTGATAAAATTCCAAAGAGGATGTTAAGCATTTTCATACATTTTCACTCAACGAAAGCTCACTCGAAAACCAAAATATCACTCATACGCCGCTTGGGCCTTAGCTAGCCGATGGCTGCGCATTTGCCCAAACAGTTGAGTTTCGACATCGACAGCATTCGCGCGTTTGCCTTTAAGTAAAATATTTGGAAAATATCCAAGGAATAACAGAAATAATATTTTGGAAATTTAATCAACAATTTTGAAGCGTTTTCTTAAAAAATGTAAGTTGGAAAAGTGTGAGGAATATAAACACAAAAGCTGGTCCTAGTTGTGAGTACATCCTGGGCATCCTTAGGCAGCCTCCAAAGCGAGCTTTATTTTTTTCACCCTCCAAAGGGAAGCTGTGCCTGATTTCAAGAGCGCGATTCTGACCCAATTCTAATGCCACCCAATCGCGTTCCCTTGCCTTTTTTTTGTTCCTGCTGCAGTTGAAGGCTTTATCCTGGCATTGTTTTAGGCGCAGTTTCCCCGCTTCCGTGTGTATATATGCGTGTGTCATCGGTCTGAATTTCAAGCCCCAAGAAAGCCCCCCTAAGAACCCCTTCTCCCAACCGGCGCTTGCGCGTTTCCCAGCTCCCAAGTGATGTCATCTGGGCTGGTGATGATGTATGTATATATCGCATCGTACATATACATATACATATATTATGTAGCATGTCCAGAGCATAGGCCCCCTAAGTCAATGATTTCTCTATTGCGTTGCGTGTTGGGTGAGAATCCCCTTTTGCTTCCTGTTTCGCGCCCGAAAAAAAATTAATTTATGCATTCAGTCCGAAGCTCTAATATTTCAGAATGTTTATATACACACATAGAGGGGGGATATTTACACTCGTATCTGGTGCAGTATTTCATGTTTTCTGTAGTTATAAATACACAACAAGATGACCTAAATTTCCCATTGCTCATTTGTTCTCCGGCAGTCCACTTGAGGTAGGTTGGGTTAATAATTATGTCCCCCTTCCTCCAGGAAGTTTATTGTTTTCTATATGCGGCTATCTTTAACCCATTTGCATTTCCATAAATATATTCCCAATTAACTTTTACCATTTCGGTTAAAAACTAATTAAAATGTTGGCAACGAATTCGCAATGCTCGACTGGATGAAAACTCGTTCCCAGATCAGAAATACAGGGAAAGAATCCAAAACGGAGATGGCAAAAAAAAAAAATATATGAGGAGAAACGAATTATTTATGGTCTGACAGTCAAAGCGGATTATTTCTGATTTAGACTATCCACGCTCCCCATCACATTGCCTCACTTTCTGGGGCCGGTGGTCATGTTCGTGGCGGGCAACATGACTTTCAGATGGTTATATCAGGGAGAAGCATATTTTAAATATTAAATAAAATTGGTAAACTAAAGAGCTGGTATCCCAAACATGACCAATACATCCGGTATGTGGTAGTTATCTTCTAAAGATCATCAGTTGATTTGGATAAGTTATGGCATCCGTTTTAATAAGTTTGCCAACGGATATGAAGTCCTTAAATGGCTTATAAAATTTAAATATAATTCTGAGTTTTTTTAACTACCTAAAGAATATTTTTTCTAATTTATTTTATTTTATTCTGTTATTTATTATTATTATATTCAACTTTGTAGGGAACTCTCAACTTCGATTTGCTTTAGTTTCCCGTCTTTTTAAAGCTCTTCTTTCATATTCCAACTTCTTTTGTGTCTTGTAGTTTGTCAACTTTTCTTGTTTCTCGGTATTTATGGGTTCCAATTACAAAGTAAGGGCGGAGTAAAGGGTTCCATTAGTCTTCTCCGGGGACGTGTTCGCCAATTTGTTTCGGCTTCAGCGGAGTTCAAGTTCAATAACCCCTCAGACTCAGAGACCACTAAAGATGATTAACGACTAAAGGTCTTGCGATGCATGCAATCCTCTCAATTATCCACTCCAATGGAATAGATTCGATGGATTATCTGCTGGGAATATGGGCTATGAAATTGCCTCACCCCAGAGCTGAACCCAGAGCAGCGCGTAATCGGAGAACGGGGCGTAATGAGGCGATGACATAAGCAGGCTTGATTCGCTGACGGAACACACACATATATTATTTGAATCGGGTTGGGAGTGGGTGACATGCTCGACGGGCTGCATCAAGGTCAGGAAGGCGATTCAGCCATGACCTTCGGCATAAGGATACCACCGATTTGTTAACATCTGTCCCGGCACAAGCCACAGCATCGTATGTTACCCCAAACCCCGAGCCTCGAACTGGTTGGAGTCGCATCTTATCGCCGCCTTAAATGGTTCCCCAAACAGCTTCCAGCTTCCAGCTTCTCTCCTGGGGCTCCAGCCACCAACCTTAAGTGGTGCGTAATTAATGGCCCCGCCAATAAATGCTCACGTTTTATTTACTGTTTATGGGAGGATTCGACTGCCCGGCCATACATTTTCGAACTTCGTGTTGGGTAGCCTGTAAACACGACGACAATTTATGCTACAAGCAATTTTAAAACTAAATTATCATCCAAATTTATGCCACGTTCGATGGGCAAACAAATTAAGTGAGGTATGCTAGGGGCTGGGAATGGGTAATGCTTATTGTAAAGCATTAAAAACAGTAAAAAATGCGTAAATATAACGATACCCTAGGGTCATTAGCCATTTTTAAACACTTAAATAAATTATAAACTTAAATTATAGTTCTACCTTAACTATATTTATTTATTTCTGCTATAACTTAGACCTTTGGTAACTGTTTGATCATACCAAGCTACCGCTAACCTCTTTAAGAAACCTCGATTAGGCAAACCCATTGGCTATTTATTTTTGTTTATTTGGATATCGCACAAAGGCGATAATTAGCGTCGTTAGGGGGAAGGTAGGGGGAACGGAACCCATCAGATGACGCCATTCCATTATTGGATCTCTCCCAATTTTGCAATTTGTTTTTCCTCCTCTCTGGAATCAGCTGAGAGAGCTTTGGCTAGGCATTGTTCTTGTCCAGTACCCAGTATCGCTATATCGTTGAGATAGGAAACTGAATAAAACACACAGATAAGCCGCTGGTTGAGATACGCATGGGAATATAGCCTCGTTAGTCATTGAAGACGTACAAGACCCACCGCAATAATGTTGGTCAGCGTGGTGGCCCACAGGTGAGGAAACTGCGTGGATATGGGTAATTTTCCAAGCCGATTACGCGGAAAGGAAAAGTTGCGTGTCAACGGAGAAACACAACAAAACGAACTGACCTATCAGGCTACACATAATATCAAGCTTTAATGGTTCCCCAACCTTAAAGAGGTTTTTTTTTGGATTCAATTTAATAATAAATAAGTCTTTGGGTTTGTTTTTAAGGAAACTTTGGGTATATTAAAGTAAGGCTCCTCACAGAGAGCCTCCCCAGAGATTTACAAATATAAAATCCATATAAGGCTTTATCATTAATTAATAATCATCCCTAATTCCCTTCCAGAACCACCATGTCCGAGGCAGCAAATGGCAGTCCATCTCCCGCTCCCGAGGCCCCGGCAGCCGAGTTGGCCCAATTGGCCCTAGAGGATGAGGCAGCGCCCAAGGTCAGCTTTTCGGACCAGTTCAAGGCCTTCTCAAAGTTCGGGGACACCAAGTCCGATGGCAAGCTGATAACGCTCTCGCAGAGCGACAAGTGGATGAAGCAGGCCAAGGTGATTGATAAGAAGATCACCACCACGGATACGGGAATCCACTTCAAAAAGTTCAAGGCCATGAAGATCTCGCTTGGGGACTACAATAAATTCCTGGAGGATCTGGCCAAGACGAAAAAGGTGGAGCTATCGGAGATCAAGCAGAAGCTGGCCGGCTGTGGAGCTCCGGGTGTGGTCTCCGTTTCGGTGGGTTTTAAGCTGATATGTTTATAGATTCTTTTTGGTAATCTATAAATTATTTTCAGGCTGGCAAGGCGGCAGCTGCCGTGGACCGGCTGACGGATCCCAGCAAGTACACTGGCTCCCACAAGGAGCGCTTCGATGCCACCGGCAAGGGCAAGGGCATTGCCGGCAGACGCAACCTGGTCGATGACTCTGGCTATGTGAGTGGCTACCAGCACAAGGACACCTACGACGCTGGACACTAAAGGGGAATCCCCCAGTATTTTGCAACCGCCCACCCCTCTTAACATCTCTCCTCCTCTCTCTCTCACTATTCTATACAATTTTGTGTTTTCTTAGTTTATGTTTTTCATTTCCTTTGGTAGCTGCAATTATTTATCGTAAATACTTTTGTGTATATAATATAAGTTTGTGATAATTTAAGTGCTTACAAATAAATTGAGATACTTTGATTATACCTTTTGAGTTCTGTTTTTATGGTTTCCTTCTATTCTCCTTCGATACGTAAACCACTGACGCGGCCCAAAAGAGTTCAAAAGCAAATCCAAATCAAATTTATATAAATTTCATGGTCTTTAAATCCATGTTTGTTAGTCGTAAGAATAAGAAGTACATTTTTAATATTGAAATTTGTGAATGAAACTTAATTATCATATATGGAAACCAAAGATATACGACATACATAAAAGGATATGTTATGTTCTCATAAGATTTTTGCTTGAATAAATAAAGAGACACATTTACGTAAATAAGGGATTATAAATGATGTAAATTTAATATAAATTCCCACAGAAAGGGTAGGGAAGGGATCAATATTAAGAGATCATTGGGTTTATCTCTATTCAGGCATTATCACTGATGCAAAGCTGACATCGCAAAAACCAGAGCGGTGTGAAGCGGACTGAACGCTAGAGCGACCAGAGATGACGATCGAAATCGATATGGCGGCGGCGTAAGTTTGCATAATCCTAACCCAGAGCAGGTGGAAAACTGGCTATTGATTGCAGCCGTGCCAAAGTCACTACAAGCTATATCGTATATCCCCGGAAAAATCGCTATAAAAGCGGTGATCGCTACTCACCCAAGTTAGCAGTGCAACTGGCGAGCTCCGAGCTTGATGAACCCACAAGGAATATCCCCGTCTACCAAGAATACCAGCCAGAGCAAGATGTCCTTTCGTGGCAAGAACGCGGTGGTTACCGGAGGAGCCGGAGGCATCGGTCTGCAGGTGTCCAAGCAGCTTCTAGCTGCCGGAGCAGCGGTGGGTTATCACATGGAGTCTATGTAGTGGCTTTTCCCTAACCCTTTTGTATCCCAGAAGGTGGCCATCATCGATTTGCAGGACAACCTGGAGGAGTTTGTGAAGCTACGTGCTGCTCATCCCACGCAGAGCGTGATGATTATCAAGATGGACGTTGCCAATAAGAAGGGAGTCGAGGCCACCTACGAGGAGATAGCCAAGACTTTCGGCAACATTGACATTGTGGTGAACGTTGCAGGCATCTTTAATGACAAGGATGTGCAAAGGACGCTCCTTGTAAACCTGGGTGGCATCATCAACTCCACTCTGAGTGCCTTACCGTATATGGACAAGGCCAATGGCGGCAAGGGAGGCATAATAGTCAACATGAGCTCAGTGGTGGGCTTGGACCCGATGTTTATCATTCCTATTTACGGAGCCACCAAGGCGGGTATCATCAACTTCACCCGGTGTCTGGCGGTAGGGAAAATCTATAAAATAATTAACCTTTAAGATAATAATGATCTATTTTGTGGTACCCAGAATGAGAAGTTCTATCAACGCTCGGGCATCAGGTTTGTGACCGTCTGTCCTGGAGCTACGATGACGGACATGTTCACCAACTTTACGGAGAAGATCATCTTTCCGGAGACCAGCGACGAGACCTACAGGATCCTGGATAGATTGAACAAGCAGAGTGCCGCCGATGTCTCGCGCTGCATACTGAATGTCCTGGAGAAGGATAAGAACGGAGCTGTCTATGTCATCGAGGGAAAGCGCATCTTTCCCTTGGACCTGAAGCCCCAGTGGACGGGCAAGGAGCAGGCCCTTTAAATGATGATAATTCCACCAAATCCTGCACACACATACACACTATAAACAAACTCTGAACAAATTACCGAAATTAGTTATTTAATAAACAAACAAAGCACGCTGCACATGTGATTAGTCCTCCCGCCAACTGACCAACACTTCATCCGTTCGGAATCGCTGTGTTACAAAGGCTTCCTCGAGGGGCATCCTGGTGCCAGAGCGGAACATCTCCGCACCGGCATGGGCAATCATTAAACCATTGTCGATGCAGTAACGTTCATCGGTGGCGAAAAGCTTTCCGCCCCGCTCCTCGCACATAATACGCATCATCTCCTGGAGACGCTCGTTGCAGCCCACGCCGCCTACAATGAGAACCTGAAAAGGCGTTTAAAAAGATCTACGAGGAAAGGTTAATAAAAAGATCACCTCATTGGAGTCGCAGTGAGCCATGGCGCGCTCTGTGATCTCCACAAGCATGGCAAAGATGGTTTCTTGCAGGGAATAGCACAGATCCGCTTGGCTGTAATCTATGACCTCCGCTTCCTGCTGTTTCTTCCGCTTATTCTGCCTCCGGCCCGGCTCAGCCAGGTCCTCGATGTAGGACAGAATCCCAGAGAAGCTCACATCCATGCCCTTGACTACATAGGGCAGCTTAATATAGCGACTGCTTTGCTTGGCCAGCTGCTCGATGTTGTAGCCAGGACTGGGATCGTTGGACAGCTTGATGATTCGCGCAAATCGATCCAGACAGTTGCCCACGGCTATGTCAATGGTCTCGCCAAAGATGCGATATCGCTGATTGGAGTAGGCAATCACCTGGGTGTTGCCGCCGCTTACATACAGGACTATGGGATTTTGGGCGCCGGTGATCAGACGACCCATTTCGATGTGGCCGATGCAGTGGTTTACGCCGAGCAGCGGCTTTTCCCACAGCAGAGACAACGTGCGTGCCACAATAGCGCCGACCAGCAGTGGAGGCGCCATTCCCGGGCCTTTGGTATAGCAAATGACATCTAGATCTGCAGGTTCCAGTTGCGCCTCCTTCAGACTGGCCTTGACCAAGCCCAGGATAGCCTCCCGATGATGTTTGGCCGTCTCCTTGGGCAGAAAACCTGTTGCATGTTATTAGATTTATGAAATCGTATAGAAAGCCGGTGGCCATAATCTTGAAATACCTTCTCCTGGTGGCGTAATGTACGTTCTCCTGACATTGGCCAAGACTTTGCCGTCTTTAATAATGCCAATGCCAATCTTATTGGCACTTCCCTCAATGCCCAGAGCGCAAACCATAGTTAATAACAAAAGTTATTATAAATAATTCCAGCAGGAGGAAAATGTAAACAAAGTCCAATGTGGCCGCCAAATTTTCGGTTTATAAAGTTGAAATTCAGCGACAGTTGGGCACACTGCTCCCACCCACGCAGTACTGCCAACTTGCCACCAGCACCTGTGTCTTTGTGTTACGCAGCCCTGGACCAAAACCAGTTGGCAGCACCGCCAATGTATATGCGTAATTAACGCTAATTAGTCCGGAGAGCGAAATCGAAACAATATTATTTCATTCGAGCAGCAGTAAAGTGCGGGCGAACGCCAGCAATCACCGTGCATATATTGGCATAGTGAACTCAACTTGTAAGTGGAGTGTGAAAAGTGATAACCCACGCAAGCAACAACAACTAGCGTTAGACAAAGGTTTAGTAGTACAGTAAAGAAAAACAAAAACTAAAGCAGCGAGATAAGAGAAGCAGACAAAGCAGAAAGCAGAAGAGTTCATCGCACACACACACACAAAGCCACACACAAAACACAACTGATACAATTATTTTGCAGAAACGGCGAAAAATAAAGCGAAAAACAACTGCAACGCAGGAAATATAAAGCTTAAAAAGAAAAAAGAAAATAATAACAAACGAACGAAACCCGATAAATCGCACAAACTCTGATACGCCCATCCATTCTGCGGTCCGTTCCAGTCGCTGGTCAGTACGACGTGAACCAGCGATTCATACGGTGGTAGCGATGGCGCGCGAGGACGAGCAACGCATTGTGGACAACGAGGAGGTGTCGCACGCGGCGGAGGAGGATAATCCCGGGAGCAACAATCGGCAAGACAATGAGTTGGCACTGCCCTCCGGCGGCTGCTGCATGCCCTCGAGCACCAGCCATCGATTCATGGCGCTGGTGTTCATGTGCCTACTCGGTTTTGGATCGTACTTCTGCTACGACAATCCCGGGGCCCTGCAGAGCGACTTCAAGAGGGACTTGAATCTTACCAGTACGGAGTTCACGCTCATCTATTCGATCTACTCGTGGCCCAATGTGATCCTGTGCTTCGTGGGCGGTTTCCTCATCGATCGCCTCTTTGGCATCCGCCTGGGAACAATTATTTACATGATGATCTTGCTGGTGGGCCAGCTGCTCTTCGCCAGCGGTGGCATACTGAACGCCTTCTGGCTGATGATCCTGGGACGGTTTATCTTCGGCATCGGAGCAGAGTCGCTGGCGGTGGCCCAGAACAGCTATGCGGTGCTCTGGTTCAAGGGCAAGGAGTTGAACATGGTCTTCGGCCTGCAGCTGTCGGTGGCCCGATTAGGCAGCACCGTCAACTTTTGGGTGATGCAGCCCATCTACGACTATGTTAGCAAATTCTACCATGACCACCAGGCCCTGGGCGTCGTCCTGCTGCTGGCCACTCTCACGTGCGTGATGTCGCTGATCTGCGCCCTCATCCTCGGCTGGATGGACAAGCGAGCGGAACGGATTCTGCAGCGGAACAACAACCCCTCCGGCCAGATTCCCAAGCTCACGGATATCTTCACGTTCAAGCCGCCCTTCTGGATGGTCTCCATCATTTGCGTGGCCTACTATGTGGCCATCTTCCCGTTCATTGCCTTGGGACAGAAGTTCTTTGTCGATCGCTTCGGCTACACTCCGGCTCAGGCTAATACCGTGGACTCACTGGTGTATCTAATTGCCGCGGTATCCAGCCCCGTGTTCGGTTTCATCATCGACAAGGTGGGCAGGAATGTGACCTGGGTGTTTACGGCCACGTTGACCACCATCGGAGCCCATGCCCTGCTGACGTTCACCCAGCTGTCGCCGTACGTGGGTATGATCGTGATGGGACTCTCGTATTCCATGCTGGCCGCCAGCCTATGGCCCTTGGTGGCCCTCATCATTCCGGAGTATCAGCTGGGCACTGCCTACGGCTTCTGCCAGTCTATTCAGAATCTTGGCCTGGCCGTCATCACAATTTTGGCTGGTTTAATCGTGGATAAAAGCAACGGCAACCATATGTGGGTGCAGCTTTTCTTCATGGGCTGGCTGACCATTGCCTTGATCTCTACTGGCGTCATCTGGGCCTACAACAACAAGCATCGCGGCAATCTTAATATGACTCCTCAGCAGCGGGCGCAGTTCGTCAGCGCCGAGAATTATCAGAACTTTGAATAGACGGATGGATGGAACAAAGGACGGAGCGAGGGAGCGCTACCCGCAGATTATCGGATCATTATCGGTTATTTAGTGTAGGCATAAAATTGTTCTCTGCGGGCTGCGGCCCGCCCTTGATCCTGGTCCACGAACCGGATGGTGATGCTGAAGTGTGATGTGCGTCTCGAGTCGCAAATTGGTATTTACTAACTGCAATTGTTTTTGTCCACGACGGGGACGAAGGGGATATATACAATACGCCCCGATCGGCCTTGAAGAGCGTTGTCAGGGCGATCAATAAGCTATTTTACGCTATGTATTTTTAGACAAATTTTTTATTATTACAAAAGTTACCGCATGTTTTTTGTGTCAACGTTTTACAAATTAAACTAAACATCCAAAATCCTATGAAACACAACCAGAACTCATTGAAGACTTGAACGCCCAGGGCGGAAATTCGGGATTTAATTGTATTTGTATATAGTATGTGTGTTACTCGAACCTATATCTTTCATTCGTGGCAGTTACTAGCATTTACACGAGTACAAAACTATGTCCTGGTGTAATTGAAAATTAGTTAATTAATCCGTCTTGATTACTATGTTTATACACAAGCCTTAATTGCAAATAAAAATTATGTAAATTACAGATTAACAAAGAATATAATGAATTAATGAAACAAAAATCATATTTACAAGTTTATTTTCAGTTTCAATTGTAAACTAGAGCAAAACCCTCTCGTATAATTGTTTAAAAAATCCTAAACCTCACAGGGAAGAAAGAAAACCATTCATTAAACGTTCATTCTTTAGTTTACTCCATTCTTTTAAAACATTTTAATGTCTGTCCGCCGCTCCAAGACCTCAATGCACTGCCTGCTGTCCAGACTAAGCACCTTCAGTTCCTTTAGAGGCTTCGTTTTCTCCTCCGCCGACTGGCCACTGCGTAGCGTTTCAAGCAGCAACAAAGCCGTACCCCGGGCCGCCGTCAATAGCTTGGTGGCATCGTGTATTCTGGCGAATCGAATTGTGAAAGGTGTCAGATTTATGTTTATTGCACAAGTGGCATATTTCGGGATGACTCACCGCTTAAAGAGCAGCTCCGGGCGACGTGTATACTGGCCGAACAGCGCGAATAAGTTGCGCGTCATGTCATAATTGAATTGCGCTGCGCCCGCAGGCGCAAACTTCGTGTTCATGACCATGCTATCAAGCATGAAGTCATCGATTTGATGGGCTATCAAGCGGAGCGTTTGGTTGAACAGATTGGCGGAGAGTTCGCTCTCCAAATTGTGCAGCAGGGTGACCAGCACCTGAAACATTTCCCCGCCGCTGGGGGAGAGGATGAACGGCTCTCTGCTGTTCTGCTCCGGCATGGTTGGCCATGCATCCCTTCGATAGCTCATCGACTTGGCCTTCATCTCGTTGGTTGCCTTTGTGGCCAGATCTTTCGTAAGCTGACTGGCCCAGTGCTCCAGCTCGGCAACGGCATGCTCAAACACCGAGTTGATCTGGGAGGCATTGGGACCGGCCAATGCCGATTGCAAGTGCAGATAGTGCACGTTCTCGCCCCACTCGCGCAACACCATCACCAGGTAGTTGATGGCGTTCAGCACGGGAATGCTGCGCACAGCTCCGATGCTGTGGAGCTGCACTAAACGTCTTCGGAAGCTATCAATCAGCTCCAGTTGCAACTGCAGAAACTGCAGCTGGTGACCAGGCTGTATCAGCCCATAGTAGCGATCTTTTATAGCGTCCAGCAGCCGCATAAACTGATCCGCACAACGCGGTATCTTCAGATCGTCCTCGAAAGTGTTGGGGTCAATTAGCTGGAACGGCGTCTCCGCCTGCAGTATGTAATCCATTTTTTCCGCGCAGACTAAGCAAAATTAATATTAAATAACAGGGCATTGGGGGCAGTGACACCTTATCTTACATCGCTCTTCTAGGGAAATCCAGCGGAGCAAGTACATGGGCTGTGTGATAACAGAAATGGCGCTGGGGAAGCTAGCCGGATAGCCGAAGGTTTCCCGCAGCTCAGACTCAAAGGCCAGCGTCTCGTCAAGCAGATGGGCGAAGAGGATCTCGTCCTGGGCAATCTGTTCAATGTCCACGGCCAGCTTTTCAATGGTTAACTGTACCAGTCCTCGCATAAACTCTAGCTATAAAGACATTAGTCTAAGCTTCATGGAAGGTGAAATAAACTTAAACTTACCCTGAGATTATAGTCCAGCTTGCCTGCCTTCATGGCCGATGGCTGGAATGTCTTGCCCACAAAGAAATGCGTCTCCTTGCCCCAGTTGAGGATCTGTGTGTAGAACCACTCGGGCTTGTCCAACCGATTCGTTTGCCGGGTGCCCGTAAAGTGAAATGTGAAGCGCTGGCGGTAAGGGGCCAGCAGGAGCTGCACCACCTGGTTGATGGGCTGACACACGATGCTGGGAGTGATGCTTAGGAGAGGCGCATGCTCTTCCGCTGGTGATTTGACGAGGAACATGTATTCGGCCAGGAGTTGGGCCTTGGCAGTGTCTCGGGTTGGCGAGTAGTTGAGGGCCTGCTGTTCAAGGTGCGCCCAGCGCATAGTCTTCAGCACGGCCTCGAATTCGCTGGACAGGCGCTTGAGGAGCTGTTTGTGCCAGTAGATGGCAGTGCGTTCGGCGAAGGATTTCAGTGAAGGTGCCTGCACGGCATGAAGGCGACCTACTACGCTGTGCTCGCAGTCGTTGCCCTCGTAGAGCGTTAGGTAGATATTCACCAACTTGGCTTCGTCCTTCCCATTGATGGCGTTGCCCAAGGCAGCGCTGATTTCCTGGATATCTTGAACCAGCCGCAGGTACTGCGTCAGACGCTGTAGCTGCCGGACCCGTCCCAAGTCCTCTGCCACGCCGTCCAGTGCGGGTTGACACTCCCTTAGCTTCGTTTTCAGCTTCTCACCGAACTGCGCCAGTTTCTCCATCTCAAAATCGAGGCTTTCGCAGACCTGTTGCTGGCACTGGAAGGCAGATTTGTAGCAGGAAACATTCTGGGCATCCTCATAGTCAAGCTGGCAAAGTATTTGTTATTAAAAAACATGTAAATCGAAAGCGTTTGCCTCTCACCGTTTGGTACAAGGCTTGGAGCCGCTCCCTGTAGTGGCTGGCTACGTGTTTGGCCCGGTGCAGCTGGCTGGCATCCTTGCCGATCTCCGCATTCAGTCGCGCCACGATGCGCGACTCCATTTCGCTAAGCTTTGCATGCATTTTAAGGCTAAAACAACATTTAAATTTAAAACTAAATTGGGCCACGATCCACGTATAAAAAAATAAATAAATGGGATCAGTGTGACCAAAGCGGAGTTGCGCGAACTTACTTTACGTTATTCGGCGAGACCAGGGCTGCAGCACTTTTGGCTTTTGGTATATTTTCAAGGCCCCTCGACGGTCACACTGTACAAGCGGGCTTCGTTCAAAAAGACAGGTGCGGCGTCGTTTTCTTTTTATTTCTCTTAGCATAGAAATTGAAAAGAAAATGTTTACGCCCAGACAAAAAGGATTTGGTAATGGCTTTGTACCTTCGCCGCATACGCCGCTCAGCTTCAGCCGGGAGCTGCGCCAAGTCCTGCAGGAGAGAAATCTACTCACGGCAAAGTCACGCAGGAAAGGTGAGAAAAGCGTCGCCAGGTGTGTTTCATATTCTAATTGCTTATTTATATTCGCTCTTCAGTCTGCTCCATGCTGGACAGCAACAATAGCAGTCCCATTGGCTCCCCCAATCCAGAGTCTGGCAAACGCTTGGGCTTTCGTCTGCAGGCCATCCAGGAGATCATCTCGTCGGAGAAGTCCTATCTGGAGCAGCTAGAGCTGCTCATGAACTACTTTGTGCGCCCACTAAAGGAGCAGGCAATCATCGATGGCTCCAATCATACGCTGCTCTTTGGCCAGATCGAGATGATCCACAATTTGAATGGGGAGTTCCTGCGCGAGCTGGAGGCGAATATGGAGAATGTGGCGCAAGCCTTCCTGAAAATGGCTCCGTTCTTTAAGCTGTACTCGGTGTACGCCTTTGACTATCGCGGTGCGTTGTTTCTCATCCAAGATCTGATCAGCAAGAACCCGGTTTTCCGGAAGTTTCTGGAGAAGACCGAGAGTCGTCCTGAGGTGCAGCGCAAGCTCAACTCCCTGATGATCGTTCCGATTCAGCGGGTGCCGAGGTATAAGCTTCTTCTAGAGCAGGTGTTGCTTTACACGAGCCCGGCGGATGCGGACTACAAGCTGCTTAAGGGTAGGATCTACAAGAAAACCTTAATTAAGACTTCCAATAATACGTTTTTCTTTCCAGAATCTGTCAAGGAGATCGAGGCGACCGCCTCTCACATCAACACCTGTGTGGAGGAGCAGGAGATCACCCAGTATCTCATTCACCTGCAAAACTCTTTGGTGAATCGTACGCCCAACATTGTGAAGCCTTCGCGACGTGTTATCAAGGAGGGCATCCTCCAGAAGATCACGCACAAGGGCACCGAAATCAAACGCTACTGTGTGCTCATGTCGGATATATTCATGTACTGTAAGCTGGTCAAGGATCGTGCTCCCCACACCGCTGTGGAGAACTCCCTCGAGTGCTGCTGCATTTTCCCTCTGAAAAAGTGCAAAGTTTATGAAATGCTGCCGGGAAACTTCAAGCTAACGTGCCAGAGCGATGGCATTATCTTTGGCACCGGCGATGTGCAGCTGGCGCGCACCTGGGTGGGTTTCATCCGCGACGCCATCGATCTGCATGTTCAGTGTCGCAAGACGTTGCGCAAGGACTCGAGCAAGAGGACGCCCATTCGCAAGAAGGACATGAAAAAGTTTGGAACTGATTATGTACTGAGTCCCAACAAACGTAAATGCGAATATGAAACGGTGTTCCGTAACAAGAATCGTAGTACTGATTCCGAGGAGGAGACCGATGATAGTGCTTGCTTTCCGCGCAAGCGCAAGGTTCCCGCTGCCATCTCGCGGCCTCCAAATATCAGACATATAAACGGAAACCCCGCAACTTCTGTGTCTATGAAGCGTTTGGCTCCACCAGCACCACCACCGCCGCCGCCTACCTCAGTTCAGTTGCGCCATCAGCCGGGAGGATCGGGAGAAGCCACTTCTAAGGAGAACCGCATCTCCAAGTTGTATAAAAAGATTGCCACCGGCGATAAGGTGGCCAATGTCCGAGGCATCCTCAAGCGCAGCAATGTGCCGGCCCCTAATAGCGATCACGATCCCAGCTACGGATTCGCCAGTCGCTACTCGGACTCGAAGTCATATTTCAGGACTCACAATGTTGACAACACCATTCCGACAGTGGTGAAACGCGAGGATCTATTCAATGGTGAGCACATGTTTCCCGTGCATTTAGGCATGAGGAGCCAGGAGGAGATTTGCTCACCGCCGCAAAAGAAGCGGGTCAAGTTTGACGACACTTTGGATGCCGGGTCTCTGGCCATGGACCAGAAACCCTTTGCATTCCCAAGCAACGAAGGAGGTGACGCGGCAACACCCAAGCCCGCTTCATTGCGTGAGCGAATCTATGATTTCTTTGCCAATCTATTCTAGTATTAGATGACTTCAAACATACATCGATTATTTAAAAAATCATTTACAAATATAATAAAACAAATTTACAATTCACATTACTCGAAGCCTTGTCGCAGCTCGCGGATTTGGCGCATGAAATCCTCGACGGCCTGCTCACTGATCTCTTCCAGCCAGCTACCATTCCGCTTGAAATGAGATCCTATTATAACAGCTTGGGCCTGCTTGTAGTAACTAGCAATGTTCTCCTTGGTCACGCCAGAACCGATTAGCAGAGGAACCTTAACCCGGCCGGATAGCTGCTGGAGATCTTCCGGACTGGCTGCATGTCCCGTGGCTGTTCCTGTGATGATAATGCCATCGGTGAGGAAGAATTCGGCTGCATGGGCTGTTTCCAGGAGACTGACATCCGCTGTTATGGCGTGGGAGCTGTGTTTCTTCTTGAGATCCGTAAAAATCAGCACATCCTCGGCATCAATCAGCTTGCGGTAGCGCAGCAAGTCGCCCGCACAGGCGTCCGTGTAGCCTTCATCCGCTACATGACCGAAGACGAAGCCCTCGCTGCGTATAAACTGCAGCTGGCTGGCCTTGGCAATCGCCAGCGCCTGCTTGTTCCCGCAGGCAAGCACCTGGACGCCGCAAGGTGTCTCTTTGGGTATCACCTCTCGTACTGCCTGTCCCAGTCGTGTCATGCAGGCCACTATCTCAGGTCCCAGGAGACGTTCGGGAATGTAGGGAATATCGTGCATATTCTCTATGAGCACAGCATCCTGGAAGGATAATGCTGGAAGTTCAAATGAAGCTTCTTATGTATATAATTTATATCCTACCAATTGGTGTTTCTTGTACAGATTGGCCTCGTAGATGGCTTTTTCAATAGTCTGCTTCCAGTTGCCGGTGTATCGGGGTGTTCCTGATGTTGAGACTCCGTCGGATTAGCAGTGTTCGGTTCGGATTGTGGTCTTTCTCTCACCTGGCAGGGCATCCACGTGTATCATGCCGATTACCTTGCATGTTTGCTGGCCAAATATCTTCACAAAACGTTGCATGTTTAAGTTAAAAATTTTAAAAAATCGAATTGGAAGAATATGAATATATAGTTTGCCGGTAAACAGCTGATAAGTAGCCAGGGATGGAGAGTGAAGGCTATAGGAACTCGTTGAATTTTGGTAAGTTAATATTGAACTAGTAGATTGGAAAATAATGCTAAAACATGTCCTTAATCGGTTTTAATTTACCAAAAGTGATAATTTAAATATTTATTTCTTTATTTATATTAAAATATTTTAAAATATAATTCATATTAGTCCAGTAAAACATACAGAATATTTCTACTTTTCTCGCTCATAAGTAAATTTCAAAACATTTCCGAAAACCTTTCAAAATTCTAAGGGAAATTTATTACATTACCTGTATTTAAACTCTTTCCCCAAAGTTAATAAGTCAAGAACAAGAAAAAACCCCCTTGAGGCCTTAAGGAAGCAAGTATCCTTGTACTCCCCAATGCATAGGCCCGTATTAGAAACAAAGACCTAACGAACCGGCACTTTAAATAAATGGAGAGTGCAAACAAAAACAATTATGACACTTTGGGCGGAACAATGGAGGGCGTTATCGCCCCAGAGACAGGACTAGAAATAGCCAGGAGTAACACCAAATGGTGACTTGGGGGGGGGAAGCCGGGAAGTCACTCAGCCTGTAAAGTTGCCAAATGAAAGGCTTCCCCATTTGGGCTGTTCGCAGCTTCTGTTGTTCCTGTCGCCACTCGGTTACATTGTTCCTGGATAGCGGGGCTTGCGTTGTCCTCGAGTTCGATTTGGTTCCGCAGCAGGATGTGGAGTTGGAGGTGGGACTCGTGCCCATTTCTGGTTGCCGGCGCTTAGCGGAAACGTTCGCTGTGCGCGACAGAATTTCAATTATCACAGCGTGCGATATTCCCTCTCTCCCCTTTTTCATAGGTTCCATGGGAACCAGCCTCTCCTCGTCCCTCTTTTTATATTCGACATTTGTTTGTTTTCCCGGCATTGTTTTCCCGCGTTTCCATGTGTGCGTGTGAGCGAGTCCTTTGTGCGGGCAACAATTGCGCTTTGTGATGTTTACAATATGTAAAAAGCGATTGTTGTAATGGACACTATTCCTGCGGGTCCATTCGATCCAGTTTACCCATGACGGAGCCATAAAAAATGTGCATTCTAATTGGATTTCAGTTAGCAGTTGATTGGCCGACAAGGTCAAAGGTCCTTTTATGCTGATAAAATCGAAGTTCCCTCTCGAATTCCAACTCGTTTGCTCTCGCCCCCTTGAAGGACTTGAGCAAATATCCCGGGCCGAGTGGAAACTCTTTACCTGTTCGGCAAACAATATAAATTATTTATAATCCGAGAAACGAGCGTCCTTTCGCACTTTCAGCCCACTTCCGCACCCAGTTCCCCAGCTCTCGGCAGGACCTGTGTCCTCGCACACACATGAGCTTGTATATGTACACACTTTATTCGCTTGTAGTTGCAACAAGTTGTTTCCGTGTTTGCCTTTCGTCCTCCCCGCCGCCCTTGATTATGCGAGCTGCAAACAACCTTCATCTGCTGTTTGTGTCTCCCTTTCACAGGAGGTAAACAGAAAGCATAATGTGCAGGATATCCTCCCTGCATGTCCTTTCTATGAGGGCCCTCTTTTTCTAATTAGCTGCCCCTAGCCGAGCTCAGGCTAAGCACACAGGCAGAAAAAAAACAAAATAAATTTAAGTACACGGTAAACAGCAAAGCAATTAATTGAATTCAATTTGATCAGTTAAAAAACTTTTCCAACTCTAAACTTACAAAAAAATATAAATTATTTCATCACCTTTTGAATAGAAAATAATTATTAAACTATTCAAAAGCAACACTTATTAAAGCCCCAACTTGTGTGCCAGTGGAGAGGAAAACTTAAATGCCGACGTGGCCAAAGAACAACTACAAACTGGCCAGCCCACAGATGAAAGTTGGCCAAGGGGAGAGCTTCTTGAATTCACACTAATTAAGCAAGCTGCAAGTGCATAAAATATTATTATGTGGTGTGCCATAACAAAGGATCTTCAAAAGTCAAAAACAAGCTGCTGATAGCCCGGCGGACATGGCAAAACAATTGAATTATTTAGCAGGCAGCAGGGGAAACTTTTTTTTAGCCTCCTAATTGGAAAGTTGCCGTCAGTTTTAAGGAGTCCTGGCTCCTATGGAGAGCCTCTTGCATTCGTCCACCGCCTGTCACCTGCAGATTGGGCGACAGGTAAGACGAGGCAAGCACTGGCTCTTCCTGACCGCACCACAAACTTGTCGACATTCATTTAACAGACCAAGGGGGGTTGGGTATATTAACAAAAATCGTGACGAAAAACTAAACTGGGCGGGCTGCTTGAGAGTCAAAAAGCCTAACGAGTTTTCCATTTATCTCCGCGTAAATTATACCTTCACACCTAATGCCTAATACCTGGGCGGTGCGTTCGCCCCACTCTATATCATGGCGAATCAGCGGAGGCCATTTTATAAATTAGCATTTCAAATATTCAGACGTTGATTTGCCATTACTCATGCGCCCCGTTGTCCGCGTGAGAGAATTTGATAAATTCCCCATTTTATTTGGCATTTGAGCGTTTTCATTAGCTAGTGTAAATGCAATTAGTCAATAAATTGAGTGAATATTACCAATTTCCATGCGAGCCGCGACAGACATTTCGGGCGCCTCAAAGGACAAGGCCACCCACCGGCTAGGCAAAGCAAGGTGAACCTGTGCGTGCTCCTGCTATCGCCGGTCATAATTCCTGGACGCCACCGCCGACGCATCGATCATCGATGGCCACAGGAGTGGGTAATAGACGCCACACGCAACCGATGGGACCAACAGCGCCTCGGCAAATTGGTAAATGAGCGAAAACAGCCTCGAAATGTGTGCACAGAGTGTGCTGTGCGGCTTGTAAACTGCCAAGCCAGCGAATCGATGGACCACCGCGGCGGAGATGGAGAGCCGCTAGGTGGGGTTTTTGCGGCGGTGGCTTTAGGGGAAAGGAGTCAAAACATTTTCGCTGCCCAACAAGACTGCGAACGGAGCTTTGTGGTGACCTTGATGGATCCGATTTTGGTGTGTTCTTATTTTGCATTTTCTGAAAATGTCCACAAAACCACACGACATTCGGGGAAGCGAAATTTAACTAGTTTTAGCTTTCGTAAGAACTAATTATTATGCAGTAGTTGGACACAAAAATGTCATAAATATACATTTTGTAAAATAAATTTACCTTTCCTTGCTTTTTAAGGCTTCAGCGTAATTTACGAATAATCACCACTACTGGGACTTCTTTAAAAGCCCAACTTGTAAGCGTCAAAAATTTCAATATTTTTCACGACTCAGACTCAAAAGTATAACCAGCTTTATAGCTCCCTTACCTGCTATATGCAGAGCTGAGTTTTAACAATTGCTCTGCGGTTCGTGACGGTGCTTACCTGGCACTTCGTTTAATGTTGTCTGCTTTACGGCCCCAGCAATATTCGGCTAAATGATTTAGGTGACAAAACTTTGCAGACAACGGGGAGGGCAACAAAAAAGAGCAGACAATGTGAAACTTTGGTATAATAAAAAAAAATAAATAAATGCTCTTACAGAGCTCTGGAAAATGAAAGTAAAGCGAAAATTGCAAGCGATGCACGACAAACAATTAAAGCACTCGCAACACGCATACGCCACGTGTGCACAATTTGTTGATGCTTCTGTTGCTGCTGCTGCTGCTGCACCTGCCTGGGGTAAAATAAATTACTCAATTCCCAGCGTTTCGGCTGACAGCTAGCCAGACAGGCCGGCAAATAGAGCCATAATGCGCAACGTCGAATTTTCAAGAGAACTTTAATTAAACTAAGCCACAGACGGTCGAAGCGGTCGACACTGTCGTGACCTCAGGTGGCAGAAATGCGATGGCACTCCCAGCAAACTCGAACGTCGAGTGGTTCACCCGAAAAACACTGACGCGTCGGGAAGCGGCGGGAGCGGCCACTGGCCCAGACATGGCTGGGTGGACATTGGTGAGTCGTCGACTATCGCCGCACTTTATCTTGGCCAGCCGAAAAATTGTCACAACGTGTGGCGCGCAAATGTGTGCTAAGCTTTTTCATTTCTCTCTGTTTTTTTTTTTTGAAGCAGAGATGGTACCGTGAGTGACTTGAAAACCTTGATCCCATAAACCCAGCATATATTCCAGGAACTTTTGAAGGTTCATATCTCTGTCATTTACACGTTTTTCCCAGAAGACAGAAGGATTTTTGTGCAGCTGAGGGCCCCTCGATTACGTGGAAAAACCAAGTCGAACTTTGGTCGTGACCAGCTGCGTCCATGGTGTCAGTTTCAACCTTGACTTTCGCCGTACTTCTCTGCGTGTCCGTGTTGGCCTGTCTTTAGATAACCGAAGTTCGGTCCGACGGGCATAATTAGCGAAAGTGATTTGTATCGGTTGACTTGGTTGGTCTAAAAATAACTGACATTTCGAGTGCAGGCTTTTGGCATTTCCCCAGACCTCCATTTCATTTGCATTTTACCTCGGCCAAGCTGCTCCTTACATTCCGGCTAAAGCCGCTCTGGGTGCGGGCTTATCTCGGGGGGTTACGAGTGCAGCTCCGGGATTAGGCAGCAACGACGCACCTGGAGCAGCAGCCTAATGAAGCTGGGAAATGCATTTTCCAGAGTGGAGCAGAGCAGGGCAGCCTTTAGGAGAATATCATTGGCATTCCATTCAAGTGGCTCGGGGTATTTAAGCTTGCTTATTTGGCTCATTTAAGCAGGCAACGTTTTGTCTTGTCTTATTGTGTATATTCTCCATTGTTCAGACATTCGTGAAATGTATTCAATTTGGTTAAAGGATTTTTTAGACGAAAGCTTAAGGAGGTAGTTGTAATATCTCAATTTAAATTGTAAAATTGAGGTTGTTTCTGAATAAGTTTAGGGTAGTTTTTTTTATTTTTCCAAACTTTACTTGAAGTAGAGGCCTAAAATTAAAGCGTTTGAAGGTATAGTAGCTCCTGTACTATCTTCGAAGCCTCTCAGGTCTCAGTGTGCGTGATTATACCCCTCTCTCCCCCCCTGTATGAGTGAGGCAACCAATCAAAGTTCAAAAGTTCACATCATTGACAGCGAACAACTTTGGCTGCTTTGGCCCAACTCAAATTAAGAAAAGATAGCAGGGAAGCTATGTTGAGAAGAGACGCACAAAACTTTTATCATTTTCACAGTCCAAGAGAGCAACGAGAATAGTTAGTTACGGCGTACTTGGGAGTCCTCCCATCCATCTCCCATCCTGCGACAAGGCCTCGCTTTTTTACCTCCTCGATATTGTCGCTTATTTAAGCTGCTTAATTTTGAGAGGGATGTCTGGCGTTGTCCCTGACAGCCCAAAAGGGGTGGCAGCAGATCCTGTTGTTTGCCCTTCGACAATCAATCATCTGATGCCTACTGCCAACAATGCAGAATGCAAAAATGTGTCGCATTCGCACCTCCAGCCATCCACACCCAGGGCCGCAAATGCCAAAGTCCCAGGCCAATCAGGCGGAAGGTATGACTGCAAATCTGTGGGCACGGCAGGCACATGCCTTCAATCCCCGGACACGCTGCCAGCCGCTGTCGATGTCGATGCTGATGCTGCTGTGGCTGCCGATGCTGCTGCTGCTGCCAGGACACGGCGTATATAGCGTAGATGCCTGTCTCCGTTGCTGAGCGCCGTGTACGTGGAGGCATGAAATTGGGTCACCGGGCAAGAGGCGGGGTTCCGGGTCCTGCTGCCGTTCTGTTCTTTTTCGTTCCGCACGGATTCAGATTTTGGGCAGCCCACAAAAAGCTGAAAAAGCTAAAGTGCACATGGACAAAAATTGGGAACTTGGTAGCCTAGCTTGAAAGAAAGAAAGAAGATTTATAATTAATGCAAATAAATACATAATCTGTCACATCAGTCGTTATAAAAGATTGGTAAAATATTGAAATCATTGGATAACAATTAAGAATATTACTTAATAATTAATGTAATTAAATCGAATAGTTAAAGTAATTAAAAATTAGTAATTAGAACTTTCTTTAACTAAGACATTCTCCACAAGTCATCATGTTTTTCATTCCTTTTTTTTCTCGTGTGTAATCTTTAAGCGGTTAAGGATGTGAGTGCTGAGGATTTGTGTGGGCAGGTGGGTGGTTGTGGTGGGCGGCTCAAGGTGGTCTTTGGTGGGCGGTGAGTGGCCAAAGCGCAGGAAGGAAGCCAACGCGCGCTAAGCGCCGTCGCTTGATGGAGCTCATCATAATTTTTGGGGCGCCATGGTGGAAAACAAAAAAGGAAACAAAACAAATCGAAGCGGAGGAGCGAATAAGAGTCAACAGGCGAGAGAGAGAAAAAGAGAGAGCGAAGAGCGTCGAAGGGAGAAAGCCAGAGAGCGGAAAAGCTCTCCCGGCAGCTTTTCGAGTTTTTGGAGCTAACCTTCATCTTGAACTTCATGGCGGGAAGGAGGGTCGGGCGTTCTATGTTTCCTTTCTAGGCCAAGTCCCCCTTTTCACTTTGGCCACAAAAAACATATGCAACAGGAGGAAGTTCATTCATGGCGAACCCAAATCAACAAGCCAGGATGAAGCATAGAACCGGAAGGGATAATTCTATGTTTATTTGAAAGTTTTAAATATTTATTTTATACGGAAATGTATGAATGTTAAGAGCATGTACATTAATTCAGCTTCTTTAAGATTAAATTACAACTTTTTTTTTAAATTAAAATATAATTGCGGAATGGCTTTCATCTAATTTTTCTACTATTGCAGGGTATTATAATTTTATTTTTATTTATTTTTATATTAAAAAAATATATATCATATACGTCAAAATATCAATTTAAAGAATTCGGTTTAGGTCATCTGAAAGACAAAAATTCTTAAGGTTCAAAAAATGTTTCCATTATCTTATAATGTTTATGTGTAACCAAAAAAAAACAAAGTTTTTTCACTGATAAATCCATAGAAACTTCTATTTTGTAAATTTAAGTTATACACTAAATTTAAATACTTACAAAATATATTTTAAGACTCTACATAAAACATGATTTTGCAATTGTGAAACCATTAAATTTGAAATTCAAATATCAAAAACGGACCAACTCCCCGCCGAGCTTTGTTCGAGAGAAACCCGAGGCAAAAAACATCGCACTGACCCTCTCTCTCTCTCTCGAGAAGCTTTTACACACAAATTCTCTCTATTGCTCTCCGGCACACGCACACCATTGCAGGCTCTTATCAGAGGACTGAAGGCAGGCTGGAAGCCAAGCAGGACTCGCATTTAAAGATAGCACAGTCACAGTCACAGGAGCAGCAGGAGCAGCAACAGTGCGATGGTTGCACGGCTTATAAGGTGAAACGCGAAACTGGAGCAGCTCAGTTCGCTGTTGGCAGGCGGCGCTGGAGGTAGTAGCTCTCTCTCTCAATCAAGCAGCAGAGGAAGCCCAGCAATCAGGAGCCGAGGAGCACACAGTCGTCGGGGACTCCCAAATATCCTCCAGAGCCATCCACAAAAACTAACCGAACCCACCAAATCGGGAGTGTGAAAGTGAGTGCGCGAGTGCCAAGTGAAATGAAACGAAACGAAATGTAAACTCGACTAAACTAACAACAAATTGAATTGAATTAAACTGAGGAGTGGTGCAGCGAAACAACTAAAGCCAAATTGCGTGCAGGACCAAGGATAAGCGTAGCAAAGCGACGACCGGATCCTCCCGTTCATGTCACGCTGCATTTGCACATAATTGCAAACTGTTGCGCGGCCTGCAGTTTCGCTTTTTATTGCCAGGCTATAAAATAAAAATCCATTTGCCCGAAACCATTCCCATTTCCTCGCTCCAGCTTCCTTCTCTCCCCGCGACAACTGTTGCATATAGAACACCATAGCACAGAGCACACAGCACACCACATCGTATATGGGGACTGAGGATGGCATAGGGAACCGGACACCGACTCAGGACACTACACAGCACACTGCACTCGGGGCCACAGAATATAACCATTTATTTTACGATCTCAGCCTTGGTCATGCCCCATTAAATATGCTTCTGAATGTTTTGTTCAAGTTGAAACGGAAAGCGAAATTCGACGAAACGAGAAGCGAGAAACGGGAAACGAAAAGTGCACAGCCCAAAAATTATGCTAAAATAAATACCACGAAAATATCCGCATAGAAGACGAAGCAGAATCAAAAAAACAAATTCAACAAATAAAACCTAAAAGGAGAAGCAACTTTCCAGCAGAAATTTACATCAGAATTTTAAGCTCTGGTCAAGTCCCAGTCTCGTGTCAATTTATGCAGCCATAAAAGTTAAAGGGGAACACTCGAGCAGGAGAAGTCCTTTTCTAGCAGGTGAGTCCTTGAAACCATTCTCAGCTAACACTGGAAAATCGTTACCAAATCGACAGTCGCCTGCCAGTGACAATTAAAGATAACCAAAGCATTCATGGCTTTTTTAAATATTGATGCCACTCTTCGTTATTTATTTAAAGCCTTTAAATTCAACATAGACACAAAAACCCTTTCGGTGAATTATTATTCATGGCCAGCGTGTATATGTGCGATATATTATTAACACCTGAGTGTCCAGCTGAAAATATGATTCGTGTCTAATAACATCAAACCAAACGCGAATCTGTTTTATTATTATGTTTCGCCATAAGGCATTCATGCATTTTTTGTGAATCAATATATATGTTAGCTTCCAGCTACCGATGCATTTATTACTATAAATCCCGGCAAAGTCGAGGCCGACGCGGCGTATACGTAATGTACGTAATGCGTATTTTCTTTAATCATGGCAAACAAACATGGTGAGCTTTCCGACTGATGTCTGATGTGCGGCTTTGATGGCATTTTGGGCCCCGGGGCGACTTTAATGACCGCCGCTTTATCGGGGCAAACTATTATGACCACGTATACGACAAGTATTATGCGTATTATATGTGAAATGTGCCGTGCAATTTGCTGCCTTATATCATTTTGTGGTGTCTGTGCGAAATGTGCAGCTGTTGTTTTTATGGCCTTTGGACTGAGGCTTGGCTGGGGGGGGGAAATAGGATAACAAATGTACTCCGCCACACATATGCTCGCTGATAAAAGTAAACAAAAACAGCAACAGGCTGGAGAGCAAGGGAGGGAGGGGTATATTGTGTGTGGTATATACACAGTTAATTAAAAATCAGCTCCAATTTGGTTTTTGCTCTAATTAAATTTATGCTAAATCCGTGTCAACAGCAAACACACCCACCCAGGGGCACGTGCATTGCCATCAGAATGCAAATTCCGAATCAAATTAACCAAAGTATGCCCTGGCGGCCCACCTGGCGTATGAGTGGTGCCATCTGTTGTGTCTCCTCCATTACAAAGACAAACAATTAGGAGGCAAGAGAAGTGAAGCAAACGGATAAAAGGGAAGAGTGAAATAAGGGGAAGAGCCCTGAATTAAAAGGCTTTTCTTTCTTTATTCTTGGGTTACCCAGAAAGAGGTGTCCTCACGAACAATCAATTGAAAAAGTAATCCTCAAAGAAAGCTCCAAATCTTGGCAAACTTCCCTTGCCAAGGTGCAGACCCTGCCCCTTCGGTTAGGGTATCTTTAAAGAGCGAAACGAACAAATGAAATGTGCGGGATGACAACGGTTTGGGGCCTGGCCAGAACCAGGCTTTCATGTCAACTTTGTTAATTAAATGAAGCACTTAACATCGAGACATATTTTTGCGCCAGACCCCTTTTTGCGCCTCCGGGGAGATTCACTCACCGTTCCAGCTAACGCAGTTGTGTTCTCACTGTTTGCTTTTTATTTTCCCAGCGACTATATAATGCCAGTGTCCAGTTCCATTTTAATGACTGTCCGAACTTCTTATCATAATTTCCATTTTGCTTCCGTTTGCCGCGGCATTTCCCGTTCCTCGTTCGTTCGTTGTTCGTCGTTTGGCACTTGTGTGCTTTATTGCTGCGTCCTGGCAACGCCCAAACCCACTTCATCCATCCGTTCCCGAACGCTCTCCAATTGAATGTGGACGAAGGACTTCAAAGACTTTTGTGGGCATTTCATTAAAACCACTCGCTGGCACTGCGACTTTTGCCTTTTTCGCTGCTGTTTTGCATAAAGGTTAAACAGCAAGAAATAAAAATGAATAAAAAACAACTTGTCATTCAATTTCACTCAACAAAAGCGGCAACGATAATTGCAATAGAAATGTTTATTGTTGTCGACAGCCCGACCAACTTTTGTTATTCATAATTATTTTTAGTTTATTCTTGTTGAGCAATTCCTTTTTTATTCCGGACACTCCAATTGTTTTTGACATACGCCTCTTTTGTTAGTATTATGTTTTTTTGTGGTTTCTGTGGTCAGAATGGTCAGGGAAATGGGTTTGGGGCCGCAAACCAAAAACAAATACACACATTTCTGGTTGTAAAAGCTAGAGACTTGTTATTTTTATTTTTTAATTTTCAATGAAACTGGATTTTTGAAGACAAAGCTCAATAACTGAAGGATTTTGTAGTCATTTAAAAGGCTTTGGCAGTGGGATCTGTGGTAATTTCAAAAATCAATTCAATAAAATATTCTTATTGGCTTTTATTTAAAGGAGGTTCTCTGAAATTATAGAGCAAGAAATGAAATATTAGCATGAAATTAGAGAACTTTAAGCCTTAAATAAATATGCTTCAACTAAAATGAAGGATAAACTATAGATATTTTGGTTTTAAGAATATAAAAGGAAAGAATCAACACTATAAATTCAAAAGTACATATTTAATTACATTACTTTAATCATCTACCAAAATCAAACTAATTAAAAATCCCTTTAATTTTAATACCTTAATTTGAATCATAATTGGAAGACTCTTGCCAGACAATATTAAATTTCCCTGGCCTGGACATTCATTTTGCATGAAAAGCATTAGTAATGCGATCTCATTTGGCTTTGTTAAATTGGGAGAGCACCCTTAAGTGGAGACGGTCCTGCCTGTCCCTTGACCACTGAACTATTGAGGCTCTGAAGACTCTGGCTGGGGCCAGGTTGCCATGTCAATGGGCTCACTTACATTGGGTATTCAATTCATATTGCTCTAATATGCGACAATAAGTATCCTTCATAAGCTCGATATACATGTATCCTCCTGCTACCAATTTCCGATGACCTCTGGCAAAACTGTCGCAAAATGTTGTGTCGCCTGCTGTGTGTGCCAAAATATTTGTGTTATGTCGCTGTCGATGAGCGTCAAATCAGAATTCGATATGTGCGACAGGCAAAAGACTGCGAAATACATATCTTCAGCAGAAACACAATAAGCTGGCAGCCTTACCTACTTCCATATCGAATTGGAAATACCCTCAAAGTTGGTCCTTCCAATGCAGAGTGGCTCCTTGAAGGAGTTATTAGCATGCCCACTGGGTTATGAAGGGTATATTGCATGAATGGGCAATTAACCTTATCAAGGCACTGGTTCCCCGGCGTTCCAGCAAAACAAAAAATGTCAACCAAGATGTGTCCTCGACATCGTTAAGATTGAGGGAGTGAGGAAAGGCGGCAAAAAATAAATAAAACGAGACGAAACCGAAACAGAAACCGAAACCGAGTCCTGGGGCAGCCAGGCTTGCCTAAAATATACGCCATTAGGCAGACGGAATGCCAGGACAAGGAACGCAGGACGAACCTTCAACGGGGTGGCAAAAGCAAAAAGCAATTTCAAATATTTTCGTTACCTGCTTGTAGAATTTTTACGTTTTTCTGATTACGGCTACCTTTTTCTTTTATTGTTGTTGTGTAATTGTGCGCACTAAGGAAAAAAAAAAAAGAAATGGGAGAAATGAAAGGAGACTAAGAGGTCGATGAAATGGGTTAAGGGAAGACAAGGAGTGGAAGTGGCAGTGAAAGCCTGAAACAGCTGGCTGACTGGGCGGCAGCACTTAAAGCCCAGGCAGCTCTAAGGCTCCATTTTAGACATTTGAAATGCAAAGAAGCATTGCAGGAACAGGGGACAGGAAAGCCTTGCATATTATAGCCAAGTGGAGAGGACTTAGAACCCGGCTCTCTGGCATTTTGATGCAGCACAACACAAACAGCCAAAGAATGGCAGCGAAATGTTCCTCCTTTCCTTTCAAGGGATCAGATTTGTCAACCTCCCAACAATACAGGACGAAGAGGTTTGTTTATTAACCGTAGCATACTTGGCAGCTGAATGGAAATTCCTCCTAGAAGAGTATCCCGGAGAAGTCAAGAGTTGTCAAGGCAGAGCTATAATTGAGATTTGTCTTAAAAATGTACAAGAAATGCTCATATTATTCTGGGAAAATTATGACTGAAGGTAAACTCAGGAAAGCATTTCTAGGAATTATCAAAGAGCTTTTATGGTTTTAATGCTGCAAATGTAAGGTTGCACATGTGTTTTATGCGGATTAAAAGGAGATTCTGGCAACTAAATGCATTCAGACCTCTTACACTTTAACGAAAATGGAAATATATAAATGTTTGAGTCACAGAATATATATATATATTCCATATACGATTGATATATACTTTTTGTGGCTTTTAAAAGTGCAAATGTTTGGCTGCTGCAACAACATGACGTACGAGTGATATTCTTTGAAAGTTAAAAAACTGGAAATTCAGTCATTTAAGTCAATTATTTGTGTCAGCAAAAATAATAAACATGATTTACCTCTTCTCTATCTGAAATTAAAATCGAACTCCACCTGCATCTCTCTTGTTTGTTTGTATTTATTCCGTTGGCTTTAAGAGCGCTTCATGTCCATGCAAAAGTGGAATTATCCCAAATCCTGCTGTCGCTCTCCGGCAAAGCTCTCCGGCAGCTGCTCTCCGGGCCTAGACTATAAATAGATTCTTGGTCTCAGCTTCAACTGTTGCGCAGTTACGAGCGGATAACTAAAAATAGATGGCAGCTGCTCCTCCGCAGAGTGGCATAAAATCCAATAAAATCCAAATGCTTTCCTGCAGACAAACCCCGAATTATTCGACACGTTCGTCGCTCTGGCCAGCGAATGTTTATGTGTTTCAGTGTAAACACAAACACACACGTGGATGACAACACACACACACACACACACTCGCATAACCCCTCGTATACATATTTGTATAGCTGTTGGATGTTTATCAGCTTGTCGCATGATTGATTTATATGCCATGTGGATTATTAATGGACGGGGCCAAGTCAATTGGAGCGACTCCGCCAGACTCGGCTCATTCATTATTGAAATCGTACATGAAGGTGACACAAACATGCACACACAAGCGTGTATACTTCAGGGCGAAATATCATCGCATTTGGACATCAATTTCTTATTGAAAGAGCTCACTTTTGTGACTTATATACATGACTTTC